ACACACATCTCTTTTAATTATTATTATTATCAATTTATTAGTTACTTTTCTATGACTATCAATTCTTGCAGAAATCTTTTCCTTTTTACTTATTAATATAACCAAATAATCTTCTAATTCATTTAATTCCAAGTTAAATGCGACTGCCATCTTTCTCATATCTATAACATTATATGGGATACAATATTGAACCATAGCCTTTTCACGAACAAGCTGTATGAGTTGATTCAAATGAGGTTGTAAATGAATATCTAGTTCAAGAGTTTGTGCATATTTGTCTAACAAATAGAAACAGGTTGTATACTTTGATTTATAAAATGCTTCAATAAGATCATAAAGTGCAGGTTCAACATCTAAAAAGTTTTTAAAGCTTGCATTATTTAAGACTTTTGTTTGAAACTGTCGACGATCATAAGAAACAAGTGCGCATAAACCAGCATAGATAGTGATATCGTTTGCTGACATAATTTCACTAAGTTGAGGAACAGCTTCAAAGGAAACATCTAAGAGTGCTGCTGCAATAGATTTATATCGACTGATTTCATCTGCTGTGACTGATCCTAATAATGCTAAAGCCTGGCAACACTTTAATTTAGATATTATATTGACTTTTTCGAGTATATGGGGTATTGCTTCTATACGAGAAATATAGGTTTGAATAACGTTGGAAAAGTTACAATCATCCAAATAAACCTAAAACAGATATTAATATGTATATAACAATATGTATACACTTGTATAATATTACCTTGATAGTATTAAAACACATTTCTAATATGTCTTCATTTGTTGAACAGTATTCTCTTGTACGAACATAATGCTTCATTGCATTCTGAAGATCCCCTTTTTTATAATAAAAATCGCCTAGTTTCATATAGCATGTCTACTGCATAATAAGTTAACCTACATTATATAGCTTCACTAGTTAATTTATACCCTAATATTCTCTTTATGGACATTTTGTTTGGCTATTTTAAGTTCATTTTCCAAAGTTTCTAAAATTGTTTTGGACTTATTCTGTACATTAGCAATCCATTCTTTATCCATTGATATTATTGCTTGTCCTCGACTACGTAATTTATCATTTAAAGAGTCTACAGTTTGACAATATTTAGTTGTATTTAGTGTTAATTGTTTAATGTCGTGAATGGCTGTTTTGTATGCTTCAATAGAAAGTGCATCACATTGGGTAGCTATAAATAAACTTCGAATGATACGTGTATGGCCTAGTAATGTGTGAACAAGATTGTCTACTTATGCATTTGTGGAAGTACTTACCTTTATAATTACCAATATATGTTTCAAAATTAAAATCTTTTGGTATATCAGTATGTGATATCTCCATTTTTTCTAACAATAACAATAACAATAATAATAAATATGATAATCAGCTTCACATCATAATTCTTAAGAAATTTATCAAAACCCTATGTACACACCTGTCTTTAAATCACAAAATCAATAAAAAAAATCACAAAATATAATGAATGGAATCACTATAAAAAGGGAAAGGATATAAAAAAAAAAACCATGGCTTCTTTTGTTTTACTCATCTCTTTTATTGTTATGATGCTATCTTATCTATTTGTTTTGGTTGTCATATTTAATATCAGGCTTGTTTCTAGCGGTATAGTATACATACAAACTGTCATCAAAGTATAATAAATGCTAACTAATATATAATTAGTTGCCTTTTCTACTCAATGCTGGGAAGTACTTAATGGGTAACATTTATATGTAATCTAAAAAAAAATAATATACACATAACTTTTTTTCATAGGAAACAAAATATGTTTGAGGATGGAGCATGCCAACATGTTAATAAACTAGGAAATGAGATTGGATGGAAAACAATGGAAAAAGATGACTGGATATATTATCCTCAGCAATATAGTAATATATACATATATATATATATATATATACCTAACATTCATTATAGCAGAGAGATTAACATGTATAAATAGTTAATATATCAATGACTGCAGTTACAGCATCTTTTGCACTTGGTAATATAATATTTAGTATAAAAAAAAAGTGTATATTTAACTTGTGTTCTAGTTGGAGGTTGTTGCGCTCCTAATAGGCTTAAGGATACTGGATTTATATACGAAGATGATGGAAGTACTTATTCTTCATCAGGAAACAAAATAGTTCGTATTTCAGATCGTCCTATAGTACAAAATATTACAGTAACAGGCTGGTATATGAAGAAGTTTGTAGATGATCATGCTATGGTATAGTTACGAAGTGTATATACAGTTCTTTTACTAATATTATATGAATAGAATCTTACTATTATCCCATCTATTCATCATCCAGACAAACAGTCTATCTTTTATGAAATCGTAGCATTTGATAGAGCCATGTTAATCAATTATCAGTTTTTTGATTATCAAAATAAATTGATAGGAAATTATTCAAGTGGTGTTTTAAGAAATGTGATTACAATTCCTGATATTACTTTACCAAGATATACACGCCGAATAGTAAGTGTGCATTATAGTAGCTTTATATGCATTTTAATCTTTTTTTTTTCTTTTTTCAGTCTGTGGAGTTTTATGGGTCTAGAGCAGATCCAATGTGCTTTTCATATCTTTATGCTGGTCTTTATGTTTATAAGCCTTTTACTACATTAGCTAGAATATGCGCTCAAATTGCCACTGTATTACAATATGTATCATTAATTAATTTCATTTTGGTACCTATCCTTTTTGCTATCATGTCTTTAGTATCTGATTTTAGTTTTCCACCGTAAGTTACATTTATAAGATGATGATCAATTAACTAACATTTTAAATAGGCCAATAAGATTCCTTTGTAGAACACCTTCACATAAAATACTAATGTGTATTGTAATCATGTTAGGTATACATACATACATATATATATATACATATACATATTGTGATTCAAATGAGCTGAACTAATATGAATATATGTATATATAGGATCATTTATTTTTAATCAAGCATGGAATATTATTAATTCTCAATCAAGTATATTTCATGAATGGCTTCCTCGTGCTGCAAAGATTGTTGGTAAATATATAAAATATATATACATTAAAGTTGTGTATATTATTGATTTAATCATCTTTTTCTTTATCAGAACTTTTTCTCTCCTTTTTTCTTTATGCTGTATATCTTTATCCGGTAATTTAACTGATTTTTTTTTTTTTTTTTTTTTTTTTTTTTTTTTTTTTTTTTTTCAATAATTTTTCTAACCTCACTTCAAAAGGTATTTTTATGTTACCATGCAAGTTATAGATCACGCATTGCGAATTTAATAGGTAAGAAAAAAAACAAACAAATTATCAGTAAGATGTTATACTTAACCTGTATTAAAAAAAAAGGAGCCTACACTACTTGTACCTTATTTGGTCTTCGCTTTTCACTTGACCTTCCATCCTATGTTATTACTTATGCTCGTAATTTGCCTTTTTTAATCATTAATATGCTAGCAGCTATTCCTACGTTTATAGCTTACTGTAGTGTTTTAATTTATTTCGTGACTCGATTTATTACCTACCAGTCATGTGTTGTCTGTCATCTTCAATTTCTAGAGGTACAAGACATAGAAGAACGTTATGTTAAAGAACTTATGAAACCTAAAAAGACTAAAAAAGTGCCATCTGCTTTATTTGATATTTTATGGGATTTATTCACGATACATATTTGGGAAAAAAATCTTTCCTATTGGATTAAATACAGTATTCAACCCAAGTTCTTAAAAAAGTATGCAAGGAAATTATTTGGTATTCTTGAACATATTAGGTTCGTGATTATATATAAATGTATAAGAAGATAGCTAATATAATCTAATATAATATAGAATACCATTTGCAATAAAGACTTCATTAACACTCTTACTTTACTGTTTGGCACAATTGGTAAGTGAGATACAAATCTTTTTCATATACATGTATTCAAGTATATATATATATATACATATATATGTTTATATTTTATATATCTTAGATTCCTTTATTATTGACTCAGCTTATTGGAGTTGGTGGTATTGTACCCATTCATATCTGTAGTTGGTCACCCTATCTATCTCAATTTCAATATCATCCTGATCCAATGCAATTCGCTATTAAAACATTTATGCTGATGCAAATTGCAGTTTATATTGCTACTTTGGGTGCTGGTGGATGTAAATATATATATTGTTTAACTTAATTATTTAAAATCATTTGCTAATCTTCTCAATAATAGTTTGTATGATCTATGCTTTAGGTGTCCTTCGTCGCTTTACAAAAGATATTCTTCGACTTCGACAGGGAGATTATTTCTTATTTAAAGGGAAAAGAAATAATGGGTATACATATACTTCAAAATATACAAATAAAGATTTACTCATATAATATACAGTATTGATATAGATGACTCTATTCGATTCCTTGGTGTATTTATTGGTTTTGGTAAACTCTTATAATATAATCCCTTTCCAAAAAAAAACAAAAAAAAAACAATAGATCTATTAACTTTATGTTCAGGATTTACAGGAACACTTTATTTCATGTTAGAAATCAGTTTAATCGGTACCTTTATTACAGCTGTTATTCAACTTGATCGATTCCGAGATCTTTTCTTCAAAAGAGTAGGTTATGGCGTCTTTTTTGCAAGTTTCTTCATCGCTATCATTGTACAAATGATTCAAAAGCGAATTACAAATTTAATTTTTATTGAGAATCGAACAAGGTTTGGTATACAACATCGAGCACCCTTTTTACATTATTGGTACTTTATGATGTTGACGTCTATGACTAGAGCGTTAACATCCTATATCCTTCGTACTCTCAAGTTGATTTTTAGATATCCACTATTTAGTTTAAGAGTGGATCGAAATGCGGAAACTTGGAGTGTGCGTCGTGGTGATGGAGGTAATATATATATATATATACGCTATGTATATTATAAATGTATGGCTTATTTTTTTCTAATTTTTTTGTTTTCCTTTTTCTAAAAAGGATTTACTGCTTATTGTGGCATGGTATATATTAGAATAAAAATTAGATTTGCGTATTTTATATTAACCATTCATTAGCTTCTTGCAGAACATACGTACAATAATCCTATAGTCCTTGTATTTATTGAATGTCTTTTGAGTTCCAACAACTACCATCCTTTATATATTTTACCAGATAAGAATTATAGCCAAAAGCAACCTAGCCAACGCCTCTGTAGAAAACATAATAAAAAGCAACAATCAACAAAACAAAAAGAATCAAATATAGTTGTTATCATTGATGATAATGAAAAGTTTGTACTAGATGATGTTAAATTAAGAAAAAGAAGAGCTATAACAAGATGGTTTCTTGCCTACACTTTAATTCGAAATCCAGGGGTAATGTTGTTATGTGATTACATATACAGATATATTTATATAATATTAACTTGTTGTTATAGCTACGTCAATATCGTAGAAGAGAATTTATACTATCCAATAAAACAGAATAAGGTTCAAATTGGGATTGTATGTGCATTTAATAAGCTATTATGTAAAATAAGATATTATTATACTATTTATAATTGTTAATAATAAAGATAGAATTTAACTCGCTTAAATGAAGCTACACTATTTTCCTCCTATTATAAGTTAATAAGAAAAAACTGACACCATTAGTGGCAATACTAAGATTAGCTAAATATAATAATTATATACGATTTTTAATTATGTATTCTACAGTTTTTATTCTTTTGAATCTTATCATTGTTAGTTCTTTTCTAGACCAATTAAAAAAAAGAAAAAGAAAAAAGCTTGAACTACCTATCAAATCTTATCGTCAACATAATATAGATCAGCATAGAAATGTTCATAATAAATCGAAGCTACTAACGCAATATCAACCATTTATATCAATAGATCCTACATTTTGGCCTTCTATGTTCTTTGTTAAAATGTAATCGATATATTCATTGGCACCTTCTGTAGTTACCTGGATGTCATTCAACTTATAATTCCAGATGCCATACTCTGCTTTCGATAAAGTAGCACATCTAAATGCATTATCGACCTCAAAAGTTTGAAACCATTATTGAGAGTCCCTTCTACTTTCTTTTGAATAAGTTTACTACACATTAACCACATATATACCTCAATACTTTTCTTTACTTTGCTCATTGGCCAGTTATTTGTGAACTTTGATTGCCTTTTCTATCTTCAACTGCTGTCATAACCTAATCAACAATCCCTTGATTGACTCTTCACCAATAGCGTCACAGTTATACTTTTTAATATCATTGACGACCTAACCTGATCAGTTCTGACATAATTTATATCTTGTTGTTTAAACGTATTATTATGCCAATGCCAAAAAAGGAAGCTTATGACACAAGAAATTAATCAGACCTCCGCGTGGTGATATTTAATAAGTTGCATTTTTCCTTTTTTTTTTCTTTTTTTAATTATCTTGTTTGTTTGTTTTTCTTCCTCTTTTTCATTATGAAATGAGCACTGAATACTCGAATATATTAAAACGGTTGAAAGTTAAATCAAATACTATTCAGCATATTCAGGAATGGGAGCCTGTAGACAGCTTAAACCAAATATATTATAATCAGCAACATAAATTGTATAAATTTGTAAATAATTCAAAGCTTAATGCAAATGACATATACACTATTTTATTAAGTGTTGACACTCGAAAACATTGTAAATATATATATACTATCTTTAGTTCATATTACATATATTAACATTTATATAATAGGGTGTCCATGGATTAAGGAAATAAAAATAGTAAATAAGCCTAATCTAAGCACTAATGTGCTTGAGATGACAACATTTGTTAACCAGGAAATGTAAGTATATACTTGAACGTCATGTAATATATATATGTATATATTTACAATGTTTTGTATAGTAAAACGTTTACATGGATTGAAAAAATAATAAAAAAAGATCAAAAAGTGAGTTACATTGGAAGCAACACAGATAACTTTATTATTTGTGATTTCGAGTATTCAAATACAACCGTCTACTATCACCAAGAATACCATTCTGTCATATCGACTTTATTTGATAATTTATTTAACTTTAACAATAACTTTATTCATGCCTGGTTGAGTCAATTTGATCAAGATACTATAATAATAAATCAAACTCATTTATCATCAAGTCAATACGAATTAGATTACACTTATGATCAACGACGTCATCCTTCAGCTTCTATCATAGAGCATCGGCTATGTATCGAATTATCAAAAATGATACCTGATATAACAATTTCAATAATAAACAAATCTCAATGGTCTGATAAGCTCGCTCAACTTTGTGTTCATTTATATTCTAAACAAGATAATTATCTTATTGAAGTTGCACATCCACATAACTTGTTACAGCACTTTGATAATGATCAATCTATTCAAATCCAGTTGATTATAAAGAAATCACTTAATAATACATTTATTGTTAATGGTAAAGAATGGCCAGTTATGATTATGAATAAAGGTGAAGAAGAAGATGGTGAGAGTGATGATATATTTGTTGATGGAATTGAAGAAAATGATACAGACATATTGGACGAAGCTACCGTATTTAAAGCAGATAATAACAAGGTAGCAATACCGTCATCACTTTCTAATGATAGCGATTTAATCCATATGGATCAAAAATTACTTGTAGCCAATAAAGCTGAAATACATCATCTTCCTTTTATAGAACAGCAAACAGCAATGACTAATCAATTTGTTAAAGAGACAAAGTAACATTCATATACATCCTTACTAATAATAATAATAAACTATCAGGTGATTTACTTATTTATTATACATGTAGCAAATCATCTTCATCTAAAGTGAACGGTGTACATGACAAATTAATATCAACAGAAGCAAAGCTACCTAGCTGTGATCCAGCAGCACTACAAAAGATATACCCTCAATTCATCAAGTATCTTCAACTCTCATCTACCTCTACTCTAATTCAATCTCCCAGCAAAGAAAATGGATATGTAATTATAAAAAAATTAGAAATACCAGACCATCCATTTGGTGGATTCTTAAGTGAATCAACCTGGCGAAACTGTAGCATATGGGATGTAAAGGCTGTTTTGGAAAATGCAAGTGCTCGAAAGATCTGGGACAACACATTTGAATCAACAACATTTTTGCATCCTCTTACATCTACTAGTTCTATTTGGCATACAAAGATGAAGGGTACTTGGCCTATAAATCCGCGTGACTATATTTGTTTTCATGGACACTATACTATGGGCACAAATCGTATTGATTTATTAGCAACCTCGTGTATAGGTGATATGTTTCAATATAAACCTCTACCATCAAGTCATATACCAGGTTATACTCGTGCAATGATCGACATCCTTGGCTGGAGACTTGAGCAAATCGATCCTCAAACAGTGTCTGTGCGGCAGGTGATGGTAACCCATTTTTCTACTTGGGTTATTAATTATATCACAAGTCGATACCTCGTTCAGACCTGTGCTGCTGTCCAATTTGCGCAAGATTACTTAAAGGACTTTGGAGCACCACCAAGTCTTGAAAACTTATCAAGGGCTCAATTAGTAGGTATCAAGTACGATCATGAACGTAAAAGCTGGCGATGCGAATATCATCTACATCCTGGTGAACAAGATACAAAGACAACTACTTCAATTATTCGTTTAGATAATCGAAAGTCTGGATATTCGGTCGTGATCGATCCTCCGCCGTCACGTGTTTTGGCACAAAAGAGGACGTATGACCCATATGGTATTTGGCTAACGATAGAGCATGATGAAGCATTTATTATCCCTTTACATGGCAAGATTTTAACTTTAATAAAATCAGATAAACAGGGGAACGTGTCTGGATCATCAGATCATCTTGAAATTAATGGTGCTTTGATAGTAATTGAAAAGGATGAGTTATCTATTATCAAGAATACAAAGGAGCCATGTATAGAGCATGATGGTTTAAAGAGGAGTGAGAGAGCAGTAGAGGAAGAAAAAGTAATAAAGGTAGCCAGTGAAGAAGAGAGATTAAAAGAAGCATTAGATCAACTTCCAGCACCTAAGGAATATGCGCAAGCAGCATTAGCATTTCTAAAATCAACAGATGAGCAATACGGTTGGACGGTCATATCAGATAATAGCAAAACAGGGATACAAATCAGTAAGAAACCAGGATTAAAAACTACAAAGAAGCCTCTCGACAATTCAAAAACAACCCTATTTCAAGTCTTTGAACCTTACATGATTTATAAGGGAACCAAAGTGATTGAAAACTTTTCGACCGATGAAATTCTTGCCGTCATATCTGATTTAGGTGATGTCAGAAAAATATGGGACGATACCATCGAAACGCCTATTGATCTTATACGAACTACAAAGGATCCCAACTGTAATATTATTCGACAGACAATTAAATCCATCTTTCCCTTCAAAAATCGAGAGTATTATGCTATTCGTTGTCTAGCTCAGGAAGAACCTTTGCCATTGAGTTCATCAAGTACATCCATGAAACGCACATTTTATGTTGAATGTTCCCTGCAGGATTTCCCTGTCATTCATTCGAAAAGAACACAAGGTCACTTCTTTGTCTCGGGTTGGATCCTTGAAGCCATTGATCCTTATAATACAACAACAACGAATCATCCAATACCATCTACACGTATTATCTATGTTGCTACTCTTGATTTAGGTACCTCTATCCCGTCTTACATTAGCAATCTGATTGCTAATAATTGGTTCCCAAAAAAGATTCAGGCAGTTGAAAACTACTTAAAGACACAGGGGCCACCACCTTTCATTACAGAGCCTAACACAATGCTTTTATTTTCATCCAACAAGCTCTATCAACAGGAGCAACCAAGGAAGGATATTGAGATATCATGGTTAAGTACAACTTCCAGCTATGATCATCATGAGCATCATCTTAAAATAAATAATTGTTTAAAAATAACAGAGTGTGCATCATCATCATCATCACCATTACAACGTCATCGATCGAGTGCAGTACATAAGAAAATCAACATCAACATCAAATTTTTACAAGCAACATTTGATCTTCGAGGATACCCACAAGGCTATGAGATACAAACCCAGCTTTATGAAATAATGACAACAGAACGAATCAACGTATCACATAAATTAATGCTTACTTTATGTGAGCCTCCGTTTTCTAACTTACTAGATGACCAGAAAAGATGTATAAAGCATACAGTAACAGTAGAGGGACAGCATCTATCATCCGCCATGTATGAATTTGACTTTTTATTAGTGCCTATTAATAAAGAGGAAAAGCATCATGTCTTGACTGTCTCACATGTGCTGGGTGAAAGAAAGTCAGATGAAGGATGGAACGGTCTGATGATCGTCAATGGACAACAAGTTCAAACAGATAAAGACATTTATTTAAAAACAATAAATGATGAAGACAAAAGTCCTCATCATGTAAATACGAAAATACCTGAGGTTGAAGCAACTACGAGTCTTACTACTATGACTGCTCAATACATGGGTGGTGGTGTTGTAGCCACTGCCTTGGAGAATGTATCTGCTGGAGTGAATGTAAGTGTGATAGGGGGATATATAAGATGAGATAAAATGAAAATGAATAGAATAGATAGCTATAGTTATTATTTATATTTAAAAAATTAGAATATTGGAGCACGTATGATGATACCCTTTAGAGCAGCATCCAATTCATTTCTTTCATCACCTGTTGAGCCGCAAGAGGAAAAGGATACTTCTTCATCTTCTGATGAGGAAGAAAACGAAACACGCCATCATCATCATCGATTTACAAGAGAAGAGCGAAATAAGATAAATGAGTCCGTCTCATTACATGAAGTACGTATGTTGAGAAGAACAAGAGATACGATGAGAAAGGGTATTTTATTATTGTTTATTTGCTTGGGACTTGCAATTATCTTTGCGCTACTTATGTTACAGCCCATATTGGAAAGAATGGTGGTTGACGAATCGTCTACAGTACGAAGGCTTGTTCAATTACCTTGGTTTGGAGGTTGGGATATTCAAGTAATAGCAATTCAAAGAGCATAGGCTTTTTTTTTCTTTTTTTTTTTTTTTTTTTTTTTTTTTTTTTTTTTTTTTTCTTTTTTTTTTTTCTTTTTTTTTTTTTTTTTTTTTTTTTTTTTTTTTTTTTCTTTTTTTTTTTTTTTTTTTTTTTTTTTTTTTTTTTTTTCTTTTTTTCTTTTTTTTTCTTTTTTTTTTTTTTATTCATCATGTAATAAAATATATTTACACTTAAGAAAAGAAAAAGGGGAGAGAGGAGAGAATTGTTACGAAGAATAGTATTCTTCTTCATTATTATTATCTAGAAAAAAAAAAAAGAGTTATTTAATTATAAATAATACAGCAATTATTTTTTTTTTCGTATTACCTTCTTCACTACTACTGTTATAGACATCCTGATTCAATCCGTCTGTTGATTCCGTTTTGTTATCGTTCGAACTTATATCTGTTAAACTACTGCATTCATCAGGTGATATCCCTTTAGCTTCCTTACGTAACCTTGCAATCTTTTGGTTCATTTCATTTTGCTCTGCTTTAAAGGCATTTAAATACTTTTGATATTCCTTATAGGCATCCGTCCTTTGATATTTTTCTAGAGCAGTCAAATACTCATCTTTAGTATACATCGCAGTTCGTTCGTAGCTTTGTTTTTCATCTGGATTCAAGTTTTTCCATTTATCACCTACTAATTTAGCAATCTCAACAAAAGTCAAATTTTGACCTTTGATATGTGAACGTAGATGGTTAGAGAACATGATATAAGCTGAGGGGGGTTTAATGGGTGCATTCTTATCAGGTTTTGGATGACGTTTATACTTTCGTTTGATAATAGAGTCATTACCGATACCACTACTGCTACTACTGCTACTACTACTACTACAGATACTCACACTATAATTTGATTGCGTTTTAGATGTTGTTGTTGCTGCTGCTGTTGCTGCTGTTGCTGCTGTTGCTGCTGTTGCTGCTGTTGCTGCTGTTGCTGCTGTTGCTGCTGTTGCTGCTGTTGCTGTTGCTGCTGCTGCTGCTGCTGCTAAAGTATTATTGTCTATTCGTTGTAAATTATATTCACCATCTTCTTCTTGAGAGGAAAAACTAGACATTTCTTTTATACTAGTATCAGTGTCTAATTCTCGTTGTTTTTGTAATTGATGTAATGGTTGAAGAGATGAAGTAGTTGGAGGACGAATCAAGTAGTGTAAATGATTCGATTGAGAAGAATGATGATAAGGATCTACTGTATTGCCACTAGTAGTGAAGCCAGAAGAACTAAAGGATTGATGACCAACTGAAGTAGGGTGACATGTACCTGGACTTGAAGAACCATAACCACTTGATGATGTATTTGCAGAACCTTCATTGACATGATGATGATGATCTATTAAAAAAAAAAAAAATTAGAAGAAAATAATAATTTTTCTTATTTTAAAGAACTTTACGAAAATAATCTATAGTGGAAGGATAATAAGGATAATTGACAGGGTTTGTTAAAGATAAAGGATGATTTTTAGGAATTCCTTTTAAATTTGCTATTCCTCTTTGAATGATCTAAGATAGTCAAGTAAGATAAGTGTTATTATTATGTAATGCTAGTTTGTTTTGTGTACATACTCTTCTATGGCCACGCTTTACATTTAATGCAATTAAATCTTCTTCTGTTATTTCTGAAAGCTACTGCCAAACAAATATAGATCAGCAACAACAATGAATAGATTGTTTAAAACTTACTGCAGGAAGCGACTCAAAGCCTTCAGCAATAAATACATCAAAATACTGGGGAATACAGTATTTCTTAAGGAATTCTTCTACTTGCTGATGATCTTGAGAATTAAATAAGGTTTTATTCTCTAAATCCATTGTTTCATATTTTATTTTATCCTTAAATAAATCAACAAATTAGTGGGGAACTCATCTTTCTTTATATCCATTTTTACTCTACTTTCAATTTATATTAAAGGAAAAAAAAAAACAACTTAATTATAATATCATTATTTAATAAAAGAAAAAGAAAAAAAAAGAGAAAAAGAAAAATATATATATATATATATATTTAAATGTAAAATGTATACACATAAATAATATACAAATAAAAATAAGAATAAAAAAGAAAAAAAAGAAAAAAAAAAAAAAGATAAAAAAGGAAATAGAAGCTTTAAACTCTTCTATTCGAGAATTTTCTTTAAAAAGAAGATTAAAAGGAGCCACCACCAATATGTCGGCTTGTCATTGAACTCATTTGAAGTTTACGTTGTTGCTCTAATTTGGGGCAATCATTAATACGATGACCCAAGCCACCACAAAACGAACATCCGCCTGCTAGACTGCCATATTTCTCCATAGGATCTTCCATGGCTGCTAAAAATGGTGGAATACGTTGCTTTGCTTCTTTTAATAAAAGCTTTAAATCCAAACGAATTTGCTCCGAACAATTGAGATTAATAAATGTTGTAGCAATACCAGTTTTACCACTACGACCTGTACGACCAATACGATGTACTATTTATAATCATTTAGTTTTTTTTTTCTTATGGACTGGTAAATCTTAAGAAGTTACCATAATCTTCTATTTCTTTTGGCATATCAAAATTAATAACATGTTTAATTTCTGGAAAATCGAGACCCTTAGATGCAACATCTGTAGCTACTAAAACATCTTTTTATAGTCCTTAAATGATTGAATAGCATATTCACGTTCATCTTGAGCTATATAAAATTGAATAAATATTTGGATTTAATATATTTTTTTAAGTCTTACTTTTTCCACCATGAATGGCTACTGCTTCTACTCCCTTTAACAATAAATATTCATGTATATCATCTACATCATTCTTATTTTCAGCAAATATAAGGACCTATATACATGTATATAATAAATAAAAAATTATTATATTATACTGTGTGATTCAATAAATATCATCGTTATATCTTACAGGAGGTGGTGTCTTTTGTAAACATTCTAAAAGATAGACCATTTTGGCTTCTTGTTTAACATATTCTACTTCTTGAATAACATCTAAATTAGCTGCACCTGCACGACCTACATTCACTACCATAGGCTTAACTAATGCTGATAAAGCAAAGTCTTGAATCTTTTTTGGCATAGTTGCAGAAAATAATAAAGTTTGACGTTGACTCTAACAGAATAAGTTAGTTTTTTTTTTGGTGAAATACTTTATATATATTAATATACATATATACCTTGAAATACGACATAATTTCTCTAACATCATCTTCAAACCCCATATCAATCATTCTATCTGCTTCATCCATACATAAATATTTACAGTTATCTAAATTAAACTTCCTTTTACTCAACAAGTCTAATAATCTACCAGGAGTAGCTACCAACATATGAAAGCCTCTAACTCACAAAAAAAAAAGGTTTAATATCAAATATATACATGTATATATATATATATATATATGTGTGTGTGTGTGTGTGTGTACTCTTCTTAGAATAGTCTACCTGTTTAAAACATCTTGCTGATCTCGCATATTTATACCTCCAATACATAGTAAAGCTCTTAATTCAGGATATCCTCCTCTCTTTAATGCATCTGCTATACCATTTAATCCATCATACGTTTGTCTTGCTAATTCTCGAGAAGGACAAAGAATCATACCAATTGGCCCCTCTCCTTGTACTAGAGGCAATCTAACTTCTGCTTCTAAAGCAAACATAACTAAAGGTAATGAAAATGTGAGTGTTTTACCAGATCCAGTAAATGCAACACCAATCATATCACGTCCCTTTAATCTATAGTTAAATATAAATATATAATAATACCAGCTTATATAGATATCTCTTTGACTTACGCTACAGGTAATCCCTGAATTTGAATAGGTGAAGGCCTTTCAATCTTTTTCTCTTTTAAATACTTTAAAATAGGATCAGGTAATTTCATATCCTACAATAGTTGACTAACATTTAATTATCTATGGTTAATAAATACAATCTACACACTTACACCAAAGTGAGTAATGGGAGGTACTGGCTCCTCTCCTTCAATAATAATATGATATTTATCACGTATGGCTTGATGATCTACTTCTGTTCGATTACGAATGTAGTGAGGTGGATTCCAACTAGTTAAAGTTATCAGTATATTATTTAAACATCTCATTCAATTCCATAATGAATAGTTACGATGTCTTTATAGGCTCTGTATATTTTATACCAGTTGCTGATTCTTGAACTGACACTAAAGCTTTATGATAAGCTTGAGCCTTTTCGATTCTTTTCTCTTCTTCCAATCTTTTTTCCTCTTCCGTTTTCTCTACACAAATACAATAATAATAAAAAAAAAAATTAGTTTCAAAGTTGATAATTTAAACAATTGCATTCAATACCTGGTATAACATTTGATAATCTTTGTTGAACAGTTTGATCTAACAAACTCATATTAGCTCTCGGTCCTGCTGTAACTGTTTCTTGCTCATCATCTTCAGGTTGATCTACGATGCGTCGTTGAGTTGCATATTTATGGATTTTTTCTAAACGTCTTTGTTTAATAGGCACATACGGGACATAGTCATCATCTTCTCCAAAAGTCTATTAAAAAAAAAAAAAGAGTTTAATACATGATTAAATTTAAAAATATAGAAAATAAAAAAAAAAACCTTTATTTGATCATCACTCATTATGAAACGAATTAATATATTTTAATAATAATAATAAAAATAAAAAAATAAAAAAGCGTCAACTATGAATAACAGCAACAACAAAAAAAAAAAAAAAAAAAAAAAAGAGGCAATATTTGTCATTGAAAATCGCCGCCTTAAAGGAAAAATTCAATTGCCCGGGCTGAATCATCAATAAAAAAAAGGAACGGCAGCTAAGACTCACTCTGGAGAACAACAAGGGGAATTAGTAGCTATAACATAATTTTTATGGTGAAAAAAAAAAAAAAAAGCAATTATTTTTTTCTTTTGTAGACTCACAGAAAATGACATGCTTCAAGTTAAAGTATATAACATGTAAATATCGAGACTATCTTCAGCTAACCACCTTTTTCTAATTTAAAGGTCTGATCGAGTTTGCCTACTTATAAAGTAAAATGTATGTATTTGTTTATTATGAATAAAATAATCAAAGTGTCTATTCTAGATACTACACTTGTTCTTTCATGATCGTCTATGAATACAATTTTTAATAAATATGAAGTTATCCTCTCTTTTGTTTCCCCCTCTTTCTTTCTCTCCCTTCCCATTTTATTATTATTACTTGTATTTTATTTTATACAATACACTACAAAAATAAAATGATTCACGTATATCTATAATAATTTATTCTCGTTCATAAAACAACATATATGCTTCACTCTGCAATACAGTTTCAAGATCAACTTCTTCAATACTTTCATCGCTACAACGCCAAAATTTGGTAGAAGGCTTTACACTTTCTTCAAAGGGACTTCGTACTTCATGTCCAGTAGGTAATTTCTTACGTCTATAAGTTACAAAATGTCCTGAATCATGATTACCATAATGCACAATGACTGCACATAACTTGTACTGAATCTTTCGAGAGACAGGAAGAACGGATAATGAAGGTAATGCATTTTGAATAGGTCGATCCATTGTTTCTTTAGTGGTGTTTAATAAAGCCACTCCCAACCCTGTATTTGATTTGGGTGAATGAATAAATCGATGACCTCTTGTCATATTGCGTAAGTACACAAGACTAGTTCGGCTCGTACGGGTATGAGGTAAAATAGGTGTAGGTAGTGGTGAACAAAGCGAAGCACTGGGATCTGTTGTATTTAGATATCCATTTGTTGTATAAGGGGATAAGTCAAGATATTCTGGAAATGCAACTTGACAATGATTTTTTTGAATCATGCCTGAAGGATGAAATACTGAACGTGATAAATGAAGGCATAACGCTTTAGGTGGATTTGCAAACATTGTTTGCTTGGTTGTACGTGAAACTTTTTTAGGGGTAACTAATTGAATACCATACTTTTTTTAAAGAAAAAAAAAAAAAGAAAACAAAAGGTTTAACTATATGTACACTAACGTTAATAGTTTGCTTACCAAAGTGGATTCAATATTCAATCTTAGAGCATCATTTATTCTTTTAATATCCATTTTTAATAGATTTGCTCGGACTTCATCTTTTCCTAAAATATTGGCTAATTCTTGATTCATGGCTTCTAAAGTAGCTATTAAAGTACATTTTCTACATTGATAATCAGTTAAAATATCAACTTTTGTGTAAGTTTCTAACAAGCTTTCTAATGTGCATTTTGACTACATAAAGAAGAGACATCAGTGAGTCATTATATATGTACCATTATATATATATGAGTTTACTGTAAGAGGTAAATTTAATGAAACATTATCAAATGTATGATGTCGAATGGGCGCCTAAAATTCAAATAATGAGCAAAATAAATAAATAAATAAATAAACAGATATTATTTTATTATTTACCGTGTATCCACAGTTTATACAACTAATTTTTGAAGCAGCTAAACCTGTAAATGGATTTCGAGGACTACGTCTTCTTGGACGTAATTGCCCACCTACAGTACAAACTGAAAATGAACTCCACATGGATGTCGTTGTACCAAACGAAGAAACAGATAAAGTTTCAAAATTATCACCATTAGGGTCCTTAAGAATAGATGAGTGAACAATGAAAAATAATAATTACTGTATCATATTTACATTATCTCCACCATTTATTGTAAAGTCTCTTAGAGTATTTGCATCTAATAAAGAAGGAACCTTCTGCTTGTATTGTTCTTCTTCTTCTGAAGTCAAGACACTTGAAATAATTTGAAACAATTCGTGAGCATCCTAAAAACGAAATAAAATAAAATTAGAAAGCCCCTCCTTGTTTATATATTTGCATATTTATTTACTTGTTGATCACGATTGATAGTACCACCTAACTTGCGTTCTAAAGCCCTTAAAAAATCAGTTGGTGTGATTGACTTTGGCTTTGGTAAAGGTCTATTTAATGCTATAAAACGCATATAAATAAATAGTATACGTATCATACACTTAATTATAGACTTACATTCTACAGTTGCATAAAGTGCACAGGCTACTGATTGTAAAATAAACTCGTTTTGTGGTAAAATAGGTGCTGAATCATCGCCTTGTTCATCTACACGCTCAGCCTTTGATTATATTAATATAATGTATTTTAATTGTTTATCATAACTTACAAGGTATGAGCGTAAAGTCGTTAAAGTAGCAAAAGCCTATATGTTAATGTAAAAGTTCAGGATGATGCATGTATACAATATATATATATATGTATTCTTACTTGTAAAATGGAATTAAGAAAACAATAATTCTGCGAATTAACAAGTCCTAAAATATATTGACCATCTTGTTCTATATTATAACATTAATCATGTGTAAATTTGCTAAATTTTGTTATTTGCCTCTTTGTATTTTTGATTTTATTCTTCGTCTTCTTTTTTTAGATTCATATTTATTTGTTGTAGATGATATAACATAGCCTGAAGCCGCTAATGCAATACCAGCTACTGCTGCAATAGCTGGTAAATGATAATTAGAAGATGACATGTTTGAAGTGAGAAAAAAAAAAACAGATTACAATTTTTTTTTTCTTTTTTTATTATAAGTATAAACAACGCTATCATTTATCATAGAAATTGGGAAAAAAATGGGTGCATTTAGTAAAATATTTTTCTTTGCCTTCAAATTTGTCCTATAATTTATATGCAAATCATATTTATGAAATGGCCTTATTAGATAGAGAAAACTTTGTTATTATTCTCTCATTATCTTGACTAATTTCATCTGGTATTATACATAAGAAACTTTGCGGAGATTTGTTTTTATTCCCCACATTGTTTGCTTGACAATAAATTTAGTTCTAGCAAAAAAAAAAAATATGTATTTATAATTGTATTTCAATAAAGTTTACCTTTATTTGATTTCAAACTAAACTAATCAAAAAAGCATACAAATTTAAAAGTGCTTATAACAAAGTCTTTTAGAGTTCATGGAATAAAAGCTCTTATGCAGTTTTTATATTGATGCTTGTTTTTGTACAATCTATTCCATCATATAAAATAGGATACAGTGCTATATTCTAACAAATAAATGTAGCTTCTAAATAATTACCCCTAGTTGTATACCGGTGTGTTCCTCTAGATCCAGACATATACATACATACATACATATAAAGAACAATAATAGTTATTCCATTGCAGTGTTGCATATATTAGGTTCTAAACTTTGATTTATACTCTTTTATAATAATTCAGTAACAGGGTATCTAATCTTATATAAATACTCTTTAAATGGAATTCATTTTCGGCCCCTTTTTTTTTTTTTTTTTTTTTTTTTTTTTTTTTTTTGCCAAGTGGCCAGTATTCACTTATAGTCTTTGCCTTCATTGCTGAGAATACGCATTTTTTCTAATAAATAAGTATTTCTATTATATAAATAAATAAATAATAATAATAAAGCATGAGTAATAATTTATGACCGAGTCATATTTAGTATAGTTAATAAAATAGACAATTTCTTTAACAAGTATATAAACAAATTGAAACTGTTACCCTATTTTTTGATAAACCATTATTAAATAAAGGACAGGACAGTTATCTCTGATTACTTTATTTTGTGTTATAGATGGTAGTAACAATGTAGCAGTAATCTATATCCTCATTATAAACTTAAATATGCCCGACGACCCATATCATATGTTGTAACCAATCAGTCAAAAGAAATTGACGCATGAATCATACATCTTCAAGAATAATACTTGATTTTGGGCTCATAACCTCATAATTCCAGGAGCACTGGTAAAGGATCTACAACAGATATGACGGCATTCTACTAGTAAAAATGGGGTTATTTCACTATGATAAAATACTTTATATATATACGATGGATAGCTTCTTCTGAAATGAGAATATTCACCATAATTATTAAAATTAGATATACATAATACATATTTACCATTACATAGAAGCCATTCTTTCTTTTCTTTTCTTCTTTTAATAGTCAATAATATTCGCTTTTTTTTTTTTTTTTTTTTTTTTTTTTTTTTTTTTTTTCTAAGAAAAAAAAACAAAATAATGAGTGAGATTTGCATATTAATTGGTTTTATTCAAGACAAGCTTGGAAAGCATAATTAGAAATAATACATTATTCACCGGAAAGATTATATTATAAAAAGGCGGTAGAAAGAGTAGTAGTAGTAGTAGTAGTAATAGTAGTAGTATTAGTATTAGTAATAGTAATAATAGTAGTAGTAATATTAGTATCAGTAGTATCAATAATATCAATATTACTAATATTAGTATCAGTATCAGACTACTAAGAAGATAGAATATATATGTTGTCAATTATTAACTTAAAGTTGTTTCGTTATTTTAAAGAGAAAAAGAAAACAAATTTAGTGTTATTGTTTTACCAAATATAGTGAAAAATTAATTTGTGAACATGAATAATACAAGACATTGTTTGTGTTTTACATATCATCCTCGTGATGCTCTTTCTGTAAAACATGACATTATGACAATAGTAACGAATTAAGATTAAAGTTTCATTAGTCGATTTCTTATTTCTTCCTCTTTCTCTCTTCTTTTTTTATTATTATTATTTTTTTATGTCTTCTACAATTATAACACATTGTATGCCTTATCCAGTTACGTTTAATATGGAGCAACAAGAGTTAATACATTGTGATCATTCTATTTCTTTACCACCTACACCCATTGCAAGTGATGATGAAGAAGAACATCATTCACAGAAAACAGTTTCATTAGCTGATTTAATTCCCATTGCATCGGCTGCTTTATTAAAAAACAAACAAACAATACAGCAAGAAGATTCGTCCTTAGCACGAGCTTTAACTAGAGTAAAGATTGGACTGCAAACACATCGATTAAAAGAAAGCTATTTAACAAAAGAATGGATCCGACTTGCTCTAGCGATGCCTGTGAATGCATCCATGATTAATACGGAAAAAAAAGGACAAATATCACGGAAACGAACAAAAGAAATTTCTACATGGTTTGAACACAAATTAAAAAAAAGGATATTAACCTTAGACGAACTTGAAAAGAAAGTAGATGAATTAAGGCGACAAAGACAAGAGGAATCATTAATGAAAGCTATTTAAATAGTTTTATACCCAATGTTTATTTATTTCTCTATTTGAATATATCTATTTTATTATTATTTACTCGTAGTGTATTTTTACCTCTGTTGTGTAATGGTAGTACTGTTATTACTTTATTTTGATTGTTTGCTGCTACTTCAATTATATACATTTGCATATACATATACAATGTAGGAAAGTTACAGGCTTATCGACAAGATTATCATTCGTCATTCTTTTACAAGAAATCTCTTCAGACTGTATAAGCCTCATACACAGTCGAAAAGAATAGCGACACATTCTCTTTGGAACTTGTGTCCTCATTGATATAATATAAAAATCTTGTTTGTTTCAATGTAAATCTACCCCTTCTCCTCATATAATATCTAAACTATATATCATACATGACTAAATAATACTATTTATTTCCTTATCCTGGGTCAAACAAGTAGTGTGAACAGGATTAAACTAGTATTTATATTTGGTAGAATAATCTTTAAGTGATACGACTAAACCTCTTCCTTTTCTTGCACCACGATACACAATCTATTATGTATTCATTCATGTGAGCCCTTTGCTTAATAAACCTTTGCTATTTTACTTACTTCTATCAAGTCAATCATTTCTTGCTTATCATCAAGTGCCCAATTGATCTTATTGTTATTACCAGTACCCAAATCGACCATAATATGTTTATTTCGGAAAAAGAACATGGTTGTGCATGGATCATATAATTCATACATCTATATAAATTCATAAATTATCTTGTAAATAAATAAATATGTACATGTATTCCATAACTTTACCTTATTAAAATCTGGTACTTCTGTAATGTCAACCTATATATAAATTATAATGTGTTAATTACTGAGATGATTCTTTTTTTTTTCAAATTACTTACCAAATAAATAACTGCAAAATTCTTTACTTTTTCTGCAATGCTATACAAAATTTCATCCATTTGCATGCAAATAGGATCCCAATCATGCCCAAATCGAATAACTACAACTCGATCCTCTTCTGATAAAATTGCTTGATCTACTTGCCAACCGTTAGTTAAATGAGGTAAAAAATACTAATGTACTGAAAAGTTAGCTCATTTATTCGAAATCCATTATTTACAATGAAAATACTTGCAGACTAAATAGCAAAGAAAAAAATAAAATAAAATAAAATAGAGTTGATTAGTAAAGTTAACGATTATAAACTTTTTTTTTTATTTAATTACCATCTATGTTAAACTGATTCAAAAGATGAGAAAAAAAAAATCTGTACCAGAGGAGCTTTTTTTTTTTTTTTTTTTTTTTTTTTTTTTTTTTTGTTTAAAGTCGCCCGCCAGACTCTTTATATTTGTATATATATAAAAAAAATACCTTATTTGGAATATGACTTTAAATAATGCATCTTTTACATTGTATATATTGACGCTTGTCAAGTGTAAACAATATGATATAAAAGAAACAGTATTTATTTAGACATAGTACAATGAATATTTCTCGATCAGTTTAAAATAGGTAGGATGAATAGGTGATAAGTTGACTCTATATTCGATCTATAGAAAGGATAAGCCAATCATAGAAATTTGAAATGATATAGCAGCGAGTGATGATAGAAAAATACAAATGTCTTTTATTTTGACATATAGTGAAAGGAGTTAATAAAATAGTGATCATTCACTTGATCCGTACTGCATTGCTCACATAAATATGTATATGTGTATAATGTAGATAGGAAAAAAAAAAGAAATTATATGATACCTAATTATATATGCATCACTTTAATTAAAGAAAAATTCAAATAAATAAAATATATAATCTATAATAAAATGAATCGACGAATTTCTTGTAAATCTCATCTATTTAATGCAACTGATCGCTTCATGTCTTTTACTGTAAAAGAAGAAGAGGAACAATGATCATTTACTTTGATGGTTGCTAAATAGAGTGTCATCATGTTGAATTTGATTTAAACAAAATAATACTTGGAACATCGTGAAGAGGCCAACAACTGATTATTTCTAAACGGTTCAAATCTTTACACATCTCCAAGACTTTTATCATCTTATTTTGATCATCTCCTTTATTGCTATCACAACACCATCTAATTATTAAATCTTGCAATTGTCGTGTATAGTTTGAAATAGCCCATAGCGTATCATATCCTTCACATCGTATAGATAGATGCCTTAGTCGAGGTCCATAGAGCTCAATAGCTTGACATAAGGAGCCCTCTTTTACTTGCTGCAATGAAATAGATAATGCTTCTATATCAGGGCAGTGTCTTGTTAAGGCATCAAGTGCAGCGTCATTCGCTAAAGGGGTTCGATTATGATTGGCACCTAATACAACACAACTTAGATGAGGCATATGCTGTAATAATTCTTGAATGGCATCTATTGTAAAATCTGTCCAAAGTAAATTTAATTCCTTTATGAGAGGATGGGTCCCCGTTTCCATCTTTTCTGTTGCTATGGTAATTAAATTGCAATATTGAAAATCAACATGTGTTAAATAAGGTAAGGATCTCACAATTCGATTGACTTTATGCACGGACAAAGTTAAAAAGTCACGAAAACAAAGCTGTCTCACATTCGGTATTAATTCTTTAGCACATAAAATAGATATAATAAATAACCAGCAGTAATGATGACCCCCTCCTTGTCGACATTTAAGTGTCAAACGATATGTGTAGCGTCTAAGAGTTTCTCGTAAAAATTGATTATGAAGAAGTCCCTCTTCAAGTTGCTTCATTTGGGCTCGATGTCCCAGTTCAATATGACGATAAAGAGTAGGTAAAAAGAGCTTATATCCTATTTTAGATGTTTGACAAAGTACGGCTATAGATTGTCTAGGTAAAAAGACGGCTATTTTTTGTAATAATTCGTTTGGTAATAATTCATATAATTTCATGATAATAGAGGTAAATAAATAGATAGAAAGGAATGAGAAAAAAAAAAAAAAAGAAAAAAAAGAAAAAAGAAATATGATTTCAAGCTGGCTTTGAAGTTCACATGATGATTGTCTATATATTCTTTTTTATCTGATTTTTTTTTTTTAGCTTAATTTGTATTCAAGAGATTCGTTTCTGATTAGTGTATTACTCCCACTAGAAAGATGATGATATACCTCATTCATTATCAAAACGGATAGTTGATTTATGTTATGGCTGATTATTGACTAAAACTATGCTATTCATGCTGGCTGAAACATATCCTATTATTATTCCCTTTATATAAACTCAAAAAAAAAAATCCATTTCAAAAAATAATCGCCTGTTGCTTGAATGAATGTACGGTCTGTTATATCTTCTTTTTTTTTTTAATAGTCATATATAAATATATATGCATATAGGAAATATATAAATATAAATATAAATATAGGAATATATAAAAATGTATTTGTATACTGTTTATAAATAATTTTTTTTTTTTGATTCGAAAATGATCTAATGGCGAGCAGGAACTTTGATGTTATCAAATACATCACGTTCAGCAAGCTCAGCAGCAACTTCATCAATATAAGGCTGAAGATATCTAATATCCTAATGAGTTATAAAGGTGTTAATTCATTTGTTTAGTTACTTCTTCCCCCGCATTCTTTTCAAATACCTTTTCAGGAGTAACCCATTGACTCTTAGGTAAAAGTTGATGTGTTAAAGAGCATTGTTGAGCAACACGAATACGATAAGCACGATCATAAGCTTCACGAGGTTCGGCAATTGCAAAACGACGAAGAGCTTCTTGAACAAGATCGCTTTCTTCAGAAATTAAATCATCATAACGAAGACCTATAAAAATTCAATTAATGATTTCTATTTACATTCACCTAAAAAATAAAAATCGTTTACCAATTTGTCTATAACCAGCAGCACCAGCATATACCTTTGAAACAGGTTTCAACAAACTTGAAAGAAATTTAGAGTTTTGAACAAAGGACTTGAGTGTTAAAGACATTGTGAAGAGTGGGGAGAGATTAGAATATAGATATATTTATATATGAATATTTATATATTAAAAAAAAAAATGCTAGTTGACAAAAAAAAAAGCCCTTACTAACCCCCGCCCCTTTTTGCTTTTGATAATAACCTTTTAATAAACATTCTACCCCCCGCCCTTTCCGGTAACAATAAGTAAATAGTTTGATTGTAATTGGACAGATGAAGTTATCGTCATCATTTACATCGGTAATTAAAAATAAATTGAGCTTTGTCCAATAAGCACAACAATGCCGCATTTCTTTATCATTTATTGCTATTGGTTGATTGGAAAGAAGGAAACTTTGATTCATACAACTAAGATAGCTATTGCTAATAGTAGTGATATTATAATAGGCAATAGCTGCTGATTTTTTATTTTATTTTTTATTTTAATAGTTTGATAATGACTATAAAGGCTGCTTTATCAATAAATGGCTTCCTATTTTTTTTTTAAAAAAAAAGAAAAAACAGTATACAATTCATAGAAATTGTTATTAACACAATCATTGTGTAATGAACAAATGATAGATACTTAAACAATGAAAAGATTGTAAGGAAACTATCTTATGTCTTTGTTGAAATAAAGATGACTAATATTGTTACATATTTTATTATATAACCTATTTGATTTATTCGAATAATGACGAATCCTTAAACTTTCTTAATAAATGAACAAACATATTTTTTTTTTATTGGGGATACACTCAGTATTGCATAAATTGGCTCTTGATTTTATTACTACTACTACTGCAAAATATGTGTATATAATAAGCCACAGTTATGATGGTTGATGTCTTTGTAAAAATGCCTGTTTCAATATTGAATTGACAGGTTGGTATTCTTCATTATCTGATTCCATTTTATCTATTTCCATATTATTGTTTGGCGCTTCCCACCAGCTTTCTCGCCTTTCTGGATCACCAAATCGTTCAATATGAATTGAATGAAGTAGACCATTCATGTATCGATAATAATCATTAGAAGGTTCATGAGAAGTAGTTCTTGTTGAAATGGATATAGTTTTCATTGAATTTGGGTATATAGAGTTGGTTGGAATAGATGATTGACATGGTGTATGATTATGATGGATATTATTGCTATTGCCGATACTCAATTCATTCAAAGTAGATCTAATAAGGATAAAGTTAAAAAAAAATTGTTATCTTAAATACTAGTCATAATTCTTACTTTGATGGTTCTTCATCTTGAAATGGTTTTGATCTTTTCAAAGCTTTTTCAATAAACTCAGTAGATCTTGATCTTTTTAAATTTTTATTATTAGACACATTCATATTGGTATGATTAACTAGAAGGAATGGTGACAGAATAGGGGTATTCCAATACATTCGTGATGACATGAAATAAACATGTATATATAATAAAGAGAAAGAAGTCTTGCTTTAACAAGAAAAAGAAAAAAAAAATTACATATATTTTTGTTGGCGTTGCTTCTTCTTTTTTTTTTTTTTTTTTTTTTGTTTTGTGTATCCAATAAAATAGTTCCTTTTTAATCTTACGTATTACTCGCTTTTTATTTGACAATAAACTGCATACTGTCAATTTAAATCTAGAACTGCTTCTTTTTGATCATAAAAAAAAAAAAAGAAAATATTATTTTAGTAGAATAGTTTTGTATGTTTTACATATAAGAAGCTACTACTACTACTATTATTATTATTATTACTATAATTATAACGGGGAAAAAAATCTTTTTCTTTCTTCTATTTATCGAATTTGAGCTTTTCATTTTGTGCAATAATAACATTATTTTGTAGCTTGAGCCTTTTTCTTTTCTTTAAGGAGAGGGAGGGGGCCTATTTCTATTTCTTTCACTTTAATGAAGCGATTCGAAACAACAGCTAATAATGAGCCTGGCAAAGGTATCTTGATTTGTACATGTTACCACCAACAATCTAAATTCGAAAGAATTCACGCACAATATCCATTGAAATTTATACCTACACAAGGTCATGCGGATCGACTTGCAGTTGTTTACATGTTAAGTTATGGTGGTGGCATTGTCAGTGGAGATACGTTTCATATTGACATGACTATTAAAGAAAATGCCATTCTGTTACTTATGACTCAGGGGAATACAAAAGTGTTCAAAGATCGACATCACCACCATCTTTGGCTTGCATCCATCAATAATTCACAACAAACGCTTCCAATTAGAGATGACTCAAACTCTACGTCTAGTAATACTAAATCAACATCTATTCAAATCATCAATTCCGTTGTTGCAAGTCAAGCTACTTTACTTGTCTTGCCTGACCCTGTTACTTGTTTTCGAGATTCATCCTTTCAGTCACGTCAAGTCTTTCATCTCGCTGATGAACACTCTCAGCTCGTTCTGTTGGATTGGTTTACAAGTGGTCGAATGAAACGAGGAGAAAATTGGTCATTTCGTCATTATTCAAGTCGAATTGAAGTGCGAGTAGCTGATAAGCTAGTTGTCAAGGATGCTATGGTTCTAGAAGATGAAGAATATATGAAAACATGCAATGATGATGATGATGAAACGGCCTATGCAAGTCGACTAAAACCCTATTTATGTTTTGCAACACTCATCATGATTGCTAGCCATCAACAAAGTACGTTGATGCGTTCGGTAGAGAATGTGCAGAGGAAAGCGCAAGAGATGCGTTTAATGCCACTTGCTTTAAAATCGGAAAAGGATCGTGAACTGTTATGGTCAGTGAATCCTATTTTGAAGGGGAAAGGAGTTTTAGTGCGTATAGCGGGTATGACAACAGAATCAGTAAGGGATTTTGTAAAATACCAATGTCTTGGTCAGGGATTTGAATCGATTGTTGGTGAAGGCATGTTTCAAAAAGTGTTAATGTAGTTTTATTATTCATATTTATTTATCTGATAAGTTGATACAGATAATATATCCAATAAAATATACTCAATTCTATAGACATGTTTATTTTTTTTTCCTTTTATTTCTTTTCTTATTAGTCTTGTCTTGATAATAAACAAGTCAAGTAGAAAAAATAAAAGGCATCTTTATATGTAGAAAAAGGGAATAGAAGAAGAACAAACACACTTGAATAACAAGTCTTATTCTTTTAACATGGATTTCAGTTCTACATATTTTTCATATAAATCATGATTTTTAAAGAATTCAATTAAATTCTCTTCTCCTTCATCTAATTTCCATTGGTCCAAGACCTTTTCTATTTGTTCTATTTGCCAGTCTAGAGCGGGTTGATGATGTCTTGCTGTCTTCTCTACCATGTTTGTTCTATGCTGAATGACACAATATAAAATCGATAAAAATATCTTCCAATCCCATCCACTATGAACTAATAATAATTTTTGACATTCTTCAATAAATTCAGATTCTGTCGTCAAGATTTCTTTAAGATCCACAATAGCCCTTGTACAATCATCATAATCCTTTTTTAAGGATTGATATGTCATCATTAAATTAGTAGCATTAGACCAGTTATGATTGATCGAAATGGCTGCACCAATATTCTCTACTTGATGATACCACCCTGAAGGTACAAAGACAGTTTCACCATCCTTTTGATAAATGACAATTTTACGTGCTTTCTCAAAATTTGGAAATTCAGTCGAGTCCACTTGACGAACATCATAGACTCGATTACCATATTTATCTTTATAGAGTTCTTCTTGATTTGGAGGAAAGAAAGTCCATTTCTTGATACCACAAACATTACTTGACCAAGAATAAGATCTAATTAAATTCGTATTTAGATAAAAGATGATGTTCAAAGCTGTTTATTTACTTTTATACATACCTATAAACATCTTCATGTAAAGGAGTAAATGTTGAATCACCACCTAAATAGACAAATCGATAATCATCATTATTATTTTCTTTTAACCAATATTCATTGAGCCAATCATCTACCAAAAAAAAAAAGGAGAGTATACAAGATAGGGGTTTGTTGAATTATTATTGCCTATGCTGTCTGTCTTTTTTTTTTTTAGAATAATGATGATAATACCTTCAAACAAATAAGGAACTTCATAGAAATGGTCATTAGGAAATGCCTTTGCCAAATGAAGATCTTTTAAATAATACAATGAAGGCTTCCCGTCATCGGCTTCCCACATGTCTACAAATTCTGCAAATGTCTTGAGAGTTCTCTGTTGATCAGTAAAATGACGTTCATCGCATTTGGCCACCTGACCTTTCGTAGTTCCAAAATGCTCACGTAAATATTGATAATTAGGTTTAAAACGAGGCTGTAATAGTTCATTCGATGAAGGATCTTTATTATCGTCATTGATTGGAATGACCCATTCCTTTCTAGCTTTCCAATGTTCTGTTAATGAAGGACCAATAATAGCGGGTTTGTTGGGAATCAAATGATTTTTTAAAAAGTCTTGATAACTGGGTGGTATTTCATAATAAGGAATGTCAAGTTCTTCTCTGGTCATTTTATTTGTTGTACAGGAAAAAAAAAAATTAAGGGAAGATTTTTTTTCACAGTTAATTAAAAAAAAAAAGCATTACAACTCAACGAAAAAAAAAAAAAAAAAAAAAGAAAAAGAAAAGAAGACTATGTATATGATCTTATTACTGCTTTATATACAAGTAATAAGTTTTGATAATAGTTCTACTTCTATAATAAAGAAGTTGCTAATTTCTAGTATAAAGATTGCCTTCAAAAAAAAAGAAGAAAAAAATCATAAAGTATTTCCATTATTCTTGATAAGAGTAAAGTCATGAATTCATAAAGAAGAAAAAAAAAGGAGTCTAGTGTTTTGAAACAAATAAATAAAAATAGAACAATACATTCAACATAATAGATACCTGTTAGATAATATAAATAGCAAGGTGAATGTAGCGTCATCTACAGTTAAAATAAAGGATTTCATTTATTTATTTAATTTTTAAGGAGAAGTATAAACAAACAGAAAAAAAGATAATAATGATTTCTATTTATTGAGCATATCCATTGCTATTCTATTGTAACTTTCCACTAGGGTGTAAAAAGCATAATTCTTGGTAAGGTTAGACTTTTTTTTTTTATACATAAACGTATCACATTTAACCCCTTTATTTTATTGTTTAATAATAATAACAAACAAAAAATAAAATGAATTCCTCTGTTCTTTCTTCTTGTTTTATTTTTTTTTTTTACTTATGTTAAGAGTCTATTCAATACTTTATTTGGAAAGCATTTGGTCAAGACCCAAAGCCATTCAAAACGATCCACCACCAAAGCAAAAGTCATCTTCTTTTATTATAAATAATGATAACAGAAGTGAATCTAGTCTCTCACAAGGTATATAACCTCTATACTTTCTTTTTTTTTTTATCTTTTTTAATGTCATGTATATTATTATAGAAGAAGTTTTCTTAAATGATGACCATCTACAACCTATTAAAGATAAGCATAAACAGGCTTTGAGCACAGATGAATCAAATAGCATCTGTAATAAAATACAAACAACTCCATCATTACAAAAAGAGAATGATCTTGTTTCTATCATTGCTACAAACCATTCGTCTGACGAAACTCTATTTCTGCATCAAGAATTTTCGACTGTATTATTATGTCCTCCTGAAATGAAAGCAAGCATTAAACAACCACCATCACCACCACCCTCACTGCAGCAGCAGCAGCAGCAACAACAACAACAACAACAAGAACAACAAGAATCAATTCATCTTTTCAACAAATCTCAAGAAAATGAGCAACAAGAAACAAAACTGTTACCTTATTCTCAAATAGATACTTGGGTTCAAAAAGAAGAGGAGTTACTATTACTCACTAACAACGACACACATCCTCATTCAAAAGGGATTTTTTCACCTAAACGTATTTTATACAAAGCTAAATCAAGTTTGATGATGGAAGAGAATGTATTCAACAAGATCAAGAGAAAGTCAAGTCACTTTTTATTAGATCACAAAAGAGAAAAGAATGATAACGATTTGTTTACTACAAGAAGAAGAATCCTTTCTTCTCTAAAGCTTAACAATTCATCAACAGATTCTTTAAAAAGAAAGTCTTTTCTATCTTTAACAACTGATAAAGGAAAGTTATTTACAAAAAAATGAAAAACACTTTTTCATTTCATACTTTATTGTAAAAAATAATAATAATAATAATAAAAGATTGACAAATCACATGATTCAATGCATTTCATTAAAATTATACAAGAAAATACTTGTATATAAGCATGATCAGGTGTTTGCTGTTATTAGTGGCGGAATTTTTTTTTTTTTTTTTTTTTTTTTTTTTGCTGTCCTATGAAACAATTGTATGTGTATATGTGTGTCTTCAGAAGCTTATTAATAACCGATTTTCCTATAATACTTGAAAAAAATATCACATTCTTTTTTTTTTTTTTTTTGTTTTATCCTATTTTAAGATTAAACTTTAACGATGACATTCAAGGCCGAGAATTTATAATAAGTAGTACATATTTTATTTTATTTTCATATAATTTATTAAGTACTATATATATTCCATATATACATGTGAATAAGATAAAAATATATATACAAACAAAAACAAGGAAATAGGATAGTGGTAATAATTAAAGGAGAAAAAAAAAGATTACATAAAAAAAAAGGGTAATATGAAATAAGGGGAAGGATATGAATGATTAAAATTAGTATTGATTACACTGAAGCAGAAGTAGCAATGGCAGTAGCAGCAGCAGTGGTAGTAGTAGTAGTAGTAGTAGTAGTTGCTGCTGCGTTACCTGTTGTAAGATGATCTAAAGCATGCAGAGTGGTTGATGATTTTGTCACGTCATTTGTAGTAGTTGTAGGGGAAGAAGTAGTCGTTGAATTTTTACGAAAGATTAAATTATCAAAATTAATACTATTAGCTGTCAAATGAGCATGTGAACAATCTCGATGAACCAATAGTAAAGCCTTTAAATTCAAGATTTCTTCTCGCAGTGTTAATGTTTGTTGTTCCAAAGCTCTATTTTCCTTTGTTAAGATATCAACACTGGATTGAAGTTGATTTAACCATTCCTTCTTTCTTTGTCTACATCTTAAAGCAGCTATAATAATAGGATAGGATGGGTGAGAATTTTATCTTAATTAGAAATTACTATATTTGTATATATTGATATTCATACCTTGTCTATTTCTTTCTAAGGCTTTATCGCGCTTTGTATTACCCGTTTTGTGTTGTGTTCTACCACGATGTGTATTTAAAGATTCCTCTATTAAATCTTGTTGAAGATGACTTGAAGGCACTGAGGAATCACTGCTAATACTATTATGTCGGAATTCAGGAGGGGGAGAAGGTGAAGGAGAGTGATCATGATGAGGAGGATGATAACCCATTGAGAGAAGATTATCATAAGGCTGTTGTTGTTGTTGTTGTTGTTGTTGTTGAGAAGGTGGCATTAATATAATTTCATTTCTATTATTCAATAAATAAGAAGTATTATTTGAAGCCATAGCAGCAGTAGTAGGTATGTGTTCAATAGGAGCAGAGGTAGGAGGAATGATATAAGAAGCACTTGTAGGTGGAAAACAACTTTGATTTGTGTTATTATTATTACTACTACAAGGAGATACAGAAGGTGTAGGAGGCATCATAGATGGTTGGGGTGGATAATGATGAGGGGTACTAATAGAATTATATGGAGGAGCGCTTGTATGAATAGTATGTGCCCAAGGTTGAATAGAGGTTACCATAGGTCTTTCAACGAAGATAGGTTCTTGATCTGATAGATCTGAAAATGATTGGTCATTATTCTTCATAATCATTGTTGACATAGAGTTGTTATTAGTTAATTGCATAAAAGGATATAAATATTAAAAAAAAAGGGGGGAGAGGAGAGATTTCTTCAAGTATTATCGCAATAATAAAATAAATTCTATATATTTTTTATAGTCTTTTTAATTTTTTATTAGAACAATCAAATACATAAAGGATAAGAAAAAGAAGAAAATAAACTGGGAAATTTTAAGTTTTTATAATAAAAAAAAAAAAAAAATAACAAATATTTATCTATATTAAAGTCCATATTTGGGTATATTTTTTAAAAAAAGGAAATTAAAATCTTTTTTTTTAACTCAGGACCCTTAAAAGTTTGTTGTAGAAAAAAAAATAGAAGTCCGCCTCCGAATATATTTTTATGATTATAAAAAAAAAAAAAGAAAAAAAAAAAAAAGAAAAGAGAAATAAAAAAATACAAAGAATAAAAAAGAAAAGGAAATAGTAAAAGAAAATAGAATAGTTTATTTATACTTGTTTGTATAGTCTATAAATAATAATTTGTCATTAATGTGCTTATTGTATGTCACAATTATTCTTCTTTTTTAGAATGACCTAAATATTTCGTATCCTAGTAATGAATAGAAATATTAGGGCCAGTTACTAAGCAAAAATACAGAATTAGAATAAACCAACTGAAACCAGAATTCCCCTTTTTTTTCATTATTTTTATTATAATTATACGCTTAATTTATTTTACGACCATTAGCGCAAATAACTCGAGCTAGGGCAACTATTGTTTAATTCAGGGAAAGTAAAAATTATGAGGTTATTTTTTTTTTCTTCTTCTTCTTCGGTAAACATGTATACATTCATTCCTTAAATAAATAAATATATACAAATATATACATATTTATATATTTATATATTAAATGAGAGGCGCATACTATACATACGACTTTTCTTGTCCCATGTAATCTGTAATAAAAAGTAATATTAAAAATAACTTTTAAATCCAAACGAATTAACCCATGCTTATGAGATGTCATTATCTTGAATGTAATTTGTATATTTGGATGTCAGATTAAAGCTTTTTAAACTTTACACATTGTGCTCAATTTATGCCTTTTTCTTGGTGAAACATCATCTGGCGGAAGGCTAAAAAAAATACATTTTTGGGTTCTTCTTCTTAACCACATGATTCTTTCTTATTGAGTAAACTTCTTTTCTCTTCTTTATGCATTCACTCTGTCTATTTCGTGGCTTTGCTAGGGGAAAAAAAAGGGGGGGAGTTGTGGAGGTTAAAAAAACAGAATGGAAATTTCAATTATTGACTTTGAACATTTATGTTGCATAGGATTGAAGTCTATATTGTTAGCTATTGAATGATATTCTTTTTTAAATAAAGTATTTTTTTCATTGGTAATAACAATTATTTAAAAATAAAGATCTCCACTAGTATAGAGTGACTTGTACTTTTATTTGATGTTATTAAAATAAATGAGTCTTTGATATAATCTATTATTACCATTTCATTTAGAGAAGATAATTAATAAATTATTGACTTTACCAATACATTAAATAAAGAGTTTGTTGTATTATTATATCAACCATGAAACCCAAAGGAAAAATAAGACCATCAAACAAAAGAAAAAAAAATTAACTCAGCCTTTTCGATGGCAGTAATAATAATAGTAGTAATCTAATATATTCTATACTTTGGATTACTTTTCTTCCTCGAAAAAAAGAAAAAAAAAATTTCAAGTAAAATGACTTTACATTTTCTACTACTATTCTGAATACAAGGTCGTTGTATGTTAACTATTTATCACAAGCGCTACTGTGACTGTCTTTTTAGCTATTATTTTTTTCCTTAATAAGAGTCTAAAAGAATAAGTTGATCTATAGTAATATTAAGTGAAACAGCTTACTAACACAAATCCAACAAAAAAAAAATAATTCTTCAGATTGTAAATCACGAGATTGTACTTGGTATTAATGCTTTGTAAGCTACTATATATTATTCTACCGTATTGAAGATGAAACTAATATCGTCCAAATAAGGTTTTTTTTTACACGTAAAAAGCTCTCCTTATCGTCATCAGCTTTTTCTTATTTTCTGGTGGATAAGTAACGATATTAACTCTTATATGCATATTGTTTGTATATAAATATCTATTATCCTAAGCATTATCGAAAAAAATAGACTTTTACTATTATAAATTATAGCAAGTATATTGAATGTCTTTATCTTTTATTGAATCATTATCATTACAACGGATGCTACCATCAACAATAAGCTTTTTTTTTTCCCTTAAATACTAAATATATTTTACTCCTTTATAACATAACTCGGGTAAAAAAAAAAGCCAAGAAGGCAGTAATGTTTTTTTTTATGAAGTTCTTTTCCTTTATTACTTGTAAACACTAGAGTGATAGTTTTAAAAGAAGATTTTATTATCTTTGTCAGCTTCGGAAAAAAAAAAAGTATGAATAGTTCTTGTTTCTACTCTCTTCCGCAGAGCATTTAATTTTTGTTGAGTTAAGCTTGTTAATGAGATCATCAATTTTTATACTCGAACAATATAATTAGTAAATTATAAATTTTGAGTGCGTTTTAAAGCGTGTTCATATTGCTTCTAAACGTTTTTTTTTTGTTGTCTTTCTCTATATTTTAGTCACAAATATATCCCCTTATCCTTTTGATAAGTCGTTAATTTCTTGATATATGTTTATACTTTTTGTATCCTAGAAAATTTCTTAGACTCACCTCTTGCTTTGGAAGAGGTAAATAAACTGCTCGGTATTCAATGTCCTTAGCAAAAATTAAATATAATAAATAATAACGGAATTTTATTGTTTTGATTTGTAATAAGAATAATAAATATTAATTTCTTCTAGTAGCATTATTTTTTTGAAGTCGATAGAGAAAAGAAAAGAAATTCTCTTTTATATATATATATATATATATATATATATTTATATTTATATTTATATGTATATAACATATATACTTTCTATATCTATTCATTTCCTCACTCTCTACTAAATTGAAGTTAGTTATTCAGTAACTAAAAATATATTCTTCTTAATATTTGTTGACAGTTTTCTTGCTTATTAAAAATATTGTCTAAAAGAGGAAAATATATTTATATATCTGTGGGCGGGGAATGTACTTTATATTTAATAAACAATAACTATCTTTTTTTTTTTTTTTTTTTTTTTTTTTTTTTTTTTTTATGTATAAACAAATATGGTACTTTGGATATAATTTTGCCTTTTACAGAAATTATTTGACTTTACGGTGAACAAAACCTATTCCGCACAAAAATAATTCCGCACAAAGAAGATAATAGAATATTACAATAACTTAATACAAAGGTAAGCTGATCGCTGAGATAACGGGTAATATTGATGAATTTATATATGAAGATATGTACATGTATTATGTACATACAAATTTAGTCATAATAAAAGAAAAAAAAACATTACTATATGTATCGTATTTCTGACGCGTGCTTTTGTCTTCTTTTATATCTCTTATGTGTATTTTTTTTTTCTTCTTTTTTCAAGTATCAAAATCTTACAGGAACATCTTTCCGAGAAACATAGAGAACAAAATAATAGCAATCATGCTAGTATAATAAGGTCTCGATTCTATATACAAGCAGTATATGATCTTCTTTACAATCTTGACTCGTACATCTATTATAAATAGAGTCTTTTTTTTTTATCTTTATATATAGGCTAGGGTTCTACAATGTAGACCCAATTTACTATCTTTCTTTGCTCTAATTAATAACTTTGCTATTAAACCTTGACTAGTAAGTTGTTTTTGAAAGTTTTGGTTTTCTGTTGGGAGGAGGAACATATACGTGTCTGAACTCAATTCGATATAATCTTAAACTCATACCCTCTCCTCCTCAATAGCAATACTGGGTGATTTATACTAAGTATATTATTTCTTAAAAGCTTACAAAGACAGAATAGAGACTGCTATTGTCTGATGATAAAATTAATAGCAATGACGCATTAAATTAGGTTTTCTCCACCAATTTTAACTTGATAATCGGCTTTTTAATGTTTATTACTATAATAGGAATCATGAATTGTCACACAGCGATCTTGCAGAACTCTTTACTATACTACCAGTAAAAAAAAAAAGACTTTTAAAATATTTTGGTTATCTTGACTACTTTAGTATACTCCCTATTTGAATTGTCTTTTTTTCTTTTCTTTTCAATACTGTAACGCCACTATCATCAGTTCGAATAGTATCATAGAAATTAACTCTACTGATTTTCTTGTTGAATGGAATGCTTTCAACTTTACCAACTTGAACCTAGTATTCACGTTTATTAGTACTATTCCCTCAATTTAAACTTGGTATATTATACATAAGTGATGTAAAAGAAAATCATTCAAACAGGAACATAAAAAAGGAAAAAAAAAAGGAAATGCAGGATTGGTGTCAAAATATTTTCATTACTTATCAAATCCGATAGTGCTCATTAGAAGCATTTCATACAAGACAAGATGTAGTAGAGTATGTGTATAAATTTCTCTTTGAAAGAATTAAAGTAATGTTAAAATGGGTTGTTTAAACTACATCATATGTATAGATTAGTATTGTAAAAGTATACTACACAAGTAAACAAATTTCTGCATCATTTATCCCTTGTACTAGTAATTTTTTTTTTATCCTTCTTTGTGAAGCAACAAATCGAGCATCCATTGCCATTTTTCTCATTTATTCATCATTTACACATGTTTTAAACAAGTCGTTACATCATCAACTTTGATGCTTAAATTAAATAACTAGGGGAGAATGCAAGTGCAAGATCTGATCTCTGATGAGATGGAAAGAAAAAAAAAAAAAGTCATTCAATTAATCACAAGTATTTTTTTTTCGGAACAAAGTTTGATCTTTTTAGTAGAAGCCACAAAAAAAAAAAAAAAAAAAAATTAAGAATAGTTATATTATAAAGTTATCATATGAACGGTATCATCAATTTTAAAGTTCTCATTCGTCATTACTGTCAAACACATCATTTGCACAATTGCTGGACCTTTAGTAGTAATCTTTTACTTTACGAAATTCTAGTTCATTTTTTTTTTTTTTTTTTTGTTTAATCATTATAAATAATTATTCTCATAAAAACAACAACTCTATCCATACACTAAAATATACAAATAAAATAGATAAAGATGAAATAATTATTATTATTAAATTATTTTAAACAAATTCATTTATTTCTTCTTGTTGGCTTCCTCTTCAGCCTTGTCACGAGCACGCTTCTCACGAGCACCAAGAGTACGAGCAGCAGAACGAGCATAACGGAGAGTCATGTAAGCGTTCTTGTTCTTCTCTTCGGCAGTAATAGCACGAGCTTCAGGGGCAGCAGGGATTTGTTCAACAGGGAAGAGAGGACCACGAAGTTGAACAGCAGCAGCGACTTCAGCAGCCTACACAAATAAACACACAAAAGTTTAGAATAAACCTCTTCAAAAAAAAACATAAACAGTATTATTTTTCTTCTTCTTACCTCAGAATCACCCTTCTTGGGCTTACCAGCCTTACGAGGGAAAACAATCAACTTAGCCTTGTAAGCCTTCAAACGTTGAACGTTAAGTTCGAGGGATTCATTGGATCTGTTACGACGACGGTGGTCAACAGCAATACCAATAGTGCGGGCTTCCTTGCGACGAATACCAGCTTCCTAATAAAAGGTAAAAAAAGAACAATAATGTGTGTAAGAAAATCTTTCTCTACTTCTCCTTCCCTCTCTCTCTTTCTTTCTCTCTTTTCTTTTTTCCACCCCCATTTGATTCATTTATTTTTTTTTCTTTGATGATTTTAATTTATCCTTCTTTAAAATTTACCTTGAGTTCTTCAAGAGTGAAACCACGACCGGCTCTCAACTTCATGTTGTAACGAACGGTAGGGCAACGGACAGCAGGACGAAGAAGACCATCGACAGGTCTGGGAGCAATACGACCAGCCTTTTGGACACGTGCAAGTCTTCTAGACTTCTTACGACCAGCTTGATCAAACCAAGTCTTAACGCGACGGTCCCATTGCTTGCGGAAGTGCTGGTTAGGCAACTGGTTGTTGTGCTTCAAAACCATGATCTATAAATGATTATATATATAGAGTTGATTGAAAAGAAGCAAAGTAATTTTTGTTGAAAATTGAATTCAAATTTGAAATGGTACATGTGTATAAATATAGATAGATAGATAGATAGATTAAAAAAAAATAAAATATTTCAGTTAGTTTAATCCTATATCTTGTCTCTTTCTCTCTCTCTCTCCTTTTTTTTCTTTTTTTTTTTGTTCCATGTATAATTATAAATAGATGTATCCATTTCTTTAACGGATGGATGTTATACGTACAAATGACCAGTAGATGAAAAGAGAATGGGCTTAACGATGCATCCACCTGCCCTCCAAAGTACGCAAAAAAAATGGTGGCTGGCGGATTTTAAATTCTTGTTAATTTTTTTTTTTTTTTTTTTTCGTTTTCCATAGTAACCAATTATTTGAACGTCAAAAAAAAAAAAAAAAAAAAAATAAGATCAAAAATTATTTAGGGTCATTTTTATTTATTCCAAGATATAGCTATAAATATCAGTTCTTTTAGTTTACGAACCTTATAATGAATGGTCCTTGATAAACAATTTTTGCAGAGCTGGTATAAATATCCTCCGAGATCTTTTAAAATAAATTTTCTAATTTTTGTCATTCAGCTGATAAATGCTCCATAACCATTCACATTTGCTTTCCTTCATCATATCAATGTTATTATTGCATGTGCTAACACAGTGTTGTACAACTTTTATGAGGAACCTGCTACTCTTATTCATAATTAAACTGCAGGATATAGATCAACATATCTCAAATTAATAATAATTTGTATTGGTTATCTAGAAGTTGTTACTGTAGAAGGATTCTTTGGTAGGATTAATAGAAATAGCAAAAGATCTTTCTTTCATCCACAAATGATAATAGAAAATTTGTTGATTGTATTCCTTCTTATATAACTTATATCACTACATTACTACCAGTCTCTATTACTAGCATAAAGCTTTTGGATATTACAGCTAAATAAACTTTACTAGAAAAAAAAATTGGACTTTTTTTCACAACTTGAATTACGTTAAAAAAAAAGGTTGCATCTTATCAACTTTTTACGATTTGTTAAATATTATATTCAAAATTGCATAGTCACCCGTCAAATAATACTTTGCATCCAAGCATGTAGCCAGAAATAAAGTTAATAGGATACAATAAGTTCCAAGAAATATTTTAAAAGTGGTTTCATGATTAGTCTTGAATCTACAGAGGATATGAAACCACATACACACACACACAAAAAAAAAACTACAATGATACATAACCTGAACAAACTATCTCGTAAAACTCTCCCTTCCGGATTTAAATTTATGCAGCATTTATGCTGCCATTATGAACATTGATATAAATGAGGGGGTAATGGGTAAAACTTTTTTTTTCTTTTTTTAAAAAAAAAAAAAAAAATCCAATAATGCTACTCTTCAGTTTCAGGGTTAAAGAAGATTATTATAATAGTAGCTTAGGTGTTGTACAATAGACGCTACTTAGACTGCTTTACCTTAATATAATGAGTTATAGTCATTTAATTATATAAATACATATATATATCTTTATGCTTCCACTTTGATATTGATAAATTATCTTAAAAATACTTATTTCTTATCTTTGTCCTATCTCTCAACTTATAAAATTTTGATTCATGCATTAAATATCATACAATTGTTGAAGCCTTTACCTAGGAATAATTGAATACATCAAAGACTACCTAGCCACAAGTATAAAGACATTGTGTCTAATTTCTCAAAGTATTTTTTTTTTTTTTTTTGTAAGAGGATATATTTACAAATACACTCGGTTATATATACAAACTAGTTATCGAGGCAAGCGAGGAGATAGTGTACCATTTATTGGATGATTCTATTAAATCAATTGTCAAATACGCAAATTTTCTAAATTTTATTCTATATATATAGATATATGTATATAAAGCAAGCATTCATTACTTGAGTCACTTTTTATATATATAGGAAAACAGCTTTTTGAAACGTTTAAATGTTAGTACAAAGAGTAATATTAACAAAGGTGATTTTGAATCTAGCAAGCAACAAATAAAAGGTAGTTGTGTTTCATTCGTCAAAAATGTCACCAATTGATTACAATTCTAGATTTGCATGGCTACATTATTAATAAAGCTCCATTTTGATAAATTATATGCATGTATGAATGATATCTAATTTTATTTCAATTGGGGCAGCTGGGGCGGGAAAAAAAAAGTTGATAATGTATCAATGGAAAATAAATAAATAAGCAGGATATACACCATGTGTCACTCCCCTCCACTCCACAGCTTGGTACTATTTCTGATGTAAATAGGCTTTTTCTTTATCTAATAAATATATTTACTATCTATTCATTTAGACTTTTTCTCACAAGACCCCCCCTTTTTTTTATCAAGTAAACTTTAGCATTCTTATAGTGAAATGTACATTATTGAATTCATACCAAACCTGCAGAAAAAAAAAATGAAATGCCACCAAAATGGTATCTCCAGTTTCTTTTTTTTTCTTTTTTTTTCATTATTATATTAACTGCTATCATACTTACTTTGTCTTTGGAGCCAATCAATTAGAAAATAGTGCCATCAAGAAAAAACTTTATATTGTTAGAGTATCTAGATATCATTTTAACTGATTCGGTAAATAGTTTATCATAATACAAAAAAAAAAAAAAAAAAAAAAAAAAAAGGATGCAGGAACTGAAGAAGATTCTGTTAACGAACAGTATATCATCTAATAAGAACAGAAAATTTTGCTCGAATAAAATGCAATGAACTGAGAACATGCCTAATTTTGTATTTGGCATATTAGTGTCTTGAGAAACTATTCGAAACTGGTGATTCGAGCCAACTCTTCAGTTACCAAAAAAAAAAAAAAAAAAGTTAGATCTAATAACTTTGCATTCTATTCTTCTCTCTAATTTGTATATTCTTGAATATGCAAGCAACTCAAATTCATCAAGAGTCATTATAATGTGATTTGCAACCTTAGGAAGCAGTTAGTCAATATATTACACTTTGCGTCTTAAGGTTTAAGAGCTCTAGCAGATATATAAATAACTGTAACTATAAAGGTAATGGTAATAATTCTGAGCTATCAATTTTAATAAGCGCAATAAAAATGGATAGATGCCAAGATATATCCAGTGAAGATATTCGATTTCATTATTAATAAATCCTTTGATAGACCCTATATAAGAAGCTATGTATATCTGACATTAGATGGGAGTTTATAAAAGTAATTAATAACAACTGAGTGAGTAAAGTGTATTATACTCATGAACTGTGGAACATGTATATGTCAAATCAAAGAATAGTACTGAATTTAAAATTACCCCTGAACATATTTTGTTGTTTGATTCAGTGCGCTCTTCATAATCAATTCTGATAGGATGTCAGCCTATGAGAGATGCGAGACAGTATTATAAATCTTGTCAATAACTAATGCAAAGCAACATCATCCTTTCATTCTCTAAGCTAACTATAAACGAACCATAGTTCTATCTGCAGGGTTCATTAATATTAATAATAATAATAAACTTCATGACCTCCTGATACTCGTACTCTACTTCAAAGTTGTAGTTGAAAGCAAATGTGAATGGTTATGAAGAATTTATCAACTGAATGACAAAGACTAGGAAATTTATTTTAGAAGATCTCGGAGGATACTTATACCAGCTCTGCACAAACTGTTTATCAAGGACCATTCATTATAAGGTTCGTAAACTGAAAGAACAAAACCAATATTACTTCTATACATAATAGTTACACAAGCAAAAAAAAAAAAAAAAAAAAAAAAGGCACATAATGGCTTGTATCAGGTAATATCTGTTACAGACTGAAAAAAAAAAGTATTACTTTTTTATTTTAACTGTAATATATGCTTACACATGAAAGATGATCTTCATATTTGGTATTAAACTGGCATATAGAATATATTATAATCCCTACTAATTGAATAGTCTATATTGTAAATAAAAAAAAATATAAAAGTGAATAAAACAATACCATTTTTTTTATTATGAAGCACTAGTATGTAGATGAAATATCAATAAGCTTAATTACTGACTATCATATTCTATATGTATAAAATATATTATTTGAAATGTAACATAAATATTAAAATATATATTACGTTACGTACAACTAGAATCTAAATAAGATCGATTAAAAATAATGCTTCTTTATCACCATGCTTTTGTATTGTATAACATATAAAATAGATCATCTTATAATAGTAGCAATGATAGTGGTACTGGATAAGCTTTATTTTTCTTAGCTAATAGACTATTAACAATACATTTGTGAAGCAAGGAAAAAAAAAGGGGGAGCATATATTCAGCATCTTTCCATTTTTTCTTTTTCTTTTTTTTTTATTTATTATGTACCATACTTTAATAGTGTACATTTGATTCTATTATTTATGACAAGTAGTATAAAATATTTAAGACTCTTGTATTTAATTTCTTATTTGTATAACAATCTATTTCCTATTTTATAGAATCTCCCCACATTATTGGAATATATTCTCAATAATACTGCACAATAGATTAAATTTTCCCGAGAAAATATAAATGACCCTGTATAATATTTCATAATATTTTACCATATAAAGTATCGAGAAAGGGTTCTTTTCATATAAATATATATATAACTTCACATACACAAACTTGTATTTATACAATCAAATTTGTTATTCTTCACATCCTATAATACATAAATCGATACTTTTACCAAATATATTTATATAAATATAAATATACATATTTGTATATAAATAAATAAAAAGAATCACTTTATCTTATTTTTTTTTCGACTTACTGTCGATTATTCTAATAAATTCTACTAAAGATTATAAAGTACCGCGCACGCCTAAACTCATGACTCCACATTTTTTTTTCTTTACTAATCTAACTAACAGGAGGCGGAGAAGATAAAAGGGAATTTAGTGATCCTGAGAAAATTTCAACAACATAAAAAAGGCGGGAAGTCATGGAAACTAAAATATTTCTTTTCTTTCCCTCTTCTCCCCCCTTTTTTTCTCTTTAATAATAATAATAAAAAGCATTTTTTATTTATTTGTTTCTTTATATTTTACAGTAATGTCTGACTATAAAGATATTATATCTAAATCCGTACCACTTTATCACCATGAACAAGTACCGTTTCATTCATTTTCAAGACAACACACTTCTTCTACAATGAATAATAATAATAATAATTCTTTTTTTAATGATTCAACAGAAACTTTAAAACAAGAGCATCATCTACAACAAGCAAATCCAATTACCAGTGAATTACAAGATATTATCATGAGCTATCAATCTCAACCTGATTTACTAAGATTGATATTATTGAGTAAATTAGAAGAAGACAAACGTAGAGCAGAAGAAGCTAAACTTAGATCAAAAGAACTCGACCTCTTATTAACACAACAACAAATGATACATATTGAACACCATCATGATAATTCTCTTTTATCATCATTTCAACAAGTTACACCACCACAAAGTAGTAATTCATCTACAATAGACATAAAAGGATATAATAGTAATAACCCTATCATGATGATGCGACGTACAAGTTTTGATGCCGTTTTATCGTCCCCTACACTTTTACAGAACCGTAGACGTGAGTCTACTATAGCTTCTTCATTTACTGCTGATTCAGATGAATTTGATGACAAACTATTTTCACCTATTCCCACATCCTCTATTACCCCTGTCTCTACCGCCACTGCTACTTCTACTACCACTTCTACTACCATTACTACCAATACTCCTACAGCCGCTATTCCTAATTTCTCGCTTCAAATGGAAAGGTAAAAAAAAAAAGCACCCCACGATTTTAATAATTTTATACCCCGAGTTAATTGTATACATTAATATATACATCTATTTTACTTTCAGTTATAATAATAGTTCTACAATGGAAATGATGTCTTTATTAGATAATCAAAAAGCATATAATACAACATCAGCGGCCTATTCAACGTCGAGACTCGATTATGAACCGACATTTAATCCATTAGATATAAATAGTGAATTATGCAATAATTTATCATCAACAGTGGTGGGATATGATTTCCCATCAAAACCACGTAGAAGAAGAGAAATGCAAGCGATTACAAAAATAGTTGAAACTCGAGAATACCCTTATATCGATGGACACTTTTGGAAAAATAACGGTAATACGATTCAAAAGAAAACGGGCAATAAAAGTATTTATTATAAATGTTCAAACAGTAATAAGGTAAATTGATGATATATGTATAGAAATATATACATATACATATGTGTATACATATATAATTTTTTTTTTTTTACTCCACTAAAATTCTCTTCTTCTTCATCACTGAATTCAGGAATGTCCAGTGAATAAAACAGTAACATGGAAAGATCATGGAGAATATTTAATAAAATATCGTGGTGATCATTTACCAGATTGTAATAAAGTTCAAAGAATTGTAGATGTATAAAGTAAAAGATCTTTTTTTTTTTTTATAGAAAGGAGGAGGATAATATTCTTTTTTTTTTGTTACGTAATAGAACGTAATTTTTTTTTTTTTTTTTTTTTTTTGCATTTATAATATTCAAAAAACAGAGTATTAAATAGAGCAACATAATTAATCTCGTAAATAATAAAACTATAGCTTAATAATTCATATCTTTCATTTTCTTGTAATAATAGGCAATTTTGATCTACTGTTCGTATTTTTATTTTTTTTTTGTCGAAAGATTATTTTTAGAGGATCGGCATTTCCTTCTTATTCAGGTTTTATATTATAATAAAACTGTTTTCCTAGTTGTAGCTAAACAACGCGTTACCAGTAGCGATGGTAACTAATTCCGATGAAATTCAAGGTCAATATTAAAAAGAAACATAATTACTTTAGTTATAAAGAATTACTTTATTACTCAATTATTTCATTTTATTTTGTTTAACTTTATTTTGCGGATATTGAATTTTTTTTTTTTTTTTTTTTTTTTTTTGTTTCTTCAATATTTGAAATTTTGTAAGGAATCATGATTTGACATTTATATTTTTAAGATCAGCATTGTTGTACTATTTTTTACTTTTCCTTTTTTTTTAACTCGCTATTTTTATTAATGTTAAAGGGAATGAAAACAGACAAAAAAAATACTTGAGTTCGTTTAAGAATACATGGATATAATAATTGTAGTAGTAGTATTCATTTAATAAAAAAAAGGAATGTAAAGTAATAATAAAAGAGAATTGTTGAAGAAAGAATTTAATTTTAATTTTAGGATGTTACCAAATAAAGCCAATTTAACTAAATATCGTTCTATAATGTATACAAAAAAAAACAAAAAAAACCAACAACAACAACAACAACGACAATAATGATAACACTGATATCAACAACAAAAACAGCAATTATAATAGCAGTGAAAGAAAGAGATAATCTACTGATTTAAGAGAAGTTCTCTGTTAATAAAATTTTCATTGTACATTGGATTTTCCGTTAAATTACTAGATGCTACTTTTTATGGAAATTTTCTTAAATAAGGTGCAACATTTTAATAATTGTCATAAAACCTGCTCTAACATCATTTCCAGGAAAACGATATGTAGGAGGTCGAAATTGCATAATTAAAAAAAAAATAAAACCCTTTACATACATATAAATAGCTTGATGAAATTACTTTTCTTTTCTTTTTTTTTTCCTCTAACTATTATTCATATCTCTATCTACAAATGGTCTTAAGTTCCGTTTTTACTTGCATTTCTGCATGCGTTTTACTTATCCAATCTGTTGCTGTCATCCATGCTGCGCCTACAAAATCATCCAGGTCTCTTAAAAAAACAGGTCATCACTTACATGGTCGATTCCTCCATATTACTGGTAAAAGCAAATTTTATCTTCCTACTATTCATTCTTCTTACTCACACACACACACACACACACTTTTTTTTTATTATTGTTATTAGATCTTCATCTTGATCCTTATTATCGTGAAGGAGCTGATCCCAGTCATTACTGTCATCGATATGGAAAGAAGCGATCTAAAGCAGCTGGTAAATTCGGTGCTTTGGGTACTGAATGCGATTCTCCTGGACCTCTCGTAGAAGCCACTTTCAATTTTCTTAAGAAAGAAATTAAAAATGTTGATTTTATTCTTTATACTGGTGATACGGTTAGACATGTAACGTATCACAGTTACTATATTATTAATGAAAAAAAAAAAAAAAAGAAAACTAATTCAACTTTGTACAATAGGACCGTGATGATAAGTTACCTAGAACAGATGCTCAGGTACTTGAAGGCCATAGATCTATTATCAAATATTTCAAAAAAACTTATTCACATAAAATGCTTTTTGTAAGTTGAGATGACACAGTTCCTTTTATATAAAATTTGACTAACATGATATTAAATTAGGTTCCTACCATTGGTAATAATGACACTTATAAACATAACAAAATTAAAAAGAGAGATCACATCTTTCGCAAACTCAAAGCCATCTGGAGACCTCTTGAACTTGATATTAGAAACGAATTCCTTAATGGAGGCTATTTTACTCATGATCTCATTAAAAACAAACTCAGTGTTATCAATTTGAATACCATGTACTTCTTTGATAAAAATAACGATGTAGACGATTGTGATTCTCCAAATAGTCCCGGTGCAATCCAAATGAGATGGCTTGAAAATCAATTAGAGGCATTAGAAAAGAAGAAGGGCAAACAGCAGGCTTATATTATGGGCCATGTTCCTCCTATTGATGACAATGGTTCTCGAATTTATAAAAGTGCTTGTTATGATCAATATTTCTCATTGCTTGGTAAACATGGTAGTGTTATCGCAGGTCATTTTACTGGCCATACAAATGGTAAATATATATATATGTATACAAATATATCTATTGCACCTCCCTCCTAATTTTTTTTTTTGAATTTATAATTCATTTATTAGATGATAATTTATATGCTGTTGTACCCGATGGTGATGGTAGTTACGAATTTGTAGCTGCTAATGATAAAAGCGTGAGACATCGAGAAAATGATTTAGAAAGAGCAAACGTTCCTCTCTTCAATGCACCCTCTGTTATTCCAGTGCATAATCCTGCTATTCGAGTTTACCATTATGAGACACAAAATAACAAAAGACGTCCTATAGGTACAATTACTGATTGGGATCAATACTATGTTGATCTTGACAAGGCTAATGAACATGGACAAGCTGAATACCAATTGGAATATTCTGCTTCTAAGCTCTATAATGTGGATTACTTTGATGGTGAAGACCTTGGTCAAGCTATCTTGAATATTGCAACAAATAAACGTGCTCGTAAAATATACAACAAATACGCTAAGGTCTCTACTTAAAAGAAGAAAAGAAAAAACTTTATTCCCTTAGACAAAGAGAAACTATTCTTCTTTCCTTTATTTTATTTTATATACATATCCCCCTCCCTTCCCTTACCAATTTCAAATATTATTTATATCCTATTCTATTTTGTACATAGTTAAATATATCATAGATTGTTATTTAAAAATCCAATAAATGTATTTTTTTTTTCTTTTTAGAACAATGAAATAAAATGGAAGCTGCTGTTTCTCTTAAGGTTAGGAGGAATGAGACAACTGTAATAAGTAATAAATTTATTTTTTATATACTAATATTTTATTAACAATAATACTATCATTACTAATATGACCTACTCAATAATTTCTTTTTCTAAAATATACAATACATATAGTAAACAAGATATATAATATTAACTAATCGTAAAATCACACAGCCTCTCCTTAATCTTTTTTTCTTTTTATATGTATATACATATATAAATTAGATCAAGTAGACCATTTACTACTATTCTATTCTAATTATTTTATCAACAGAGTCTTCTTCTCTTGGAGAACCTAATAATACTACTCAGTTTAATATATTGCAATTATTGATTATGTTTTTTAAAAAAAAAAAAAAAAAAAAAAAAAAAAAAAAAACTTTTTTTCCTATATTCTATCATAGGGAAATTTTAAAACTTTTCATCATTTTACTGCTAAAAATAAAAGGTTTCATAGTCAACAAATATTTAGATGGTAGCTATTATAGCATTTTAAGAAATAAAATAAAAGAGATATATGTTCATACAATTAGTAAAACTTTTATCATTGGTTTGACGTGTATTCTATATTCTTCTGATTTTATGATATTAAAAGTTATATATTGAATAGGTTTAATCAATGATAGCAAATAGACTAAATGACCTCTGTTTCTCCGTCAGTCCATTCATCTCTCCCTCAAAAAAAAAAAAAAAGTGAACTACTAATAAATGCTTGAAATGACTATTTACATAAAGGATATAGAATATAGTTATGTCTTCAAACTACATTTCGCTCCAAATATTGCATATATTTTATACGATAGAAAATCTTTACCAATAACCATAGTTACATAGTAATCTATATGTATCATTCTTAGTGACGTTTCTATGGTATTCTATCAAAATATCTCTATAATACTCTGCTAATACATTCTATTACTGTGCAAAAGACGATATATTATTTGTTAATGTATTTTTATGATCCATATTTTGCTTTTTAATATATCGTGCAAAAGTACTTTACGTCAAATATGATGATTTATGTCTCGCACGTTATGTTTAATACATGTATATTTATTTATATATGTATATGTATATACTATAAAAAGAAAAAAGAAAGCGTTTTTATACATATGATTATTCACTCAATGAAATTGCTTCATAAAAAAAAAAAGAAGTAATGCTGGTTATACTATATCTCTCAAAAGGGGAGCCATCATTCTATATATAACTATTTAATAACAAAGGCACTAGAAACATATTCTCTTCTTGAGTATAATAATAAAGAGTTGTATTGACATGTGATTCACACGCATATGATATATGTTCATTCATAAACTTTACATCATAAGAAATAAGTAGAAATATGTTAGTAACTTATGATGATATATGTAAATTTTGTTCTATTGATAACATTACTTTTATTTCAGTAACATATATTGTCTAAATTACTATGAAATTTAAAATGCTACTTTTTTTTTTAAACTATTTACATCATTCTTTACTCTAAATTAGGTATTTTAAGGTAAATATAAGGCTGATAGGGTCCCTTTTACTACATTATTCTTTACTATACAAGTAATAATAGTAATTATAACAGAGCAAGTTATTTTCTTCTCTTATTAAATATAATTTTATACGATAATATTGCCAATTATGATCATGTATAATTATCATTTATCATAATATGACATGCTTCATGGTAATAAATTCATTACATAAGCATGCTTTAATAACTTGTTCTTTTATGCATACATAAACATAACCATTCCTTCTAAAATCGTAATACATGTGTATATATATTTAGGGTAACTCATTTATTTGCCTCTTATTATTATCATTATTGATAGGAAGGACAAATGATTCCAAAAGGGAAAAGTTATTAGTTTATCTTTTGTTATTTAATATATCTGTGAAAAAAAAAAGCTTATATTTCTACAATATAAATAGTTTCCCCTTCATTGTTAGTGCCCTTTTACAGAACTTTCTATTTGAGTCATCTTTATTCAAGTGCAACACTAAATATAATAAAAGGTGTGAAGAGTGAATAATCTTTTATTTTCCCTTTTTATACATTATCCGCACGTGCAATTACACACGTAAAAAAAAAAAATTAAGATAAAGGTTAAATTTGTATTTTTTTATTTTTTTTTTATTTTCCCCGCATACTAATTCTTACAAAAAACCAAAAACCAAAAAGAAAATGTCAGATATTCTTCATTATAGCTCTCTGGAAAGTATTCAAGATCATGTTAGTCATGTCCGACAAATATTTCTTACTGGTAAACCTCGAGATTTAAAATGGCGTAAACTTCAACTTCAACGATTATATGATCTTGTGAGTGAAAATGAGGATAAGCTTTATGAGGCATTATCCAAAGATATGAACAAGCCATTAAATGAAGCCATGAGTGGCGACATTGCACCGATTCTTGATGAATGTCTTTATTTTATTGATGTAAGGATTATACACAAGCTATTTTATTTTTATTTTATTCAACATTTAATATATAGCATCTTGACCAATTGGCACAAGATCGTAAGGTTGTTCCAAGATCAAGTGTTAATAAAATGGAAAAAGTGATTATTCGTAGAGATCCAGTGGGAGTTGTGCTTATTATAGGTTCTTGGAATTATCCTATTCAGGTATATTTATATACTATAGTATAAAATGATTATAATTTAATTATTTTATACATATATAATTTAGTTATCATTAGTACCTTTAGCAGGCGCTATTGCTGCTGGTAATTCAGTTATCCTCAAAGTAAAATATACATACAAATAGATATTATATAGCAATTCTATTTACATATATACATATAATAGCTTTCTGAAGTAGCACCTTATACTGCAGCAGTTATCACAGAATTATTTCCTAAATATCTGGATACAAGTTGTTATAGAATTGTTAATGGTGGTGTACATGAAACAACTGCACTTTTAAATGAAAAGTTTGATCATATCTTTTATACTGGTAATAGTACAGTAGCCAAGATCATTATGACAGCTGCTGCGAAACATTTAACGCCTGTTACACTTGAATTAGGTGGTAAATCGTAAGTATGAGTGTATAAATGTATATGTATGCATATATAGAACAGAGTATCTTACATCATACATATACATATCCTAGTCCTGCCATTATTACTCCTGATGCTACAAATATTCCTTTGATTGCAAATCGAATTGCCTTTGGTAAACTCTATAATTGTGGACAAATTTGTATCGCAGTTGACTATGTTCTTTGTCCAAAGTCAAAATTAAATGAATTTATTACTTGTTTCAAACAAACTGTTAAGAATTGGTATGGATCCAATCCTCAAAAGTCCAAGGATTATGCACGTATTGTATCTGATCATCATGTTGAACGTATAAAGAATATGTTAAATGCTCGTAAAAGTGGTGATATTGTCTTTGGAGGTGAAATTGATAAAGAAGATCGATATATTGCACCTACTTTAGTTGTCGATGTTAAAGAGAATGATCCTATTTTAATGGGAGATGAAATATTTGGACCTATTTTACCTATTATTACATATCAAGATGTAGATGAAACTATCAGAATTATTAATAAGAGGTAAATAATCAATAATGTGACTTCTTTTTTTATTAGTTGGAGTTATTAAATGCTAATTATATCATTCACAACAAGGGAGCCTCCTCTTGCACTTTATATCTTTTCAAATCAACGAAAAATAATAGAAAAGGGTAACCAATAATGACGTTATTATTATTATTATTAATAATAATTCTATTTAACATGATTAGTCCTGAGAAATACTCAATCAGGTGGTGTTTGTGTAAATGACTGTTTAATGCACCAAGCAGGTAAAAAATAAATAAGAGTATGTAGACTAATAAGCATATTCATATAAAAATTTACTTTATTTGTATAATAGAATATAGTATACCATTTGGTGGCGTAGGTGCTTCTGGAATGGGTAATTATCATGGTGAAAAATCCTTTACCACTTTTACTCATGAACGATCTATGCTTATTAAAAAGCAACAAATGGAATCCGCTCTTCGTGTTCGTTATCCTCCTTACAACGAGCGTAAATACAAATTATTACGTCTTTTGATGGTTAAACATCCTTTATTACTCAAATTGAAGGCTTATCGTAAGCCAATCATCGGTTTATTTGTTTCCATTTTGATTTATTATTTAATGAGACAAAAAAAATAAAACATGTGACCCCTTTTATTTTCTCACGCTTTCATTGGCTGTTATTGATACCTATTTACTTATTCAACCCAAGTTTCAAATATAAAAAGAAGAGGAGAAAGAAAATGTGTGTGTGTAAGAGAGAATTTAATTTTTTTTTTTTTTAGTCTTTTTTTTTTTATTTTTATTTCTATTTGAAAAGGAAGCATGGAAAATAAATTCTTAAAATCAAATCAAGTATCAGTGATTGGTGTCCCTTTTAATGGCGGACAACCTCGTGAAGGAGTAGAAGAAGCACCTATTCGACTTGTAGAATTTGGTTTATTAAATCAAATAGAAGAATTAGGATATTCAGTTGAATATGAAGGAAATGAAGATATTCAAAAGTTGAAGCCAGCAGAAGATCCTATTATATTCAATTTAAAACAACCTAAATATGTATCTAATGTCACCCAAGTTGTTAGTAAGCAAATTGAAAATCAAGCTAAACAAGGCAAATTCGTTTTAACTTTGGGAGGTGATCATTCAGTTGCTCTTGCTACTGTATCTGGTGTATTTAGTGCTTATCCTAATGCATGTCTTATTTGGGTGGATGCACATGCTGTAAGATAGTATAGTATAGATAGACACATTTTAAAAGCTTTACTAATAATGATAATAATAACAATTAGGATATCAATACACCTTCTACTACGGATTCGGGTAATATTCATGGTTGTCCTCTTAGTTTCTTAACTGGTATTGCAGATGATCATCCTGACTTTAGATGGGTTAAACCTCTTCTTAAAACAAATCGTTTAACTTATATTGGTTTACGTGATGTTGATCCAGAAGAAAAGAAGATTCTTCGTAAATATAATATTAAAGCCTTTTCAATGACACATGTGGATAAATATGGCATTGGCAAAGTCGTTGAGATGGCTCTTGATCATGTTAACCCTAATAGAGATTTACCTATTCATCTTTCATTCGATGTGGATGCCTTGGATCCTACAGTCGCTCCTAGCACAGGCACACCTGTACGTGGTGGCCTCACATTCCGTGAAGGTCATTATATTTGTGAAGCAATTGCAGAGACTGGCTTATTAGTGGCAACTGATATTATGGAAGTAAATCCTACTTTAGAAGATACTTCATCTGTATTCCAAACAATTCAAATTGGTTGTTCACTTGCTCGTTGTTGTTTAGGTGAAACTTTATTATAACTGTATAGGTCTTATTCTTCTTCTTTATTTATTAAAGTATATATTCTTTTTCTTTTTTTTTTTTTTTCTTTTTTTCTATTTTTCACACGATAATTACCAAATATGGAAATCTTTTTAAGGGGTTCATTGAACGCGGGATTGGTCGGGAAAATATTCCGTTATCAAAGAAAAAAAAAAAGTATTATAATAGTACACTAACGATATTACGTATCATTATAGACGTGATTATCTAATTTATAAGATACTTTTTATTCGATTATCATTTTAACAAAAAAGGAAACTTTTTTTTGTCTTTTTTTTTTAAAAAAAAAAAACAGATAACAAAATTAATTTATCAGATTGATTTTCATTATTAGAAATAGTAGTACATCTAAAATTTTATATTAAAAAAGTAACAAAAAAAAAGGTTTTAATAATAAAACTGTGTTATTGATTTTTTTTTCCTTGTATAATAATATTTATTTTTAATAATCATATAAAAAGTTACTACTGCTTTTTATCTACTACAGAGGTAAATATTTTTTATTTATTCATTTACTACAGTGATAGATATTTTTTTTTTAAAAAACAAAAATGTTTATATTATTTCTACTTCAAATCCAGACAATGTTAGTTTTTTTTTAGACGAATCATAATTTATTTTCAGATACTTAGCTTACCTTTTTTGGAAGAAGCGAAAATGGAAATCAGACAAAGGAACTCAAGAAATTAAATTGAGACAAAATGTTAGACGAACTAAAATGCAACTGTAGGCTAACAGGTCACTTATTTTTTTTTTTTTACCTCCTGCCTACATGGATGCTACTTGCGAACAACGTTAAGAAGGTTTAGCTAGCGTATTATAAAAAAAAATTCCATCTTTTAGTGTTGATTTAATTGTATAATGGGAAACCAATTTACGACTGCGCTGAGCAAATTGAAGGATTTTTTTTTCTTCGATTTAGGGGTAGATTCTTAAAAACAGTCAGCTTCTTAAGCATTCGTACCATTATAACACTACACGATGTAAGAGTGGGGCTCAAAACTCATTTTTTAATCATAACCTATATCAAACCTTAGGAGCCAAAAAAAAAAAAAAGGATCCGAGATCTCTTTGTCTCTTTAAACTGACAAGTTCATATCTGTATTCAGCCAGTCTAAGAGAAACACAAATAAGTAGATAGTCTGCGCTTGGTTTATATAACTAATAAGCAAGACATCTTTAGTGATTAATCTTGTGATTTGATTTTCGATATATCATATCTTAATCCTATTGTATTAGATCCCAGATCGATAATTATGTATAGCATTTTTGCTATACTATTTCTTCCTCTCTCTTTTTCTGTTTGTCTTTTATTTTTTTTTATCTTTCTTTTATTAATGGCACGTACACCTATATATCCTGAAGCCGAAACACTCATTGCAGCAAAAAAGCTTGCAAAACAAGAAAGCATTTTGAAGCTTTGGAAAATTTACTGCAAAAGAACAGGCTATTTTTGAACTCTATATACACAGATGGATACACTTGCAGAGTCTCATTTTGTCGAAAGACAAGTGAACCTTCTGAGAGTGCTTCTCTTCAATTAGATGATTTCAATCAAGAAGAGATTCATAAATATTTCAGATCGTGCACCGTAGACCCCGGCCGTAAAGAATGTATTTTGTATCTTATCGTGGAAACAATGATATTCAAAGTCTTTCTAGTGCAGAATATTACAATATGATGGTCAATACGAATAGACTCAAAAAAGAACAAAAAGGAAAGCAATAATTAGGCTTAACTAAAATTGAAACTGATATCCCAACACCTAAAACAGTATCATCAGAAGATTACCTTCAACATGTGTTATACATGATGGAGCATATGAGCCGCTTATTTGAATTTTATGGGTTTAACACTGCAAGATACCGATGGAAAAAATACGTTGGCTCTCAAATCGCTATAGAATCAAGCGTCAATATTTTGTTAAATGGAGGTAATAAGTATAACAAGAATAGAAGAAAGAATACGAAGAGAAACGGAAGAAAAAGAAGAAAAGCCAGAAGGGCTGGAGATAAATCAAGAGGAACGAGCGGCTGCCAATTCACAATTGAAAAGATGTAGGAAGAACAAGAGCTGTTTCGAAGAAGGCGATCGCAAGAAAATGCCTCTTGTAATCTTTGGTGATGGCCTTCAAAACAAGAATCACATCAAATTCAAAAGTCTTCGACACGGCGTTTCAAGCAAGATGTATAGGCAATTAAAGCATAGAGAGAGATTTGGAGAGTTGTTACTTTTAGATATCAATGGGTATAAAACCTCCAAGGTTAGTACAACGATGTTTATATATCACATGTTCTAAACAGCATCCTTATAGATCTGTAACTCTTGCTTGAAACAAGACCTCAAGAATCTGAAATGTGGGGAAGGAGACGATGTCAAACGAATCCATCAAGTATTGAAGTGCAACACTTGCTATATTTTTTTGGAATCTTGATGTGATGGTATCCAAGAATATGTTTCTGATTGCTTCTTCAATATGGAATGTGAACGATCGCCCTACTGTCTTCACACGACAAAGCGCCACCTCCAATATGGTTGCCACATCTCACTCCGATAAGGTGCTGGCTTAAAGATTTTACAGGTAACAATTTTTTCTTTTCTGAATCTCAACTGAATTTCCTTTTTATTCATCCAAAAAAGGTAAACAAACTATCTGAAAATTACTGTAGCTAAAATTAACTCTTAAAATAGAATAAATCTTAAATATTAATAATAATAATTAAAGCCAATCATTTTTGCTTATTAATAAAGCTTTTTTTTATTGGACAAAAAATTAGAACATTCTCGGGTTTTATTTTATTTTATGAGTACCTTCAAATTCAATTATCTACAAAGATGGAAAAGGTAGAATGTTCAATGAAAAAGGAGATGAAATTACAGTTTTTGAGATGGATGTCGATGAAGTTAATTATCCATTAAATAATGTTATAAACTTTGATCAGCATTTAGATTACGAATCACCTGAAAAGTTTATCAAGATGGAAAAAAAAAGATGTTCTAAATGAACGTGAAGATAAAGTCATATTTAAAGAAACAGATAAAGGGGCTTGTAAGACTTACAGGAAATATAAAAAGGAGGATATGAAATGCTCTTTTCTTTTTTTAATATAATTAATGAAAAGTAAATGTCAATCCGTGGTACTGCGGCAAAAATCAAAATTCCTAGCAGTACTGCCTATTAATTTGGTATAAAAAAAGGGGTTAAGAGTTTAAATAATGATGGTGAAATTCAAGCAAGGAAGAATGGTAGTGGCAGACCATTGATATTGAATGATATCCATAAAGAGTTTCTTATTAGTTTGATTGTTGAGAAGTCTGATTGTGTTTTAAATGAAATGCCGGAAGGATTAACCAACCAATTTAAAGATCTTGAGATATCAAAGAACCTCCTTATATACTTATGTCACTAAAAAAGTACAGGGTCACTCTAAAGAGGGCTCACTTTCATTCTGTAGAAAGAAATAGCTTTGAAATAATTGAGGAGAGATATCAATGGGTTAAACACTGGTAAGAAACTGATCTGGATTATGAAAACAACTACGTATTTATAGACGAGGCTGCTTTTCATATAAATATGAAACGTTCTGTTGCATGGTCGAAGAAGGGAGAGCGTGTCGTAGTTGTTACCCCCCAAAACAAAAGCTAGGTCTACAACTATTATCGGGGCTATTTCACCTTAGGGTGTCGTGAATGTGAAGGTGAAAAGTCCCAAAGTTATAGCCGCATCAAACAGAAAAAGAAAAGTAACAGGTAACAACTCGGGAGCTAGTGCAAAAGGGAAAGGTGATACAGTTACTGGCCATTACTTTAATTTTATAGCCAATACATTAGATATTATGGATAAACATGAGGAAATTAAGAGTCATTACATAGTAATTGGATAACGTATCTATTCATAAGCACTCAGATAGAAGAAATTATATTGAAAGTCGTGTTTATTTGCCCCCCCTCCCTTCCTTATTCTCCTAAACTAAATCCAATTGAACAATTTTGGTCTGTTTGTAAAACTAAGGTTAAGAGAGAAGCTCTTTTAGAGAAAAAAAAACATTAACTACACGAACTCATAATTCTTGTAATAGCATAATTATAAGTGATTTAAAAGGTTTCTGTAAATACTCTGCAGCAAAGTTTACTGATTGTTTGGAGCGTAAAGCTATTTAATAAAAGAAAAATAGTTTGTTCCAATAATATTCGAAAATAGTGTATTTAGTAGTGATTGTACTATGTAATTCAAAAATAAATAATAATAGTAGACATATGATGAGCATTTTGATGTATAAACGATTTAACAAATTATTAATGTCATCAATATTTACATGTTCAATGAATGAACTTTCATTACTTTTTGATGATTAGTAATAATCAATTTTTGTTTAAAAAAAGTAATTAGATCAAGTTATAATTTAATTGTGTATGTGTGTGTGTGTGTCTTTTTACAACTATATAATACTGTATATGTATAATTTAGTGACTCTGATAATTTTATATACTATTTGGTAATCTAATTTATATACATTATAGAGGCATCATTTTATTTACATTTTATTATTAAACACATAAGCCTATTAAATATTTCTTTTTTATATGTCGCAAAAAAAAAAAAAAAAATTACTTTACATGCATATATAAGCTAGCCTTATGTGCACCCCATTCATTACATTCTTACTGCCACTGTTAGTTTAATAATATTAACTTTTTTTTTTTTTTTTCTTACAAAGATATAAGCATTTAGGGAAATGAATAAAGGCCAACCTAAAAAATTTAACTTTGGTTTTGGAAATAAAAAAACGACATCCGCGTCGAATGAAAGTAAACGAAAGGCTACTGAAGTATTGGGAGAGGAATCAATCAAGAAATCTAGATCCAATACTGTGCTTCATGATGACGAAGATGATTTTTTAGCAAGTGCCGGGATTGGTAAAAAGAAGAGTCTAAAACACATAACTTATATTAGACTAATAACATATACATGTATAGCTAAAGAATCTTTAGAGAAACCAGCTCAAAGTGATCAAAAAGAAAAAGAAGAAGAGGAAGAGGAGGATCCATTAGATGCTTTTATGGCTGACATAAGTGAACAAGCAAAAACACAAAAAGTAGAACCAAAAGTAAGAATTAACATTTAAAATTATTATTATTATTATTTTACATTTTCTTAATGTTAAAAATTAGATTCGTAGAGATGATATTGAAGATGAAGATGAATTAGAAAGTTATGTACGTCACATGAAAGAAAAGGGCATCAGTGTAGGTGTTGCTAACCAACCAATGCCCGAATATGATGAGGTAAAAAAAAAAAAAAAAAAAAAACTCTTCAAAATGAGATCATTTTATACCTGTAAACTTAATAATTGTAAAAGAATGCAAATTCAGATGATGAAGTCTATGCTACAGCTGCAGCTATTGATGCACAACTCTCTGATAACGATGAAGACTTTACAACACAAGCTAACATAAAAAAGGAGATTGAGCCTTTACCACGTGTAGATCATGACAGTATCAATTATATTGAGATTGAAAAATACTTTTATGAGGAACATCCTGACATTGCTGCACTTGATGACGCTCGTGTTCAGCAAATTCGTAAAGAAATGGGTGTTCAAGTTACAGGACATGATGTAGCTAAACCCTGTATCTCCTTTGGACATTTTGGGTTTGATGAAGATTTGATGAATGCAATTGTAAAAGCAGGATATACAGAACCTTCAGTTATCCAACGACAATCAATCCCTGTTGCTTTGGAAGGTAGAGATATTATTGGTATTGCCAAGACAGGTTCGGGTAAGACAGCTGCCTTTGTGTTGCCTATGTTGATACATATTATGGATCAAGAGGAACTTGTTAAGGGGGATGGGCCAATTGGTTTAATCTTGGCTCCTACACGTGAATTAGCAATACAGATTTATCAAGAGACACGAAAATTTGCAAAAGCCTATGGACTGAAGTAAGTAAAAACGTGAAGACCTAATCACATAAATTGCTTATTTTTCTTGTAGAGTTGCTGCTGTATATGGTGGTGCTTCGAAATTAGAACAGTTTAAAGACCTGCGTAGTGGAACAGTTGAGATATTGGTAGCTACTCCAGGTCGTTTAATTGATATGATTAAGATGAAGGCAACCAATTTAAGACGCGTGAGTTATCTTGTTTTGGATGAAGCAGATCGTATGTTTGACCTTGGCTTTGGTAAGTAATATAATTTACTTTTTTTTAATAGTAAATGAGAGAGAGAGAGAGAAAGAAAGCTAATCAATTTATATAGAACCACAGGTTAGATCCATTTGTGACAATGTTAGACCTGATAGACAAAGTTTGTATAAATATCATTAAAAGGGACAAAATTGACTAATATTTTTATTATAGCTTTACTCTTCAGTGCAACATTTCAAAAGCGTATAGAAGCATTAGCTAGAAATGTGACCACAGATCCCGTTCGTATTCATGTAGGTACAACAGGACAAGCTAATGAAGATATTACACAAATCGTGCATGTATTCGAACAAGATGAAGATAAATGGAACTGGCTTCTTAGACATTTACCTGGATTCTGCGTTGGTAAAATAGTTTAATGTACTACTATAGTGTATATTTTTTTTTAATTGTTTATTTTCAATAGATGGTAGTGTAATCATATTTGTTGGTAGAAAAGATGCTGCTAATATGTTATCCAATAATTTAAATCAATGCAATTTTGCATGTAAAGTATAATTTCACAATGGTATATTAATTTTTATTTTCTTTTTTTTGTTGAAAAAAACAAAAAACAAACTTATTTTCTTTTTCTTTCAGGTGTTGCTTTACATGGTGATTTACAGCAATTTGAAAGAGAACAGGTCCTTCGTGATTTCAAAGTTGAGAAAGTAAAAATATTAGTAGCAACAGATGTAGCAGCAAGAGGTTTAGATATTAAAGCAGTGAAAAATGTTGTGAATTATGATATTGCACGCGATATTGATTCGCATATTCATCGTGTGGGTCGAACAGGACGTGCTGGAGAAAAAGGTACAGCCACTACTTTAATAACTCAAAAAGAAGATCGATTTGCAGGTGAATTAGTAAAGCATTTAGAGGCTTCAGGACAGCCTGTTTCTCCTGAATTAATGAGTCTAGCGATGAAAAATCCAAGATTTAGAGATTCAAGGAATAGAAGAGGTGGTCGAGGTGGTTTTAGAGGAAGAGGTCGAGGAAGAGGTAGAGATAGAGATAGAGGTCGAAAGAGTGGAGGTAAATATAGATTAGAACTAATTGACAAAAATCCTAATTTTATATAAAATGAATAGATATTATATCTTCTTTAAATAAAGAGCCTATCCGATTTCAAAGGTCAAGTACAGATAGCTTAGGTATTCAATCATCAACATCGACACAACAAAGAAGGAGTCGATGGCAATAAATATTATTATGTTTTGAATAAATTTATTTGAACAGAATTAGTAGCAGTATTTTTTTTTCTTTGCATAGCAAAATAATTAACTCCGTAGCCAATATAAATTATTCTTCATTCTTTTCGTCTCCTCCCTTCCCTCCCTCCCCCCCCTTTTTTTTTTCTTATTAAAGTTTATTTGTAAAATGCCAAATGAGCCCATCTTGATTTCTCGGAAACAATCATCTAATACTACTTCAAATAGTTCACCTCCTCCTTATTCTAATATCTTAGATGAATCTGTACATTCAACAGCAACGAGAATTAGTCCAACCCATTCTCATTTAGATGATAGATCAGCACAAGATGATGTAACTGTTTAGTTTAGTTAAAATTGACCCTAAGCTTATATCTTTGGTTTTATTTTATTTTTTAGTCTGCAAATCTGATATCTTCACTTCGATTAAAATTAATAACTTCAAGTGCAGATAGTTGGCAAACAACTCCATATGAATGCAGTTGTGTATTAGAGGACCGTTTTTTATTATTAGGATATTATGATAGATTACAATTATTAGATTTAAAAAAGCCAGGAGATACACTAAGAACGATTATATGGATACGAGTACGACAGATGATTGTGATTGAATCCTGTAGACTCGTCTTGATGATAGCAGGACGATATAAACAAGTAAGATGTTATTCGTATGATGCACTTTTACGACTTGTATATGCTGTGCTTTCACTAGATTGGTCAGAAAGGCGTGATAAACAATTTGATGTGCCTACTCAACAAATATGGGAGCAAATCACTTCACGATCAGGTAACAAGTTATCTGATGAAGATCACTGCCCTTCCACAAACGGATTCAGCTTAAATTTAAAAGAACGTTTAGTGAAGAAACGAGAAGAAAAAAAAATGACATCAAATGAACCGCTTGTTTTATGCCCCGGTCTTATTAAACCATATTATATCTACAATAAATGTGTCCTTCAAGACTTTTATTATAAATTACCCGACTCTCGTGATGCACAATGTTTAAGGACCTATCAAACAAGTACTTATCTATTTATTGCTATTCATTGTCGTGATAAGATTATCCTTTGGCAACGGAAGCGTACTCACATGCCATGTTCCCTTTTTCGACTTAAAGTCTTTTGGATTCCAACAGAGGCCAAATTAATTTCGTTTGCTGATGATCGAAGTGCCTTGAGATCTATTATTGCTGTGTTTGCAAATGAAGCAACCGTCATTGAACTTCGAGATAGCAAAGTCACTACGGTACCCATCGATCCTACACTTGAACGTATTTATCAAACAACCTGGATACAGGATCAGTACGAGCATCAGCTGCTGTCATTATCTCAATCACTTATACCCAATGCATCTGATATGCCTGCTATCCAATGGACCTCGCTCGTTCAACTCCCTTTTTATCCAACTTTACCAGTTACAAGTCTTACAATCAATTACTCTATCCCTCCCTCTTATACTACTGTAATGGAATCATTACCGTCCACATCACCTGACCCTGTCGCCCTACCCTCTACTTCAGCACCTCAGTTATTCTTTGCCACACTTTCAAAACAAAGCTACATTATTGACTTGAGTGGGGCTCTCTTTTCGACTCAAGTCTATAGATGGTCAGAGACACCACATCATATTGAGTTTCTTCAATTAAACGAATGGTGTGTATTAGGCTTTGGATCTGAAACAGTAGAAATTTTAGATTTTAGGACAGCACAGGTAGTGCAGCGTGTGATGCATGGAGCTCCTGTCAAGTTTTTGGGAAGAGGGCAACAAGACAACATCTTTTGGAGTTGTGCTGCAATGAATGAACGAACACATGTTTACATGTTAAAAGCAGAAGATGTATAATATTTTTATTCCAATAATATACCAATAAAACAAAAAAAAAAAAAAAACTGTTGGCTAGCATATAGTATGTATGTAAATATTCATATATATTTATTTATAAACTGAAGTAAGCTTTAATTGTTTATTCAATACCCATTTTTGATTTAAAATGTTGGAAAAGTTTTCAGGATCAAGTTCATTTAAATCAAATGATGTCGACACCTTTCCATCTCTTTGAAGTTTTATTAAATGAAATACAATACCACGAGCGGCAGGAAGATGAAGAGATTCAGGATATCCCTTATAAATTGTCTGAACAATGTCTAATGGACTTAATGCTGCCTTTTCACGAAACATATCAAGGATTTGGTTTTCACGTTCCAAACGATGACGGATATATTCTTGTATTCTACTTATAGCACTCTCTTGATGATCAATGATAGGTCCATGTCCTGGATAGAGTCTTTTAGGTTTTAGACGAATGAGACGTTGTAAGCCGTTGATATAGTCTGATAGATCATCAAAGACGGCTGTACCTTGTCCAAGAACACAATCTGCTGTAAATAAACTTTCTTCTTCCTTTAACCAAAAGGTACAATGATCTGCAGTATGACCAGGTGTATAGATTACCTCCAATGTTACACCTTCTACTGTAAAGATTTGATGGTCCTTCAAATCGTGCGTATCATATGAAAATTCCTTCATATGATGATGATATAATAATATATGTTGGCCTTCTGGTATAGGATATTTATGAATACGAATTGGAGATTTCCTTGTTAGAGTCTTAGATGTCAAAATGTCGTTTAAACCACCCCAATGGTCACGATGGCCATGACTAATGATGATGTCTGAAATGTAGGCGTCTGGGTTTATTTGTTGAAGTGATGTCTCGAGATGGGATAAATATTCAGGTTTACCTTCACCGCAATCAAGTAATATTTTTTGTGCGCCTGTTCCTAAAAGATAGGTATTTGTACCTATACAGGCATATATTTATATATAATATATATACATACATGCATAAATGGTATCATGTTGTTCAAATATAAGAGTGTTTTACTTTTTTTTTTACCTTGAAGAGTGAATTTCCCCGGGTTAAGACCAAGTATTCTCCAAACACGAGAAGAAAGCTGAGAGAATTTAGGAAGGCTTACGAGTACTTCAGTCATGAATTGGAGAAAAAACAAAAACAAAAAAGGAACTGCTATCATTATTTTTTATAATAATGTGATTTTTTTTTTTTTTTTTTTTTGATAAACCAATGAAAATTATTATTGTTATTTCTTGTTGTTGTTTGTTTTAATCATTCTTAAATACGTATTGGTAAAATAACTACTTTAATAAAAAAAAAATGTTCTAATAGTCAAAAAAAAAGGCTCTTATTCCACTTGTCAGGGAGTCGTAAATTAATCACCAATAGCTACATAATATAAAAAGGCAAAGCAAACTTATAGGAAAAAAGTATAGAAATTCCAAAAGACAGAAATTGCTCCTCCAAATTGACGGTTTTGTAATACTCAATTGACTGTTTAAGATTATAACAATTATTCTATGGCTAAATTTAAATGTGACCAGTTCATTTGGTTTAGATAAAATAAACTGAATTGTTTATGCATATGAGGCAAAAAAAAAAAAAAAAAAAAAAAATTAAATCTCAACTTCTCAATTATGCTTTTTTAAGCCTCAGGAAAAAAAGTCACTTTGCATTTAATCTGTTTCTTTAACTTTTACTTCCTTTTATCACTTTCACATCGATCAATGGGTACTAAAGAGAAAAAATCAACCATCAAATTTCAAAAGAACAAGCTTAAAAGTGTTTTAAAACGCAGAAAGGAATCAAATAAGCTTAAGAGACAAATTATCAAGCGTCAATTACGACGTGGCAAGAAAGATCCATATAAAAGTATGTGTATCAAATCTAAACTTTAGACACCATGTTCTAACATCTTCTATAGATGATGAAGAGGAGGAAATTAAAGAAACAAAAGCAGAAGACTCAATTGAAGAGTAAATGATTGAGAAACTCATAAAAAAAAGAACAATAAGACTAATTTATTCGGGCTTTCTTATAATAGAGTTCCTCAAGTGAATGTTGAAGATTATTTTTGTAATTTTGTCCTTGAAACGGATGAACCTCTTGAATTAAGCGATGACGAGGTTAGTTAATAACACATACGTGCTAGTTTAGGTTATTTATATAAATAATAGGAGGCTGATTTAGATGGCTTAGATGCTTTTGAGGGTATAGAAGCTCCTAAACAAAATGATGAATTGCAAGAGGATGTGGATATGTCCGAAGCAGACGACAATAACGACGATGATGAAGAAGAAGAATATTCTGATGAATTTGAAGATGAGGATGAAAATGATGAGATAAATGATGAAGATGATGATACAGAACTTGTTACTATGGCTATGCTTAACGAATGGTCAGCAGCTGCCTTCAAAAAATCACCCACAGCATGGAAAAAGATGTTAATGGCATTCAGATATGTGGTTAGATCAGATGAGCATCCAAAAATACATTTTACATATCGTGTAGAAAGTAGTAAAGGTAAAGGAAAAAAAAAGGGGGGGAGCATTAGATCTTGTTATATATAAACATGTCCAGGCTAAACTTTATAATTTTAGTGTATACTAAGCTTATTAGAAATACATTAAAGGCAGCATATCCCATTTTGAGTCAGCATATCTATTTCTTAAAAAAAGAAAAATATCCTGGAAGAACAAAAAATTGGCCAAAATTAGAAAAGACAATCCAATTGTTTCTCAACAACTGTGTACGATTTCTTCGTGAATTATCTGAAGATGATATAATTCAGTATGTACTGGAACAATTAGAGCCATGCACATTATATTTCGGTCCTTTTGCTAAATTATCTAGAGAATATCTGCGAGTAAGTTTTTTTTTTTCTGCTTGCCTAAAGTAAATATCAGTTTAACTTACTACTTATTTAGGTATTGTTAGATCGCTGGTCAGATGTTGCACTTTCAGAGGAAACACGCCATCAATGCTATAAAGCGATTCGTCAGCTTGGTACAGCAGCAATTGATGCTAACCGTAAAAACTATATGCCAAATGTCTTGAAGGGTGTTTATCTCATTTTTGCAAATCGTTCTACAAAAATTAATGAAGCCAGTTTACCTGTAATTCAGCAAATGCTTGAAGAAGCAGCTGATATTTATACTATCGATCCTAACCTTAGTTATGAGCATGTAACTATTTATATACGTCAACTAGCAGATCATTTAAAGCAAGCAAAAAAACAAAAAACAATAGAAAGCTTTAAACAAATTTATACATGGCAATACATTAGTTGTCTTGATTTCTGGGCTAATGTTATTGGTGTGACTTGTGATCCTACAATGGGTGAAAATTCAGCAATGCAAACACTTGTTCATCCTCTCGTTGAAGTTATTTTACATACTATTCGATTAAATCCTACTCTACAATTCTTACCTCTTCGTATTCATCTCATTCGTACCTTGACAGGCTTTGTAGATGCTACAGGCTACTATATACCTTTAGCACCATTTTTATTTGAAATCTTGAGTAGCGATGTCTTTAAAAATAATCGTCTACCCGAACAAGATTTACCAGACTTTGATTGGTCGCTACATTTAAAGACTCCAAAGAGTTATTTACAATCCAAAAATTATCAAGATGCCGTATTTAATGTTATGTATGATTGCTTAATTGACTTTTATGCCTGCCATGGTCTTTCAATTGCTTTCCCTGAATTAGCTATCCCTGCTATAGACAAGGTAATACATATTTATATACTTTTTTTTTTTAAAAAAAAAAGACACTCACAGTAGTTATATAGCTTAAAGAATACCTTATAAAAATGAAAGGTACACGTTTTGTTAAATCAATTCGTACACTTATTGAAAGAATGGAAACACACAAGAATTATATTGAACAAAAGCGTGCGCCAATTGAATATACACCTAATAAATTAGAAGAAGCAAATGCTTTCTTGAGAACGACGGATTTTGCAGGTACGCCTTTTGGTAATTTTTTGAAGAAAAGAACTCAACAAAAGGAACAACAACAACAACAACGACGACAATAAACATTTTAGAACTACATTTGTTTATATTATTTTAATAATAAAAAAAAAAAAAGAATAATTATTTTTTTCTTGCAGATATCAATATGTCAGCTCTATTATATAAAAGTGAGTCATCTATTATACATCTTTATGAATTTCAAATACGTACTTGTTTAGACGTGTAATAATATCTCCAGGGATATAGAATTGAATCAAACCTACAAATGTAATAAGAGCAGAGACCTTTGTTTCCAATGTGCGAATCTCCTACATATACATATTTATATATAATTAGAATATATATATATATTCATATACTATACGTTATTTAAACTTACAATAGCAGATGCAACATTAGCTGAAGTATAAGTAGCCCACAATTTATAAAGAATATCCATTGCATTCAGCAAAACTTCAGGCATATTTTTCAAGATGGATTCATCTAAATGACTAAACTGGTCTACTAAACGTTGTGTTTGATTGAAATCCTTTGTGAAAGGAATGATATTTATTTGTTCTAAAATTTGAATAGCATGCTCAAGCTGACCTTTTTCATATATTGTACGGAATTCCAGTAGTTGAATAAGAGTACGAATTGTTTGCTTTCGTTTATTATCAATGGCTTTAGAAAATGCTTCCTGTTTTTCATAATGCTCCATGATTTGAATAGAGAATTGGATAATTTCGTCATTAGATAATTCTGATAGTGTAGGATCAGTAGCTCTTAATGATTGAGGTTGTTGTAAAGCATCGCTTAATTCCTTAGCTAATACATCTACCATTTTATTATAATCCTATTTAAAATAAATAAATACATTAAAAACTATAGTTCTCTTATTATCATCATCAATCATTTACCCCAGCTAAACTGTATACATAAACAGCATCTCTACAACGACCTGTATGAGTGAATCCATCAGCAATAGGATAAAGAATTTGCTCGGCATATTCTTTCCAGGTATTAATATCTAATAATTGTTCTTGCGCTTCAATTAGCCCTGGCTAAAGAATGATAATAATAAGAAATAAATTACAAATATCAATTAAATATGTTAACATGCTTACAATTCGTCCATTTCTTTCTGATCCCACTAATACTTGATAATCATGACTTGACAAAGTAAATTTATGAATATAAGTTTTGGCAAGCTGAATCATACTTTGATCTGGATATCCCTGTTTTGGTGAATATAATGTCAATGTATATAAATACTGAATAGCATTCTTCGCATTTTGAGCATTAAAGGTTTGAACATATTGATAAATAAGTCGAGGATAGTTTAAAGCATACACATCTTCCTCATTACATATTACTATAATACAAAATAAATAGATGTTGCTTTTATAACTAGCAAAATAGAATACTTACATATATTATGCATATTTACTTGGCTTGGATGAGGGACTCTTAATAAGCCATAATAAACTAAAGCAATAGCAAAATGAATTGTTTCGAGTCGAAGGTATTTTTGTTGATATAAATAATCAATAGCTCTTTCGAACTGAAGTGATAAAAGTAATACTTTAAAATAAATCCATGGATTAGAGTCTTCTTGATTATAATATTGACTTCCATGTTTAGTTACGTTCTTTTGAACATCAAGTATTCTAAATCTTTCTGATTCAGGTTTTACTGTATCATTGTATTCTCTTGCCAACATTAACTAAACTAGCTTTATTAGTATAAGCATATTACATAACATTGAAAGAAAGAAAAAAAGAAAAAAAAAAAGAAAAAAAAAAAGGTACCTGAAGCCAGACATAATCTTCAATGGTTTGAATAATATTAGGTAAGTTAGGCTTATGTAACTCGCATCGACCAATGATCTTGTAGATCAATAATTTATAAGGATCTACCACTCTTTCACCGTATTCAAAACGATAATAGTCTTGCAAAATTTCATCTTGAGTAGCTTTTGGTACGCTATAGAATAAAATTAGTAATTATCATAGAAAAGAAGATTTATTCGTTTACCAATGGTCTTTTGAATTCACGTATTGTTCAAAATAAGAAACGAATTTCTTTTCATTTGTAAACATTTCACGGTGATTATCAACAAATTTTGCAGCAATATCCAAATGTCCACAACGCATTAATAGAAAGATAAATACCCAAATGGGTAGATCTTTTACAATTTCAAGTCGATCATCAGTCCATTCCAATCCATTTTTGAAAACAAGATCTATATAAGCTTGTAATCGATAACTGAAGGATGGAATACCACCCACTTTCATTCTTTTAGCATTTCGATTTAAAGAATCATTGATGTATTGAGCAGTTCTAAGCAAGGGAAAAAAAAAAAGGTCAAATTGGTTTAACAAAATAATCTACTTTATAAACTTACTGTTGTTCTAACCACGATTTTGAGGCAGCGATTAATGAGCAACGAGTTCGCATAGCCGCTACACTTTGATAAGGTTCCGCAATATAATCTCTAGTAAAACGGCCCTCAAAACGGCCTCCTATGTCTGATTTGTTCGCGAAATGTCCTAATATATTCCAAGCTTCAAATGCGTGATCTTGAAACTAAAAAATATTATTAAACGCTTTATTTATTCATATTTTTTTTTTTCGTTGTACTTACTCTCTTCAATTCAGACATGTTACGAATATTAGATAAATTTTTGATTAAATCAAAGTCAACATCAATTAAACGATTGTCATTTAACTGTGTCACGACATTAGCATATTCTGAAATTCTCTATCATAGAATAATATAAGTTTCTATCAATTTAAATATAATAAAACAACATACAGTAATTCCAGTAGTATTATTATATTTCTCAAATTCTTTATAATCAGCCATATTTTCATCTTCTTCTAAACGTTCTTGTTCCATATTTTTTGAAAACTTTTCAAATTCGCTTTGATAAAACTTTTCAAAATCATCATCATTCTATTTCATTTAATGAGTATCAATTATATTCATACATAACCATACATTACCACTTTTCGTTGTTCTTCAATAATGTCAATCAGGATTTTTTCATGTTCTTCAGCTAAAAATTTCTATTTAAAATGCATTAGAATTATTTCAAGTTAAAACGTCGAAGTCTTACTTTGATATCTGTATGATTATCTAATTCAGCAATCTCAAATGTACGACTAGTGTTGATAGGTGTTGATACGTGTTCGGTATTAATACCATTATTGGCAAGGAAGTAATGTCTATTATTTAATGGCTTATTAATTAATTTGTAAAAAATAAAATAAACAATAGACTATGCATTTACGCTTTAGCATGTAGTTCCTGTGTTGGTCTTATTTTTTCACTCATGGCTTTGATCTCTCTCTCCATTTGATCAATGCTTTTTTGGATAACAGGAAGATCTCCCCTATCACTTGGAGAAAGGAGTAGCTGTGCTCTCTCTCGAAGCTGTTTAAGTGTGTTTATTAACATTATTGAAAATAGATGTTAAGACACAATCTTTCGTATAAATTATGAATGAAAAAAAAAAAAAACCAAGAAACACGTATTTATTTTTTATTTTATTTTATTTTATTTTTTTATTTTATTTTTTTTTTTTTTTTTTTTTTTTTGGAAAAACAAAAGGGTAATTTTGCGTGAAAACAGTCACAAAAAGTTTATTACATGACTTTATACAAATGAACCTGTTTAATTTCGTCTAATTCATCTTCATTTAATTCTTGGAACCAACCTGCCTCATAATCAAGTTTGACTTCCTTTACCCAACCACGTAATAGTTTTGATGCAGATAAGCCTGCTTCCTTTAATTGATCTTGTAATGAAGGAAGCGTGACCAATAAGAGTCCAGGCTTCTTTTTAGTTTCAGTGCGAATGAATTTCCAAATTTGCTGCTGAATAGAAAGCTCATTAAAGAATTGAAATACGTTATTTATTATAATAATATCAGCTTCTTTTGATAATAATTCTGGCATTGTTTGAATATCTTTACACATGACTTGAACACGATCGTTCATTTTGTATTTTGTAATCATATCTTGTTGCAGTTTTGTAAACCATTCATTGATTTCAACACCAATGATTTTACGTGCACGTGTAAACAAATGGCCCTATAAACAAGTTAATATGTATAGATTAGATGTTGAATTTAATATATACTTTACAGCATATAAGACAGCACCAAGTCTTGATCCAACATTTACAATCACTTTATCCTTAGTCTTATCACCTAAAGCAACTTGATACAAGAATTGTAACTGTAAAACAGATGCAGAATGGGAAATGAAATCTAATTAATAGAGTCAATAAACATGATTATTCCTTTTAGTTTATAAAAATTTTACTTAAAGGAGCCACATTTCTTGATTGACAATCAAGACAGTAATTACGCGACATCTTGCCTTCATCACAGAGCTCATCTACATCTTCTTCCGAATATAAAAATCCATCCACATGAACTGTATTTTGTTCTGTATATCCTTCAAACTAAACATTTGATAGTTAGATCATTTTTGATTTAAACTTTTTTTTTTTTTTTCTTTACCTCAGGTGTGTTAGGGATTGTCGTTTTTTCGCCAGGTGCTTCAGCAGAAATAGGAACACAAGTTCGAAGATCTTTAATAATTCTGCCTAATTTCATCATTTTAACGTCACTCACAGGTTGGAAACTGCCATCGTGATCCTCCATTTCTATATCTTCAGTACCATGATTGTGTAATTGTCCATGATATTCCTCTAAACATACTCATGTCAAAAAAAAAAAATTTTTTTTTTACTAATTAATAAATCTTACGAAGCGCTGATTGCACAAATTCCTGAAAACTATGGAACTCAGAGTCATTAAGCTCTGAAATAAGATTTATAAATTTATCTTTGATTATTTCGAGTTTATCCGTATTACTATCCATTATGATATATTTATATAAAAGCAGTTAAATAACATTTATTACATTCAAAATCATAAATAATGACTTTCATTAAATATGGTAACGGGGTTTTAAAAAATGACATGAGATGAGGTAAAGGTAATTAAAGAGATCTAGGAAGAATTCTTTTTTGCTAAAACTTCACGCATCATTTTATGAATCATTTCAAGCTCTCTCTCTTTTTCATTAATCTTTCTTTGGTCCTCAATGCGTCGAATTTCTAATTCTTGAAGCTGATTTTCCAAGTCATGCTTTAATTTTTCTGTCATCTCAAATCGTCGTGTAAATTCATATAATTTTCTTTCTAAACCCTTATTTTTTTCTTCCGTAGCAGCCTTCTTTTCGAGCGCAGTGGATAAAGAACCCATAATGGTTTCTACTTCATTTTCTAATTGATCGATTCTTTTTGCTCTTTCTTCAATTTCATTCTCTTGCTCTGCCATATGCTTTGTCTCTTCTTGTAATATTTCATTTTGTTTTACAAGATCTTCCAAGTCATTGTTGGCTAAGCTCAAGTTATGCTTCAAGTCTTCAATTTCTCTTAACTTGCGATTTACTTCAGTTCGGGTATCTTTTAATTCTCGTTCACTTTTTGTTAAAGATGCTTTCAGATTGGCAATTTCAATATCTAGTTGAGATTGTTGCCTTTCAAGATTAGCATTATCTTGCATTGTTTCCTCCATCTTTTGTTCTGTAAAGCTAAGCTTATTTCTTAATGTCTCGAGACGCGTCTCAAGCTGTTCTATCTTTTGTTTAGACATATGCTCCATATGTATTAATTCATCATCTTTATCTTTTAGAGCACGTTCCAACTCTTGTACTTGGTTTGTTGTTTCTTCAAAACTAGTATTTAACGTTTCGAATTCAGCCAACACATTGTCTTTGTGTTCTAATTCACTTTGAAGTTCATCAATTTGTGCGGTCAATTTAGCTTGCATAGCAAGAGCATCTTGTAAACGGGAGCGGGTATCAGCACGTACAGATTCTAAATGAGCAATTTCACGGTCTCTTTCAGCAGCTTCTTTGGCAATCTTATGAAGACTCGCCACACTTTCTTCTAGTTTCTGTGTCAAGTGAGATTTGGTTTGAACAATTGATTCTTCATTCAATTTGGATCGTTGAAGCTGAGAGCGACTATCTTCAAGTTCTGAAATAACATGATTAAGTTTTATGGATTTTTCATTTAGTTGTTGATCGAGGTCTTCAATACGTTGTTTGGCTAATTGTAATTGATCCGCTTGTCGCTTTAACTCAGCTGTCTTGACTTTTATTTCCTGTTCTAATTCTTCTGTATGATCTTGTTGTGTTAATTGTAAATTATCAATTTGATTTGTCATTTCTAATAATTTACGCTTTAAATTATTTCTTTCTGCTGTGATCTGGACATAGCTTTCAGATTGTTGGCGATTTTCACGCATCATAGTCTCAACCTGTTTCTGTAAATCTTCCTTTTCTTTTAATATCATACTAACTTTATGTTGTAGATCATTTTTTTCCATGTTGATTTTTACATAACTTTTAGATTGTGTTTGATTATCGTGCATAATGATATCCAGCTGCTTTTGCAATCCTTCTTTCTCTTCAAGTGTTAAGTCTATCTTTTGTCTCATTTCATTAAGTGATATTTCTAACTTTTCGACTTCCCTTGCGTATTCATGAGAAGTTGTTCTTTCTTTTGTAAGATCTGCATGTAATTGGTTACTTTTAGCACGTTCCTCGTCCAACATATTACGCAATTGATTTTCAGTTTCTTTAAGTTGAGTAGACATTTGATCACACTTCGTATTCATCGTATTTAATTGACGGTTAAGATCTTCCACTTGATACTGTAAGTTATCACGTTCATTTGTCAATCTAGAGGTATCTTCTGATTGCTGCGATGTTGTAGCCTTTAATTGTTTTTCCAAATTTCTCTTATCCTCAATTAAGCGATCGATTCTTTGGTTTAATTGTTCTAATTCAATTGCAGTGCTTCCAAATTCCTCTTTATATTTGCTCACAAGATCTTGTGCTTGATTTAAAGCATTAGATTGTTCTCTATGTAATGAGCGTTGATAATCAAGTTCATTGTCCAATTTCTTTTTTTCAGTACGCTCATTTTCCAATGAATCTTTAAGTTGCTTTATTTGAGCACGTTCTGATTCTAAACTGTTTGTTAATTGCTGAATAAGATTTGATGCCTCCGTATATTGGCCATTGATTTGTGATAACTGACCAGTCAAATGACTTTCCTTTTCAGTTAATAAAGTCTTTGCCTGCTTTAATTCAGCTTGTACTGACTTTATGTCCTCTTCTAAAGCCGAAATACGCTGTTTGTACCTTTCTGATTTTGCACGCTCTAATTCTACAGCTGATTTTAACTGAAGTTCTGTATCCTTAGCCTGCGTATTGAGTTCAGAAATTCGACCTGTCAAATCTTGTTTTTCATCTTCTAATACTTTTAAACGTTCCAAATTAGATGAGGCTATTTCAAGTTCATTCTTCAAAGATATAATTTCCTCTTTCGCAGATTGTGCTTCATTATTTTTTGCTTCCTCTAATGTTTTCAAATTATATTGTAAACTTTCCAACTCATGTTTCAAATGTGTGTTTTCTGTTGTCAAGTTCTTTTCAGTATTTATAGCAGTATTCTTGAAATGATCACGTTCTTGAATAGCTGTCGTGTAGTTTTGTTTGAGACTTTCAAGTTCATCGGTAAGACTCATGATCTTAGTCTCAGATTGTTGGAGTTCAACATTGTAATCATTCAAATCTGATTTTAATTGTTTGTTGATTTTTTGTTGCTCTTCGAATTCAATTTTTGTCGTCTTAATCTGTTCTTTTAAAGAGCTTATAATATCTTCTTTATTTACCTTTTCCTTTGTTAGATCCTGATTACAACGTGTTAATTCTTCACTCTTTTGAGCTAATTGCTCTTGTGATTCAGCTAATGAGGCTTGTGTCTTTTCTAGATCCGATGTAATTTCCATTAATTTATTTTCATTATCTCTAAGTTGTCTCGAAATTTCTTCTGATTGACTTTCAAGTTCTCGTTTTTCAGTTCGATACTCTTTTTGTAATTGGAGATATTGTAGTTCAAGTTGTGAAAATTTTTCTGCATATTCATCTGCCTTCTTTTGACTTGCTTCATTATTTGATACAACAGCCTCTATCTCACTATTACCAGATTCATATTGCCTTAACTGCTTTTTAGTCTTTTCAAGTTCATCTACTAATGTCTTGATGCGACTATTATGAGCCTTTGTAAGTTCCTTCATTTTATTTTCCAATTCAGTACGTTCCATTGTGACCATTGAGGCGCGCCTCTTCCATGTGTTTGTTTGTTCAAAATATTCTTTCAGCTTTTGTTGGGCTTCTTTCATAACATCCTCTGATGTAATGTCTTCCTCAGAAGCTTGAATAATATGTTGCTTCAATTGTTCTATACGTTGTTTACATTGTTTGTTAAGTTCAATAAGATCTTGTCGTTTTAATTCATTGCTCATTTTAAGTTGTTGTTTGAAAAAGTTTTCAAAATCGGTAAGTGAATGCATGAGAACACCTAAACGATTACTGGTTCTGTCATCTTCCAATGATAAAGTTGAAAATCGACGATGATCTACATTAGAATGTCTACCGTTGAAAGTAGTTGATGAACGAGATAGAATTGAATCGCGAGTAGAGATTATACTAAGTCGAGTATCATGATCATTTCTTGGTCGTTTGCGATTAAGATCTCTAGAAGGTGTTAGCCCTGAAAGAGAAAGAGATTAGAGATGTATTATAGTAAGTGATTAAAACATACTGTTTGGATTTATATGCTGATTAGATATTGATGAAGAATTTTGCATTAAATAGCTTTATGGTAATAGTCAAATATTTTACTATTTAGGAATCTTAAAAAAAAAAAAAATAAAGTCGTTGACAATAAAAAAAAAAAAATGCATATAAATTATACTTCAATAACCTTGTTAAAAAAAATAAAATAATAACAATAATAATAATAATAATAATAATAATAAAAAAAAAAAAAAAAAAAAAAAAAAAAAAAAAAAAAAAGATAAAAAAAAACTATACATTTATACAAATTGCATAGAGTAATCATTAAACAATATGATAATCATAAAATGAGATTGTTGACTGGATTCGATTTTAAATTTTCGACCATGCAATAAACATTATAGTTGTTGCTTTCTATTGATATAAAACATTCATAAATCATAGAACTTACATCTACAGAATATGCTTACGTTATTGAAGGTACTTGGCTCACAAAAAAAAAAAAAAAAAAAAACTTTATTTTTATTACTAAGAAACATTAACTATTTTATTCATGGATATTCTAAAGTAGATTCGGTTATTGTATTAGCATTTTGGTCCCTTTTCCATTGTTGATTTAGACAAGAAACTAGGCAAAAGACGAATAAATGCATGTACACCATAAATATTGAAGGGGGTCGAATAATTCCATGTATAATCAAGGCGATAATACCATTATAAAGTAAAATATAATGAGATAAAGGAAGTAAATTATAAAACTCGTAATTTAGTTGTAAACAATACAAATATTTGGAGAAGCTCAATTTATTTTACATGAAGATAAACTAGATCTTCTAGGAATAGAGAATAGAATTATTTTCCTATGAACAAAATATTCTTTAAATATCATCAATTTGTGGCAACATTACTCAGACGAAAAACGTATTATCTTTATTATTATAAGTATATAATGCAGTTGGCTCTTTGGCCGTTATTGCTATGCTAAAGGTTCAGAGGTATATAAAAAGGTACTTAAATGATGCAACATTACTCAAGTATAGAATGCAAATATATAGTATAGAATTCAGAAATAATAACGAATAGCAGTCATATACATATTTACATATATGTAAATCTAAATAATGGATTCGATGATACAAATATACAGATATACTCAATATAGGATCGTAGTCAGGATTATGCATACAACAATATAACCTTTATACTATTCAAGCCAAACGCTGATCGAACATAGAGTATTACATCAAATCTAAACAATATTATTTAAAATCTAAAAACTAGAAACTATCTTTATATTACTGTCTTTATTCTTATTATAGTTTTACATAGAGCTGCCTATCCTTTTACTCTGCTTAATTGTTTACTTTTCCCTTTGCAACCTCTAAACAAATGATTTAAGCATACATATTATGTCCTTCTGCGTTTTATATGCACAACACAATATACATAAAATACTATGTATACATGCATATTAAATATAGACTTTGAGACACTTGCATTTTGTATATCTTCCAGTCTAAAATCTGACATTTCAGTATACAGTTTTGCAAATTTAATTTAATTTTAGGGCAACTGCAATTGTATCCATGGAGAAAAAGAATACATGTGATAATGACTATTTTGTTTTCCGCAAAATACACTATAAAGGAGAAATTAACAATTTATTGTTTTGAACATAACAAAAGTCTTTGAGGAAAGTAGAATGATTGTAGGAATAAAGCTAAAAAAAACATACAAGATAACATACATAATAATGTTTATGGATCACATAGAAGAATGAGCATCTTTACACATACAACAGGATATAAATACAGACATCAAATATGTCGGATATAGATTTCAGGAACAACTCAAAAACTTCAAAAGCAGTAATTAGGGTAAAAAAAAAACACACAAATTAAATTAATATATTTGTACAACTGAAAAAAAAGTATTAAAACAGGAAACAATAAGATTCTTAATTGCTCTTAATAAATACAATAACTTCTTTTACTGTAATATTTTATATGTAAAAGAGAAAGAAATTTTTTGTAATGACATTGTACGTTCTCCTATTTATATTTTACTTTTAAAGTAAAAGATGAGGAGAAATATAAAACATATCCACTCCACTTTTATTAAGAAAACTTTTTAGTTTGATTTAAATATTTGTTTCAAGTGGTTTTTCAGACTAAATGGCGCTTGAAAATCATACATATTAATATCATAGAATACACGGTCGTGTATAGCTTTTTTCCCCCCTCTAGTAAGTGTAAATGGAATAATTTCTTTAAACAAGCGCAGATCAAAAAATTACTCTCAAAAATGGATACGTTGTCTACTTGATTCATGAAGTGCATTTAATAAGTTTAAGGAAGCAATGTCAGAACTTTCCTTTTTTGAGTTTCAAATCAAATGTTTTAAGATTTTCTTAAGTAAAAAAAAAAAAAAAAAAAAATCAACTTATTTATAACTCCAAATCTGGTTTTGGTTACCGTGTTTATTTTTATTTTTTTTTATTTGAGATTGTGGGCACGTATTTACATCAGAAAAAAGGGGAAATAAATGGGGTGTGTATGTTTTTTTCTTTAAATAAGGTCAAGTTTTCTTCTTCTTTTTGTATATTCAATTTTTATATTTTTTCTCTTTTTCTTTTCTTTTTCTTTTTAAATATAAAATGAATAAATCTGATCTTATTATTAACATAACAAAGCCAAGTCAATCATCAAAATTAACTCGAATCAAAAAATTTATTTTACAATATGAAGCAGGTATATATTAAACAAGGAATTAAAAGACAAGCAAGTTTAATAATTATCTATCCATATAGAAATATTTGGCTCTATTATTCTTACTGTCCTTGTAAACTATATCCTCGGGAATCTATTTGCGAGGAAATGTCTACTGATTTCATATCAAAAAACTCCAGATACCTATGATAAAGGAATTGATGATATCTATTTTGTGGCTTTTTGGGCTATTGCTTTTACTTTTTTACGCGCTTTCTTTATTAAATATTTTTATCTCCCTTTATCTAAATATTTTAATATTGGTGAAAGTTGTAAAAGACAAAGAGTAGCAGAACAAGGCTACATCCTTATTTATTATCTTGTATTTGGTACTGCAGGCTTGGTAAGAACTAATATATATACAAATCAGATTAGTTTATTGATTCAGTACATCTTCAAATAATATAGTATATAATGTATCATAGCCCATATTGGTTTAATACTGCACATCTTTGGATTGGTTATCCTCATATGATTAATAAAGAAATGAAATATTATTACTTGATGCAACTTGCTTTTTGGTTTCAACAAATATATGGTCTTCATATCGAAAAACGTAGAAAGGATCATTACGCCATGCTCTCTCATCATATTGTTACAATTGTTTTAGTGGGAGCAAGTTACTATTGTAATGCTACTCGTGTTGGAAATGCTATTCTTTGCTGTATGGATCTGTCTGATATTTTCTTGTCGGTAAGTCTAACCGAAAAAAAAATAAAAAATAAAAATAAAATAAGAGTGGAGTAAGCGGATAATTAATTCAATTTTTGTAGCTTGCCAAGATCTTAAAGTATTTAGGCTTTACTAATGTTTGTAATATTGCTTTTGGTTTATTTGCCCTTTCATGGCCGATCACTCGTCATATCTTCTTTTCTTGTGTTATTTGGAGTATTGTTGGTAAGTTAGTAAAGCATTAAAAATGTATTTGATGTTATTGACGCTTTTTTTATTTATTTTTTATTTTTTTTTTTTTTCGTATTTAGTTGAACCCTCAAAATATTTAGATTTACAGTGGGATCCCTCTAATGGAAAATATCTTACTCTGAAAAACATTAGATTATTTTTAATTCTATTGCTTATCTTAAACGTTATTATGTTCTATTGGTTTTTAATGATTGTTAAGTTAATAATTAAGGTTATCAAAGGAACAGCCGCCAATGATCCTCGTAGTGACGATGAAGATGAAGAGGATAGTAACTGTAGCGATAACGGGTTTCAAAATCCTATAAAAATTTGGTAAGTTTTTTTTTTTTTTTTTTTTTATTGAATTCACTAATTATTGTAATATTAATTCTCAAATTACATAATTATGATAATAGTTCAGAAAAGAAGCATTTATACAACTAAAGCGCCGTTTTCTCTTCTTCCCTCTCCTCCCCTAAATGCATATAATATAACCCAGCTTCGTGTATTTTTATATATTCTTTTTAATGTCTCCTCCCCCATATACCTTTTTAATAAATTTTTTTTTTATTCAGTATCAATTATCTTTTTAAAGCCTTCTAAAAACTCCTCTGGTAAACTTTGTACTGGTTTCCTATGTACAGAATCTACAAAAACATGAGTAAATCCACCTACAACACAAGCTAATGGACTATCTTTCTCGAATATGCCCACACGATAAGTAACGCTAGAGTTACCAATTTTAGCTATTGAAAGCCCTGCATCAATGATACTGGGGTAAGATGCAGAGGCATAAAAATTGGCCTGACTTGCAACGACAAGTCCGATCGGTTTATTACTTATATTGCCTGGTTGTAGTCCACAATGTTTAATCAGGTATTCATTAATGACTGTATCAAAATAATGATAATAGATAGCATTGTTAATATGATTATAGCAATCTGCATCTGACCATCTTGTAAATTAACATGTTAAATTCTTGTTTTAATACACGTAAATTTTTATTGTTTCATTTACCTTGTTTGAATTGGTAAAAAATATTTATAATCTTGTCTATTCCTGTATAAATTTTTCGTAGCACTTTTAGTTGATATTTGTTGTGATCTTAAATGGTTTGAAATAAGTGAAAGTCTTTTATGAGATGACATGTTATGAAAAAAAAAAGTATGTTAATAATAGCAATAATAAAAAAAAATTACATGCAATTACCCCACATATTTGTGCTACCTACTATATCTATTATATCTGATATCACTATATAAGGTATATTAACAAATATCAAATATGACCTCTAAAACTAAAACGTTATTTGCCCTAAAATTAAATTAAATTTGCAAAACTGTATACTGAAATGTCAGATTTTAGACTGGAAGATATATAAAATGCAAGTGTCTTAAAGTCTATATTTGATATGCATGTATACATAGTATTTTATGTATATTGTGTTGTGCATATAAAACGCAGAAGGACATAATATGTATGCTTAAATCATTTGTTTAGAGGTTGCAAAGGGAAAAGTAAACAATTAAGCAGAGTAAAAGGATAGGCAGCTCTATGTAAAACTATAATAAAAATAAAGACAGTATTACTGATTTGGAAAATATAGAAGATATATGTTTTCCTCATCTTTTATTTTCTATGTTTTCTTCGTTTCATTTATATATACATATATGTATTTATATAGTCGATTTTTGCGAAAAAAAAATACTACTTTGTTTCTAAAGAGATATTTTGTTGTTCAAGTCTTTTAATTTCTAACTTAAGTCTTTCATTTTCTAACTTTGTAAGAAGCTGGCATGCCTCTTTTTCTTTTTTTTCGTTTATGGTCTCATCCATTTCTATCTTAAGTGAAACAAGTCGATCAACAAGAGCCATTTGTCCTTCATTTACCATATCAAATTTAGATTGCATCATTTCCAATTCCCAAGAAAGCTTCTTACATTCTTGCTCTAATTGAAGGTTTTTTGCTAAAAGCTCTTGTTGTAAATTTGTATTTGTTGATGGAAGCATGATAGGGCTATCACAAGTTTTATCTCTTTGACGTTCTAATTCAGTAATTGTTAATTTTAATGCATCTCGTTCACATACAAGATCTTGATTATCATTCTGAACTTTGATAAGCTCCTCGAAAGTCTTTTGATGCATTATTTTAACCTCTCTGAGTTCTTTTAATATCAACTTGAGTTGTTCGTTATCTTGCTTATGATAAAATGATCTATCTTGGCTTAAAGATGAAATAGAAGACCAACGCTTTTTCTGTAAAGAGGATCTTACCTGTGTTCCAGTCGGTGTGTTATCTATACTTGTTAACCGTTTATTGAAGATCGTATTTCTTCGCCTTTTCCAAAACCCAGTCATTTGACCCTTTGTATCTCCTTGTTGCCCGTTATACTCTTTGCTCAATTGTTCCATCTTATCTCTTGTGATCATGTCTGACAAAGACATAGCATCACTTATCACATGCCCAAAATCAGCATAAGGTTCACATAGCTTGTGCGAGGTTAAAAAATCTAAAATATCTTCAAATTCAGTATTAGCTAAAAGCGCATATTGGGATCGCTTTAGCATAGCGATTGAAACTCTCATGATTGTTTCAGAGGCGCCCTCTGCAAATACAATATCGTAGATACGATCAATCAACTGCATAGGAAATGCATAAGCAAATAGTGTCAAAAACCATTGTGAGGCATACATAGCTGGATGGATATCATGCTGTTCCAGAAAAGTCATAAGTTCTGGTAGTATTTCACGAAGAAGAATAGAAAATTGGTAAAGACGAAGTTGAAGGCCCTCCATACTTGAAGTAAACATCGTCCTCATTTCATATGTTTCCATTAATCTTACAAAAACACAAAATGCTTGTGTTTCAGCCATCTGTAATGTAAACTTATCTCAATACATGCATATTATTTTCGTCAAATAAACTTACATTCATCAATAAAGGTCCTACAAGAAATGCTAAGCCCTGACAATATCCTACATCTGAATCATATAAACTATAAGCCTCTAGGATTCGTTTCATCGAAACCTGACCCTGCCCGTTTTCTTGCTTAAACATGTCAATACAAGGATAAGTTCTAGCTAAATCACGTTGAATGATACGTTCATGAGGGGATTTTTCTTTACATAACTGACCATAGACGGTTTCCAAATGTAATGAAGCGGACTTGGACATAGCTTGCCATATTAATCCTCGGACTTGGGGTGGTATACCTAATTTCAACTTTAAAGATAGTAAATGGGGAAGTTGTAAGGCTACTTGATCTGGATTTTCAATAAAAGCTTTCCAAAAGCCCCAATCATCTGTACTAGCCTTGACTAGTCGCTGAATAGTAGTAAAATTCGCCTTCAGTTGATTAGACTGAATGTAAATTGATTTTGGATCTTTTTCTAATAATGCATTTTGTCGTTCAATTTGAGCTAGTATGAATGCTGTCGAAGCCTAATAATAAAAAAAAAAGGGAGAGAATTATTATGCCTATTGTATGATTTAAATACTTCATAATTACTTGGGGCGGCAATTTTGCATTTTCTTGCTGAAGTTTAAAAAATAGATAATTTTGATCAAGAACATTATTTGATTTAATGTTTAGACTGTGATCTTGATCTTGATACGACAACTTTAATTGCAACATTTTTCCTTTGATGATGTTACAGGAATCTATTGTTCCAATGTGTTTCTATTGTAATTAAATTGATTTAAGAACTATATTAAAAACCTCTCAGTGTTAGAATATATATATCTATATCAAAAAATAAAAAAAACGAAAAGAAAAAAAGTAAAAATATGTTGCAGATTGAATTTATTAAGTACCTAATTTTACAGTATGCTTCAAAAAATGTAAGGGAAAAGAAAAGGGGGATATAATTTTTAAGGGATAAGTTAATCTAAATGAGATTATAAATATATTAAGGATGTGATATATTTAATGCCATGAAATTAATCGAGTTAATTTTGTAGTAGGGACTTCAAAGAATGAAAGAGCTAAAAAAAAAAATTAGTACATGCACACTAATTGTTTGTTATATACAGTTGAATAAGGTAACTTACATTTACGCGCTATCAGAATTTCTACTATAGGAGATAGCATACTTTCATGATTAATATTTTTAATACCTTTTAGAGCATTTTTAGCCCAGTTAGGTTTAATAATACCCCAATTATACATATCCTTTTTGGAAAATGTGCAAGGGAATACTTTTAATAACGGGCCAAATAATTCTGGGTGAGCTACCACATCATCATAAATATCATTGGTTAAGAAATAGATAGGAAATTTAGTATCTACATTCTTTTTATAATCAATACAGGCTAATAGTAAACTTTCTCTATCTGTTAAGCCGGTAATAGTTAATACTTGCTTTAATATGGAGTTACGAACTGACGATGCAGCAGTAATGGCTTGATCAATAGGCATATCTCCTAGTAATTCTCTTACTAACGATGTCATCAACTCTGTCTGTATCGAATGATCAAGTTGTTTCAATAATTCTAAGCCTGTCATATCTGATTTTATCATGAAATCTACATACGGTTTACCCTCAATTTCAGCTTGTATTTTCTTTAAAGATCTTTGATTTTCAAGCTCAATCATGGCTAAACTTTTCAAATTCAAACGAATCATATTAAACTGTCGTGCTCCGCCTAGCTCACTTACAACTTTGTTAGCTACTTCATCAACAAGTGGAAGTTCATTTGGTGTTACAAAGATATTAGTTCTTAATGCCTTGCGTAATTCACTCTGAATTTTATTCGTAGAGGTCTGAAAGCGAAGTCCATACACCAATGATCCAAATTGTATATACCGTTCTTTAATATTTTTGAGCTGTCTTGATGTTACAAGCATTTTAAGGGGTCGTTTTAGCTCAAGGCTGAACTTTACTTCATTTAATGAACGCAAACTCCTCATAGTATCAAAGAATCTATTATTAGATGAAAAGGCATGTTGCTGTTTACTAGTGTCCCAATCAGAACCATTACTAGGAAAACTAGTGGGATCTAAAGCAACCACATCAAAGGGGCCAAGATGAGACAAGACTGCTTCTTTGTTGCCCCAGCCATGTCCCCATGTACGTTCATAAATACGTATTTTAAACTGGTTTCGAAGAACGTTCAAGTCAAAAAAGGTGGACCACGGTACTTCAATCCATTCATTTAAATCATCACACGAATGATACTCCAACCTCCAATCCTTAACATTTGTTGCGCATAAACTTTTTAGAAGTTCTCTATCTTGTAATTCGTAATATTTTTGAAGAATAGGAAAAGGGGCCCATGGTATGTGCTTTTTACCTAGTCTTAATTGGGGTAAAATTAACGTACGATTTGTTTCTACAGCTATACGAAGTGCATTTCTGACAGCTTCATGTTGTTCAGTAAAGTCACTAATAATTGCATCATTAGTTTATATCATTAATAGGATAAGTCAAAAAGTCAAAAAGTCAAAAAGTCAAAAAGTCAAAAAGTCAAAAAAAAAAAAAAAAAAAAAACTCTACCCATGAGGGAAAAAAGACATAAACTTTTCATCTGGATTCACTTCAATAAACTGTGTTGGTTCATACTCTATAATTTGTTCATTTTGATCTTTAGATAGAGTTCTTGCTAGTCTATTTGTTTGTAATACATTATAAGCAAAGAAAAAAAATATTAAAGCTATTGCAGCGATTATACTTGTACGTATCGAGCGTTTCATAATTCAAAAAAAAAAAAAAAAAAAAAAAAGGAGACAAAAAAAACTTTTTGTAGATGATGCTTGCTATTTAAGCAAATGTTTCACCTGAGTTTTTTCCTTTATTTATAGTTTTCATGTAAATTAAGAGATAATTTTCTTAATTAATGACTTTATTATCAGTAAATCATATGTAAAAGTTTGACATATATTTTCATATATACAGCATAAAAGTTTGTTTAAATTTTAATCATATACAAGAAAAAGTACATAAAAAAAAAAGCTTTTTAAACATCAGGAAGGAAAGTAGATTCAATAATAACATTCGTAACTCTATAAGGATCAATATTGGAAGCAGGACGACGATCCTCAAAATACCCTTTACCTTCAATACCAACATGGCGAGGAATACGAATTGATGCACCTCGATTAGCAATACCATAGCTGAAATCATTAATATGTCCAGTTTCATGTCGACCTGTTAATCTTTGATCGTTATCTTCGCCATAAACAGCAATATGCTCCATATGACGAGGACTTAGCTTTTTAATAGCTTTTTCAATTGCAGATAAACCACCTTCTTGGCGCATCTCAATAGTAGAAAAATTAGTATGACAACCAGCACCGTTCCAGTCACCTTTAATTGGTTTAGGATGTAATGAGACAATAATACCAAAATCCTCAGTGACGCGTTCAAGAAGATAACGAGCTACCCAAAGATGATCTCCCATCTCAATACCTTCACAAGGACCAACTTGAAATTCAAATTGACCTGGGGCGACTTCAGCATTTACGCCAGAGATGTTAATACCGGCATATAGACAAGCTCGGTAATGAGCTTCAACAATATCACGGCCAAAGACCTTTCCTGCACCTACACCACAATAATACTTACCCTAAGCCAGGAAAAAAAATAAAAATAATACAAAAATATATGAATACATATTATTACTTTCTTATTATATATATATATATATATATATATATATATATATACCTGAGGTTCAGGGAAACCATGCATAGGCCATCCATAAGGCTTAGTAGTTGACGGATCAAATAACATATACTCTTGTTCAATACCAAACCAAGGCTTAGCATCCGCATAAGCTGCCATTGTCTTTGCACAAGTATGTCGATAATTAGTAGAGTGAGGGGTACCATCGTTATTAAATGTTTCGCAAAGTACCAGCTTATTATTGTTTCCTCTAAAAGGATCAGCAAATAGAGCAACCGGTTGTATCAAGATATCTGAATCATGACCTTCAGCTTGTCCAGTGGAAGAGCCATCGTAGTTCCATTCAGGCAATTCATTTGCTTTTTGAGGAATGAAATCTACAGTACGTGTCTTGCTTCTCAAGCTATTATTGGCATCAATCCAAATATATTCTACTTGAATTTTATTGTTTTGTGGAAGTGAGAGATATTTTTGGAGTATATTAGGATTAGAACTTATAGCCATGTTAAAGAAAGAAAGGAAGAAGAAAAAAAGAGTCCAAAAATCGTATTTTAATGGACAAAGCTTTTTTATATTTGCTTTATATCATGTGAATAGTAAAATCCAAAACAAGCAAAGAGCTTATCTAAAATATACCAAACTTTTATCTTATCTTTTATTTTTTTTCTATACAAAAAAAAAAAAAAAAAAAAAAAATCCCCTTGATCCCCTTTTTTTTAATACTAATTCATGAACACCTGTTACTGAGTTAATCATTACCATCAACTTTATAAATAGTCTAAAATCTTTCTTCATATGAAATTACAAATTGTACCCACATTAAATTTCTACACATAGGTAATATGTAACAGCTTAAAGTATATATAATCTTATCAAGTTTCTTATCATTAATTACATATGGTTATCATTAGAAACGGGTTTCATGTAACAAAATAAATAAACAACTCAATATTTATATATAGTACATTAATAATCGAGCAAAATGCACGATTACATAGACTATAGTGAGACCGTTGTACATTATATTATACTATATATGTATATATTATGTTTATAAACTCATTTGTACATAATAAATTAACATGAATATATGTTATATATATCTCTATTTCCTCTCTCTCTTCATAAGGGGGTCCAAAAATCAGGTATCATGCAAAAATAAAGATCAATAGCAGATCTAAAGCGTTTACGATACATCTTTGGAGACACAATAGTGGGGTCTTTTTTACCTCCACCAAGCATACCAGATTCCTTAACCCAACTTTCCAACTTCTTATCCCAGGTAAAAGTTCGAATAAAATCTATAACAAATATTATTAGAGGAAACTATTTATTTTCTTGTTGCTTATACATACCAACGATACCAACTACAATTTCATCTGAATCTTCAACAAACCCTACTAAAAGCGAATAATCCATTACATCCAACGATAATAGGAACTGTGTATCATTATATAATGAATTTGATAAATTATATTTAGTATCAACTTTCATATAAAGTGGCGTTTTACTGATAACTTTAAGAAAAATTAGTATAAATAATATGTATTTACAATATTATTTGTTTTTACTTTCTACTAAATTTTCGTCTAAAAATACTTCAACATCTTTTCCTGTTTTTTCTGCATATCTATTTCTCATAGATCCTTTTAAATCAAAAACCTATAAGATATAATGTAAATAATTTTGCTACCATATAATTCTTTAATATATATATATATATATATATATACCTGTTTTATTGGTATGTCGTAAAATAAGTTTTCCATTACTAGAATATCCATCTTCATTGATTTTCCACTTGCATTATTATAGAAACCAATACGATAAAGTCCAAAGATCTTACATAAAACAGTAGGAATCTATATTATAATATGTAAATATATATACACATAGCTATATTTGAAAATATAAATATTACTCCTTTATCAAAAACTTCATTAAACATATATATAAAGTATTTATTGGCAGAACCCGAAAAAGCATCCATCTCATACTTTGATATTTGCTTAATCAAAAATCGCTCATCTATAAATATTACAAATGAGGTTTTTATGCACTCACTTTACATATTGTACATTTATACCTTTTGTTTTCAAAAAAATCGATCCAGATTTCCCTCCTGAGGCATCGTAAGTTGTGCATCGAGCCAAAGATGAGATAAAAATTTCATCACACCCACAGCTCTTTCGAAGCATATCAAACTGTTCTGCAAAATATATTTTACACGAAAAGTTTGTTGATCCTCCTTCAAAAGCAAATCTCCAAGGCTGCGATGTTTCATCAGGAAACATTTCTAAATAAAATGGGTTTTGATTTGATACATTTGACATACGTAGTTGTTGTTTGTGTTGGAGTTTTTCGTTATATAAAGCACTACCAAGCATATAAGAAATAATACTGCTAGGCTCGTCTTCTCGTACTAATATATTTGAATCCGCGAATATATGCTCATTCGGAGAACTATTGTAGAAATTAGTACTATAAAGGAAATAATATTTAACTTACAAAGGGTATTCAAGTGGCGCTAAATTACTTATGCTTTTCTCTGCTAAGACATAGGTAATTGCTTTCATAATTGAATTCCTTCCACTACTATTCGTTGACCAATCAAAACTAGATGAACCACTCTCTATTTGCATATACATATACATATATATATATATATATATAAGCTTTCCAAAAATTTAATATAATAAATTTACATACCTAAAGTCAAATTCTCTAACGGCATATCCGTTCCTTTTGGCGTCAATAAATCTTTCTTATTCCCAATTACTATGCCAGACTCTAAACTTAAGAATGGCAGTGTATTATTGGCCATCTGTACCTTATGCTCCTCTTCGAATTCCTGAAGCTCTAAGATACTTGGGACTATTTCTCGACCTAGACATTCATCGTATTCGTCCATATGAAATAGTGAAAATGCTTTATGTCCAAATGTTGATGGTTCATCATGTTCAACAGAAACTGGTCCATCTAATAAAGCATCATCGTCGTCATCTGAAGAAGATTCTTCATGCATAACCTCTTTAATTTTTGTATATGGTTCAAGCGATGCCTTACTTGGTAGCCGTTGTCGTATTGTACGCGTGATTTTATTATCTGAGAGATTATTACGTGTTTTTATTATATATTCTCTGGTACTCACATATTTCACCAAGCTTGTTGTCTCATGTTGTGTTTCTGGTAATACACTGTTACGGTTTATACTAGATAATTGTTGCCCCAAAACTGATATTTTACTACTATTACTATTAGACACACTTCCATCTACAATTGCCATAGTACGTGATCTGGGTCGAATAATTGATAACTCTTGATTTGTTGTCTGTACAAGAGGATTGCCCTTGGAAGCTGCAAGCTTACTACTAATGGGATGTGTGATATTAACTACTCCCAGTCGCTTTTCTCCTAGAGGATACATGTCTGCTAAACTTCCCATAAATCCGTACCTATATGCGATAGGTGGTCGATCTTGAATTTTTGCTGAATAAGGTGATCCACGATATGCATTAGGCTTCGTAATAGAAGTCTGCTGTTGCTGCTGCTGCTGCTGCTGCTGTGATTGCCGCTGTTGTGGTTGTTGCTGTTGTATTTTTGTATCAAAGGTATTATTTCCAAATGTGTTATTTGCTGTAGAAGCTTCAAAATATTGCTTGGCCTTATGATAGCTATGTGTACTCAATTTACTGTTCATTTTTTTTTGAACAGTTTGTGATGAGTTCTTAGATTTAGTTATAAGAGGATCTGGTGGCAATAGCTCAGCAAATCGCTTATATGCAGCCGATGAAAAGATAGGTTTGATATTATTACGAACAATTAATTGCTGTTGATTTAGAGCCATTGGAGATGGTAACGGTGTAGAGTTTACAGATGATGCGGGTGTGTTGTCGGTTTCTATAATTTTCGATTCTTCTAGGTATTTCTGGCTTTTCTCCTCTTGTATTTTCTTCTCTACTATTTTCTTTTTATTAGGTGAATCCTTCATAAGTTCAAGAGATAATCGACGAGCGACACTTGGATCTAAGTCACGAGATGCATCTTCTTCTAATAAAAGATTTATTTTAGGTGGCGATTCTGAGCTATTCTTTATATTATTGTCCCCTATGCTATCAAGATCTTTCTCATGTTGTAAAAACATTTGATCAAAACGTTTCTCTTCATGAAACCATGGATACAATTCGGTAGTAGTAGGTGATTCACTCAATATAGGTTTTTGTAGTAAGTTATTGATAGTCGTATCATCACTGTTTTCATCATTATCAAACAAGCCAACATCTAAAAGTGGTAAATCAACTGCTTCTATAGCTTTTTTCGTTCTTAAATCCAAATTTGTCGAAACATTTGTGTTATCAAGATTTTCAGCGGGAAACATCTTTCGTAAATGATTTGTGGTCAAGCGTCTCAGCTCACGTTCAGGTCTTATAAATCGTCGTGCAAATGCTATGTATTTAAGATCCCATGCTACTGCATGATTTTGCAAATCAGCTAACACATTATTAAGTTGTAATGTATCAGTAGGTGCGCTTGTGGCATATTCCATTTGTAACTTTTGTAATAAATGCTTTTTATTTTTAAGAGCTTCTTGTGAAAGTTCCTTTAGATATTCTTTGCAGAGATCAATGATGTTAGGATGTACAATATCATAGGAGAAGGATTTATTGCGCTCTATTATAGAATCAAAAAATTTTGCAATCTTTGACCGCGTTGATTCCAGCGCAGCGTCCTTAATATCTCTCTGCTGCTTGGAACTAAACTTCAAGTGTAATTGAGGTGGGAAAACATCAACAACTTTAACTTTGTGATGCGTAAAGTTAACCGACAAGTTTTGAATGCGAAATGAAATGCTGTGGTCACGATAAAAACCGTGGGGACAACCCTCATCAACAGCTATAGGTTCTGATTGATAAAACAAGAGCTCTAAGAATTTACCGAATGAATATCGAGCAAGTAGTTCTGGTATAGGCTTCCATTTATGTGTGATATTGCAAATATTACAATGCGTACAAATTAGTATTGGTATCTTGTTCAAGTATTCATCACGACTGATATCAATTTCGTCATCGTTGTCTTCTTCAACAAACATTTGTACCTTAATTTGTGCGTTACCGTGTGAATACGTACGATCATGAAAGATCAGAGGTCCACCGCAGATTTGAGAACTACAAGTATAATACGCTTCTTTTACTGAGTTAAGAATGTACTGACCTAACGTACAATCACACAGGGGGTTATAATATTCATATGGGTCTAAGACAGCCTTCTCACAAGGAATTGTATGATCATCCATAGGATTAATAGTCCGATACACAATAATCCGCTGATGATAAATAGGTGATAGCTGAAGTGGAATAAAGCCTATATATTTTTTATACATAAGCCAACATTGTAAATGTAAATCTTGATAATGACGATATTCAAGGTCGTGTTCCAAGTAGGCATCAAAAGATTTTAGATAATCCTGCATATAAATGAGATCTGTAGGTATGGGCGGTATAGTAGGTGATGTATAATTACTTTTATTCTTATTTTCATTTTGTATTGGGTGATCTGGATTCACCGTATGATTCGATAGTTTACTATCTTTCTCTTCATGATAGCTACTTTCATTAGCGAGATTGGTACCTGTAATAGTGGCACCTAATCGCTCACGAATCAAACCAATTAAACGTTTCTGAGTCTCACGCAATTTAAGCAAAAGATGAGGTACAGGCAAGGTTACACCAAGTGACATGGATAGCGTTGTTGTTTGATACTGTTTCAGGACCGCATTAACAGCTGTTAGACAAATATCGTCATCATCTACAATGACAGTTGTCGTTTGCTGGTGGTAATGTGTTCTTTTTTTATCTACTGTATTTACCGTTACTTGAGATTCAGCTACAGATAATGCAGAAATACTTTGAGTTTCTAAATAAAGCATATTATCTGATAAAGTAACACTTTCACCATGATAAGAGGAGACAGTTGTAGGTCGATTATTAACTATATTTAAGGCATCAGAATTTATCGGCGTTGCTTCCAAAGTATTAGTGTCATCATTATTGTCATCATCTGCTGACATAATACGATTATTATAACTACGCAACCCAATAAACTCTTTTCTTAGTTGTGCTTCAATATTGATATTATTAACGACATTCACCATAAACTTCATAATTAACTTTACAGTCTCCAATGTCTTCAGATCACCTCCTCGCAATATAATCGTTGCTCCGCGCTCCTTTGGACACTCGCGAAAAATTAAAAATGTTTTGCGTCGATTTGGTAAAAATTCATGCAAAATTGTTAGAGGTTCAAAAAGGCCACATTGACTTACTGTAATTGTCTTTGCATTCCACAACTCATTTTTGTAATTAAAGACAGTTGCATCTGTACAACGCGCAATGGCATCTAACTTCTCTCTCTTAATGTTGTAAGCAACTGCAATCTTAGCGTTATTAAGACGTTCGATAATTGTATGGGGTACATGAGATGCCACCAATACAATATGGGGCTTGAGATTGATAATCTCTGACACTAAAGCATTCATATGATCTCGTTCCCAAGCTAACAGACGTTCAAATCTGAGATACTCTTGACTTTCAAGTAAAGTTGTAGCATCTAATTCAAAATTCAAGATCAAGATTACGGGATTTTTTATCTTTCGTATCATTCCTTTATGGGCTACAGTTTTTGATAGCACTACCCCATTAATGGAATAACTATCAGTAGGTAATCCTCCAGGTACTTTTTTAATTTTAATGTAATGGTTCATATTGAATGTATCCCGAATGCGTAACTGAGGTTGAACTTCATCTGTGATTACTAATAAGAGTTTCATCATAATTTCTTCCCAGTCTTGCCGAGGTAATTCACTATCCTCTAAAAGATGACAAAGTATATTTTTCATCAGCTGAATAAAAGAAGGATCCCAGTCTTGATGTCTAATGGCATTCATATTATATCGTGATTGTGGCTGTTGTTCGGATGTTGTGCTTTGGTGAGATGTTGCTGCTGCTGCTGCTGCTGCTGCTGCTGCTGCTGCTGTTGTTGTTGTTGTTGTTGTTGTTGTTGTTGTTGGTATTGGAGTCGACCGAGATGGCATTATTTTACTATTTGATAGTATTTCAATACTTTGATCTGTTGTTGTAATGGGCGTATTACGCATTAAGCTTTTAGTTCGTACCCGTATATGTCGTCCTGTTGTTGTATTCTCTGTTAAACTTAATCTTCTTCGAATTATGGATCTCTCTGGAGATCTCATGATAAACCATGATGACGTTTTACTACTTGCAGTACTTGTACTTGTTACAGGCGTTGTATTAGGTGAATCATCTTCGAAGAGTGGGATATTATTGAAGATACCAGAACTAGGTCTTTCAATACCACCACTTAGAAAATTAAGTAAATTACGAGAGCTTCTATCATCCTCTCCTTCGTCACTATGAGCCTCTGGATGTGGGTTAGAATTCGAATTGTTATTAAAAATTGATGAGCTTCGACGAAAAGGCATAGGTGAGTTTAATAACCGCTGCTTTGTACCTTCTAATGTGGCCAAACTTGTATCAATACCTAACGAATTCATTGTACTTGCGCGAGAACGTGGTGCTGAACGTAAAAAGGAAGAAGATAACAATTTTTTTGCACCGTCAATAGAATGTAGCTCTAACGAAGCTCTTTGTTGTAAATCACTATTATTACTTATCAACTCATCATCGTCGTCACTGCTATCAGCACTTGTAGGGATCAAAAATGTTTTTTGTGATTGCTGTGATGGTTGTACATTATCAATGACAGCATCATTTAATAAATTGATATCGTCTGCGTGATATTTATTATAACAATTATTGCATACACGAAGTGACTGACTTGTATGAATATTATTACTCAGACATTTTGAGCAAAATATTTGACCTATAAAGACGCGTATAAAAAAAACAATGTATTATGAAAAGATATGATCTGCTTACCACAGGTACGACAATGATGTCTTCTTCTAAATAAATTAAAGGGTGCTTTACAACTATTACATTCTTTACATTGTTCATCAGGTATCCAAAAATCTTTATTACTATAATCAACTGAATCATATTTCCGAAGCCTATTTAATATACGACCCAAAGAGTTTGTATTCGAAACAGAAAAATTTGTCATGATTGATTGATTATCACTACTATCAACAGAAGAAGTCTTTGTTAAGGATATATCCAGCTGTGGTCTGACGGGGATTATTTCTGATACGGTGGTTATGGCAGCGGCGGAGGTAGTATCGGTTGTTGTAATAATTGAAGAGGAAACTACATTATTATTGTTATTGTTACTATTATTATTGTTACTATTGATATTATCATTGTTATCATTTTCGGTTAATTGTATAGAAGATTGCTGATCAGTTAACTTATAGTCCTGGACATGTTCATTAGCAATGACAATAGACACATTTTGAGATTGAGGAACAACAACAGTAGTTTTAAATTTAGAGAAAATTTTAAAGATCAGGCCTTCTTCATCACCTTCTGAGATGAAGTTAAAAGATGTAATAGAATGAGGATCGTAATCAAGTTGAGATGTTTTTTTCATATAAGAAAAAAAAAAAAAAAAAAAGAAGGTACAGGGACAAATGACTGCTGCTTTATTATCATACAACATTCATTGTACTACGATGTATTTTATATGTAAAATACACTTTTTTTTTTGTTTGAAACATTTCCATTGTTTAAAAAAAACAATTATCAGATTGAGTTTCAGCAGCAATCAACTATTTTTTATTATTTTCATTTAAAAGATATCCCCGCAAATAAATTTTCTTTCTTTTTCTTTCTCATAAAAAAAAATATTATTTATTTATTGTGTATAAAACATGGCTACGTAAGGAAGACTAAATATTCAATATGCATATAAAGTATACTTAATTATTATATAGTGAAGCACCTAAAGCAACCCCTATTACAGTTTCTGAATTGTCCAAGTATGATGGCTCTGACCCTTCACTTCCCATTTATGTTGCTATTAAAGGTGATGTATTTGATGTCTCAAAAAATACAAGTTCATATGGTAAAGGTTCAGGATATAATGTATTTGCTGGAAAGGATTCATCTAAGGTAAAAAAAAAAATTTTTTTCTTAATGCGGCTAATTGGGAATTTATTGTAACACACAATTTATAGGCACTTGGAAAGTCTTCTTTAAAGCCTGAAGATTGTATAGGTGACTATAGCGATCTTACAGAAAAGGAATTAGAAACTTTAAATCAATGGTATACATTCTTTTCTAAGAGATATAATATTGTTGGAAAGGTCGTTCCTGATAATTAAGTTGTATTTTATTCGCGTTTTTATTATTAATATAAAAAAATAAAATTTTACCATTACGTAATACCAATAAATGATAATAATTCACTTTTTTGATTTCCGCTAAACTTCTTTTCACTTTTCTCTTTCCATTACATCATAATGGCAACAATCTCTCAATCCTCTGCCAACCAACATTGGAATTACTTTATAAATGGTCTCGAATCAGCTTCCAATTGGCCTAAGGCCTTTATTCTCTTTTATACGTAAATGTGACAATAAATTAATATTGAATTTTTTTTGATGTATGTTTCTTTTTTTTTTATATAAATATATAGTTCTTCAAGCATTCAAAAGGCTATGTTGACCACCTTTTTATTGAATGGCGTTTTATTTTTAGGTAGTCAAGTATTTTTAGAAACTGTTTATCCAAATTCAAAAATATTTGGTTGTCATTATGTTGTAAGTATATGTGGTTTTTTATAAGGAAAAAAAAAAAGAAGGGGGCTCTTACATTATACAATTGAATAGCATCTAATTGGATATCCCATGTATTTTATTTTACTTGGGATCAATGGTCGATTCTACGGTAAAGTAGCTGAAAAGTCATATCAAATACAAGCACAACAACAACAACAGCAACAGAAACGATCAGCTCCCACCAATACTATTTCGAGCTTAGCTTCCACTATTTTAACCATTATTTTATATATTAATTGTGGTCTATTTGCTAATCTTATTTCTAATGTACCCATTATGGGTCGCTTTTTATCTTTTTGGATGAATTGTATTATTATGTCTTATTATTCATTTGAGTAAGTGCTGATATGCATATGTATGTAAAGAAAGACAATATGCTTATATATATATTAAATAGATATCAATGGGTATATAAGGGCTGGAATATTGAAAAGCGTTTAGCATATATGGAGGCTCATTGGGCTTATTTCTTAGGTTTTGGTAAGTTTAACAAAAGATAAAGAAAAGAAAATGAATTTTTTAATTTTTTTTTTTTTTTTTTTGATAGGGTTTCCTGCTACAGTGATTACATTTTTCCTTTCTTTTCTTCGTTCTGGCGCCGTTTTTGCTCTTATTTACCCTTTCGTAAGTTTAAGTTAAGCATGGAATATATAAATGTATAGAATACTTATATTTTGTTATAGTTTATCATTATGGCTATGTTATCTGTCCCAAAAGGTACAAATCCTTATAACCAAACAATGCCTTCTGGAGAAAACGCACGCAATAAGATTAGTTTACCCAACAAAATTCCCATCTTTTACCCTGTTCGTAAATTAAATGATGCAACAATTTTATTTATTCGTCTAATTGGTGGTGTTCATGCTGACTCTATTATTACAGAAAAAAAGAATGAAAGTAAAAAACAAGAATAATAAATTTTAATTTAATGCTTTGTCTTTCTTTTCTTTGCTGAATGTAAATCTTCGACTGCTTTTGAATTAGAAGAACCAGGAAGAACTTTTTGTGCTGTTAATAATATTAATATTAATAAATTTTCCAGAGTGATTTATATGATTATACATGTATAAAAAAAAAAAAAAAAACTTACTATCATTCATTAAAAGTCTTTCGACCAAGTCATTAATAACACCACCAGTCAAAAATTTGGTAGATACACCAGCAGGTAAAATAGGCTGTTTTAATTGCTCCTCCAATTCATGTTTTAAAGCCTTTGCTCTCATTTTGGCCTTTTGAAGTTGTTCTTCAGACTTTTGATGTCCCTTACCTTGCATCGTTTCTTCATCAAACTCGACATCCATTTCCTTGGCCATATTTCGCATCCAATTTACTTCATGTGATTGTTTCGATTCTTGATGTTGTATCGAATCAATTTCAGATGCTAACTTGACACGTTCACGCATCGCTCTTAAAATACTTAAATCAACAGGGAACTCAGGATACTGCTTATTCTTACGCAGTGTTTGACATAATTTGTTATAAATCTTAACTTCTTCAGGACTACATAACAAAAGTGAGATACCATCATGATTAGCACGAGCTGTACGACCAGAACGATGTACATAAATTTCACCGGAACGAGGTAATTGATAATGAATGACATGGTCAACCAAAGGGATATCCAAACCACGAGCAGCCACATCAGAGGCTACTAAAACAGCTTTAGGGTTTGCTTTAAATCTATCAAGATTCTTAAGACGCTGCTTTTGTTGCATCTGAGCATGTAAACCAAGAACTTCGATATGAAGTAGCTTGAATACAGGAACTAAACGACGTATAGCATCAATTGAGTTAACAAAGATAATAGTACGTCCAGGATATCGTGTTACAAAATAATAGACATACAAGTCTTTATCTGTGTTAACACAATCGACTTTAGCTTCTAAAAGACGAGAAGCAACGACATTTTCTGAAGTCATATCAACTAAAGCTGGTTCTTTATCAGCAAAATCAATACGTTCAAGGAGGTCCTCCATCGTGTTTGTTGTTGCTCTTGACTTCTTCTTTTTGGCCTTGACATTAAAACGAATATCTTTGGACAAAGTAGCGGTATAGATGAAGGTTTGATGCACACCTACATGTCGAGGTAGTTTCTTCTTGTTAATACCATCTCCATCAACTTCCTCGGGCCATTCAGTTGTATTCTGTCGTTTTGATGAAAGTGCATCCAATACGCTATTTAATTCATCAAAATGGCCCTTCTCTAACATACGATCTGCTTCATCAAGTACAAGGAATTTAATATGTTTTAACATATCCATATAATTTGAGTTGCCTGAAAGGAGTTCCCAAAGACGGCCTGGTGTTGCAACAATAATATCTGGTTTTTGGTTAAGTAAACGTTCTTGCTTCTGAACTGACATGCCACCCACGATAGCAATGACACGAGTGTTACTAAAGACAGCCATACTTTCGATATGGTCGCGAACCTGAATCGCCAATTCTCTTGTAGGGGTTAAAATAAGACCAGTCAAGCCCTCATGAACTGGATGGTTTGCAAGGTAGTTGATAATGGGGATACCAAATGCCAGAGTTTTACCTGAACCTGTTTCTGCGGAACCAATAATATCGCGGCCCTTTAACGCTAACGGCAAAGCATTTTTCTGAATTGGCGTAGGTGATGTAAAATGATTATATTTAAGTGCATTCTTAATAGGCTCTGATAAACTTAAATCATCCCAAGCTGAAATATCGACAGTTTGATCTACATCTTCTAAAGTAGGACGACGGGGTTTCTTTTCCTGTTCTTTCTTTTTCTCCTCTTCTTCTTGAGCCTTTCTTTTAGCTGCTAATCTCTCCCTTTTATTCATAGGCTTCTTTTCACCTTCTTGAGTTTCATTTTTAGCTTGTTCTTCAAGTTGCTTCACTTCAGTTTCATTTTTAGCTTGTTCCTCGAGTTGCTTCACTTGAGTTTGAAGTCTTTCCAATTCTTTCTTCTTTTTCTCTAACAATTTTTGAGCTTTTGTCTTTTTTTCAACAGGCTGTTGTTCTTGCTTGTCTTTTGCAGGTTCCTTTGTAATACTATTCTCTTTTATTTCGTTATCTGTAGACTCATTCTTTTCTCCTTCTTCTGTCTTTTCCTCAGATGTATTTTCCTCAGTCATTCCTTCTTCCTTAGTGGCTAATTCCTCGTCAAATGTATCCAAATCATAGTACTTTTTTGTTTCTTCTAAGCTCAAAGGAGCTGTAGGTTCAGCTTTTTTCCCCTTTTTACGATCTTCTTTTTTGATTCTCTATTACATTTTATTTAGATGCTTATGCTCATTATATACATATTTACATTTATTTCGTAATTGGCTTACCTTAAATTTTGCAACTTTACCAGTTGCATCATCACCTTCATATTCTATTTCTACGTCACTAATTTCTTCTAAACATAAGAATCCACCTAATTCATCAGATACAAAGGTATCATTGACAGATTCGTTCCAATCCCAGCTATCAATGTCACCTAATTCTTCGTATTCGATCTCACCACTAACGCCTTTTTCTAATTTAGGTTGTTTGTTTACGGATTTGTTTTTCTTGAAAACTTTCTTTTTATTGTTGTTTGGTTTGAGTGGTTTAGTGTTTGCTGTTTGATTTTTAGTCGATTTTACCATGGTGAATGAGAGAGAGATCTAGTTTCTATAAAAAAAAAAAAAAAATTTCGGTAAAAAAAAAAATACAAATATATAATGAGACTGACAGTCATTTTAAAATTAAGTCACATTCATGCGCTCATTTAAAAAGGGGTAATGTTTATTTAAATAAAGGTATAAAAATAATATAGTATGAAGTATTTTTTTTTTAAAAAAAAAGAAAAAAAACAAGGAAAGAAAAGAAAAAGTATAGACTAAATTATTGATCTAAACCCATATTATCATCTGAAGGGTCTAGCAAACTAAAAATAAAGTTAAGTAAAGTGATCTTTAGATAGCTGTTTCTGAATTTTACCTGTATTGCTTAAGAAGCACACATTCGCCACCACTTTCCAAGTCAATATTATACTGATAAAAGAAACCTTCGGAGGTAATCACCATTACTTGTGGTGTTGTGCTATAGAATTATAAGTATCACTAAAATACATCAAGTCCTTTTTTTTTTTTTACCTGCTTAGTGCAACTAAGCTTCGAACACCTGCACTCGGTAATTTTAATGAAGCAAAATCTCGTGTGGGTTCCCACATTTCAGTCAAAACGTCAGGTAAATAAGATCCAACACTACCTGCTAAGTTTCTACCCAAATGCATTGAAGATCTGCGAAGCATTTGTCTATATAATGATATAAATAAATAAGACCCATAACAGGTTAAATTAGCTGATGCTAGCTTACCCTACACTGGAACTTCTACCTCTTTTATCTCTATCCTCATTCAAGCCAGGGCTTCCATTATTTGATCCCAATTTAAAGATGTGAACTGTTTCCGTATCACTTGAAACACATAATAGTGAGCTTACTAGATTAAATGACATAGAATATATCTTTGCTGGGTAAGAGCCTCGTCTAAATTGATAAATTTTTGTAGCATCCAGAGTAGAAAAAATACGAATTACAGTCCCCTTTAATAAATGAATTAGGGCATATGCATATATATATATATATATCTAATGTGCCACTATCTTAATATTACCTTTTCACTGGCTGTGGCTAATAATGTTCCTTCAGAATTCATAGAAAGGCAGCTGACAGGTGACTTGTGTGCTTGAATTATATTGGTGGTTTGTGGACCTAATGCATCAAAAATCTCCACGTCACCTGATATATAAAATGAATTAGATGAGCCACTATTGGGTGAAAAAGGTGAACTAGTTGAAGACCTTGCAGGATAAGCTATAAAGCAGTTTTCACTCGAAGGAGACAAAGCACAAATGGCTAAAATCATATATTAAGATAAATAGATGATGTGTATTGTCAGCAGGCAGATAATCTTACCATTAGGGTTTGGATTTGTATCAATCGTATGGAGTAGTTTCATGTTACTGATATCATATAAAAAAATTTGTTCTTCCAAAACAACAATCAATCTTCTTCTATTCATTTTTACTGCAAGAATAGCAGTGGGGAATGATAATTCGCAAATCGTTGTTTGTCTCTAAATAAACAATATTAATTACAAAAGAAAAGAAGAAGAAAAAAAAAAAAAAAAAAAAAAAAAAAAAAAAAGAGAGGAAGGATGGACATTTCATAATTAAAATAATTACCTTTGTATTAATAATTTGCAATTGCCTTGGCGAAAAAGCTGGATGTTCACCAGCTCCTACAAGTGCAACAAGAGATGTGCAAAATAACATTTCTACAATGCCTGTTCCGCCCGTCTCTTTATGTTGAAGTAAATTCATTTGCTCTGTTTTTTTTTTAAAGAAAAAAGGAAATCATCACTTACGTTTAGAATAACATTTTCCAAATGGATCACAATTGTAGATTCGATATCCTCTTTCAGTGCCAACAGATATACAGCTAAAGTCTTGATTGAAATTTAAAAATAAAATTTCATTATTACTTTTATCTCCAAGATTCATTTTATTAAAGAGAAAATTAGAAAAAAAATAAAAATAAAAAGTCTTTTGTATAAGTATTATTATTTAATTTAATTTTATTTTATTTTATTTTTTTTGCTGCATTTTATTCACAACACCGCACCCACGCCCCCTATAATTGTTCAACTTGAAACTTTTCTTCTCCATTAATCAGATGTAAATGGTGTGTGTAGTTAATTTACAGAAATTATTAGGGGAAAAAAAATTATACAGACAACAAGAAGCAATATGTAAACATGTATATATATATAAAAAAAAAAAAATAACAAATTCCTTAGAATAAGAAAGAATAACTAATAAATATATCATAATATACATTTATAATAGTGCCATTTACCTTTAGTTATATCTATGCTATATACTTTCCAGTGATTAAATATAATAACTTTACATGCTTGTTGAAGGCTTTATACAATATATCCTTTTCTCTATCATTAGCAACTTTCATAATGAATTTTGGAGCATTATTTACTAATTCAATACTCTGCTTGGGCAAAAAGTTTAAATTATTAAGTAAATACACCCTAATAGAGGGAGAGGCTTCTTGTATATTCTTGCTTTTTTTTTTGGTATATACTATCATTACGCGTGGAATACCTTAATATTTTACTATTTGATCTAATGATTTAGATCTCTTATAAATTTAAAGCACTCTTTTATATGTATACGACTTGCTTTATACATTCCCTATAATATAGAGCATTTACTATGATACCAATTACATATGTGCATACAAAGACTGTACATGATATATTCTTGATACATCAAATATATCGTTATGTTTTCTTACTGCTACATAGATATAGAAGAATTGAAAGAAACAAATACAGAAGACTACTTTAAATACTGAGTAAAACTATCAAGCTGTACATTACAATATGAGACAAATTTTATTTTGATTTATATACCAAACCAATATTATAATAGCTTTATTATCCTCTTACATTGCATAATGAAACTGAAAGCTTGTAAAATCGAATAATGTATTAACTGAGCTTAATTATATATTATATAAAGATAAGCGTCTTTTTTCTTTAAAAAAATAAAACAAAATAAAATAAAAACAAGGTAACTATTTCAATAAGCTCACTCGCTAAAGCAATAAGTGAATCCATGTATTTGATAACTCGCTTGTTCTTGATTGAGATATATTTAAACTAATAAAATCATTGGTTTCTATCAGTTTTATTTTTATTTATTTTTTTAAATATTAGACTATATAGCATAAAAATAAGCTACAAATAAGCTTATAACGCGATGATTTGATTAATGCATATCCTTGTCATTCACAATTAAATATATAAATGTTAAATATTGGTTGTGTATTTTTCTTTTCTTTCTTTTTTTTTTCATTTGTGTTTGTTATTTCTGAAATGGACGCATCTGAACGACAGAAGTATACCCCCTCACACCTCCCGAGGGCGTACAAGCAACTGAAGAGACACTCCAGGCTGATCAGGCCCAGCCATTTCACGGCCGTGGAATAGCCGGTTGATGATCATAAAGAAAAAAAAAGAAAAAAAAAGGGAATTTTACAATTTTTTGACCCCATTTTTATACCTTTTTTTTCCCTTTTTTTAAGGAGTAAATTCATTCAAGGAGTAAATATTTTTATCCAATCAATTTGAACATTCTTTTATTTATGAACATGTGCATCATATGTTTACGTAAAACTCTCAAGTCATTAATAAACAGCCAATTGGAGGGGTTAACTCAGTTTTAATTTACTTTTGCTATTGCTTTTATTTACTTAAATACTAGAAAAAATGAGAGCAAATAATTTCTTTATTTATCTGATTCTTTTGATTTTATTTTGTTTCAAATTTAAAAACTGATCCCTTATTATAACTTTATTGTAAATAAATTCATTCGTTTTTTGGTTGTGAAAAGGAAGAAATCTATAATTATAACCTTGCAAGCATATATATATATATATATTTTTTTCTTACTTTATTCAACAATATAAGAAAGATGACTCTATGTCTTGTAATTTATAAACATACAATCTTTTCAAAGAATCGCATTATCATTGTAGATTTACATTCTATATTAATTTGCTGCACAAAGTTTGTATTTTCTCTTAAATATATACTATTTGTAATTGTATAATCAATGCGTTGATTAAAACATATAATCTGAATGTAGCATAGTAATTTAAGCCAAACCTTAAATGTAAAAGTTTTTTTTTTTTTTTTTTTTTGATCTCAAGTTGCTTACAATGGCACCCTATATTAATATATGGGTGTTTTCTATACATGCGTCAATCAACGATTACTTTCTTTTTTTTTTCTTTTTTTTTTAGTACAATAGTATTCTTTATTACACGATGGTTCTATTGTTTAGACACAACTTGGATATTATACTTTTTCTGGAATTCAACAAATTCTTCTTCTTTACGCTTGTAAGATTGTAATAAGGATTCTATAACTTGTTTGATCTAATAACACAATAAGTTATTGTTATATACAATGTAAACAAAAGCTTCTTACCCCTTTATAATTAGTTTCTAACGCAGGTAAAACTTCTTTGATTGTTCTTTCTACAAGAACACCACCTACCATACGAAAGCATTTACGTTCTGGTTCAAGTGGTGAAATGCTATCAATCACAAGTCTACAAATAATAAATTAAGAATTAAAAAAGTCAATTTACTTGAAATAATAATAATAATAATAATAAATTTACTTGTGCTCTTCAACTTCTGATTCTAATTCACCTATTTTTTGTGCTATTTGTTGAAGTTCATTTTTATATTGATTATACTATTAAATGATCATGTTGATGTTAGAAATTACATGTGTATTTTTTTTTTGGCAATGTTTTGTATTAGTTAGCATACTTTTTGTGTTAATTCAGCATCAGAAGGTCTTTTGTTGGTAGCCATCGTACGCGTATATGTAGATGATCGTCAAATTGAAATAAAAAAAAAAAAAAAAAAATAGTTATTTTTCTCTATAATGGAGTTTTAAAAAAAAAAGCGTCCTGACTTACTAGTATTAGTAGTATTTACTATGGGTGAAATTAAATTTTGCTAGAAACACCAACATAAACCTAATTTCTTAGCCATACTAGGACTAGGAAAAATACATATTTGATACGACATTATTTTTGTTCTTGTTGAAGAGAAAATCTAGGAGGATGCTTTCGATCAGTTAATTCTTTTAACAGCATTACAATTACGTTGCTACTGTATACTACAGCTTCTGGAAGCTAATATATCATGATAGCCTATTATTGCAGGCATAAGTTTTCTTTCAAAGCATAAATAATAAGTTTTTATATATATATATATAAGCTATGTTTATAACAGTTATTAACTATCATAAAAGAGCACGTGTAGTATGTGGAATAGACTTTTTTTTTTATTGTTGTTTAATAAAAGTCTAATGTTTACCCTTGCAGTTGTATGAAAGGGACACTTATGGGGCACGTTTACGTCGTTTTGAAAATACCTATTTTATTTAAACTTTTGCGATTATATTCATGGTAAATTGTATCATAACATCGAAACAGGTAAGCAAGTACACTCTGGAAGGAGACATTAGAGGTTCAATAGAGAAGGATACGATTGCTTCTTACATCGTTAAATTTCTGAAATTAGTTATTAAAGTAAATTGATAATAATAGTATATTTTTATTATGATGTATAACTGTAAAGTGGATCACAGCCGCTTTGGTGTAGCCTGTGAGTATCAACCATTCTTTATACGTCTATAATCATCCTACTTGAATGTTATTGAAAGATGCTAGTCTAAAGATTAAAGAAAGCTTAAGAAGAAACTCACTCAGAAAAAAAAAAGTAATCTATTTACACCTCGCATCAGAGAAATATGTATGACTACTACTTTAAGATGGGTTAAGAATATTGCCTTGTATTGTGATAAATGTTTATAAAAAAAAATAGATTAATTTAAGATAGTTTCAATATAGATAAGCTCTAATTTCACCTTAAAAGAACATTGCAAATATTTCTTTGTCTATTAGTGTCTACAAGAAAAAATAAAGTAAAGTTAAATATCATGATAATAAAAGAAAAATTTAGTTTTATGCTTAAGATTTAGTCGTCTATTTATTAAGCTGAAGAGACAATAGAGGACTAAGAGGAGATCAGTTTTTTTTAGCAAAGTTATTAAGGGAATGTCTAACCAAATAAGTGTACGAAATAAGTAAGCTTTAATTTACTATGATAGTTTGTAGTTGAAATTAATCGTTTGACATTTGAATTTAGTGGAGGGGGGGGGAGTTATAGTTCAATGTAATGAGTATTCTTTATATGTATATAGAATTTAGGCAAAAGAAAAATGCATACGTTTGTGATACCGTATTGCAATAGTTAAAATGACGCATCATTATCCGAATGAATATTAGTCACTGTTTACATAGTGTCTATCTCATAGTTAAACTTAACATTATAAGTTTCCTAAAACAGCAGAAAAAGAATGAAGGCTTTGAACTCTTTTCCTATTAAAAAAAAGGGGGGGAGGAAAGGAGAGTGGGAGTACAACGACTATAATATCGTTAATTTGACAATAATTAAAATCATTAATGCTCCACTTTGCCTGCTAGATAAATTCGGCTCGTGGCTGGAGTTATTTACTGAATGATGGTGCTGTAATATTTTTTTATATAACTTTTTAGGTTGTATCTTGCCTAGTTTAAATTTCCTTGGAGTAAATTTTATTTTTGATATAGAAGATTAGTTGGCTTAGTCTTCCCATTATATATCAAGTTTGCGAGATCATATCCAGTTAATCATAAAAAAATTATTCTTCTACTTATTTTATTTTGAAGTGTATCGATATTCTTTTTTTTTTTCATTGGAGTCTTCATATATCCTTTTATAACAGCTTTTGACTTAATCCTTAAGCTGCTTTGTTAGATGCCCGACTATATAATAACATTGGGTTAATAGTATTATTTATTTATTTATTTATTTTTTTAAGAAAAAGAAAAGAAAAATAAATAAATCCTTGAACCACTTATTCTATTCTAAGATTGATAGTCGGAGATTACAGTCAACAAATTGTTAGGCGTAAAATCATAGAATCTATCTTAGATCAAACAAAACTGAAGAAAACTTCATTCTTTTCGAATTATTTTTTTTAATTTAAATGTGAATTGATTGGTTGACTTCTATAAATTGAATAAGGGTACCCAATCAAGTAAATTACTGGTACCTTGTTACCTAAGTATCCAAGTCTATGATAAAAAAAAAAGAACTAAACTTTTTTATTTTATTTTACTTTTTTTTTCTTTTTTTATTTTCTTTTTTTTTTTTTTTATTTATTTATTTAATTGCTACCTTTTATTTACAAATATTAGATAGGTAAATAAAGCATAAGGATGAAAATCAGAGAAATCCTTTGTGGTTTATTATCCACTACATTTGTATTAAGGGTTGCTACTATACCTTTATTCGAAATACGTAAGTTTTTATTTATTATTGTTATTTTGTTTATTTACATTTTTACCTTTATAGCAAATGATTATGATAGATACGGTAATGAATGTCCTCTGTTCGCCCATAATGATATCAAATGCCCATTACTTTGTGTCAGGAGTTATGATCTTTGTCCGCCTTCATTAGCCGCTAATTGTCCTCCTGGTTTAAGCTTTTGTGGGGATGGCACTTGTCAAGTCTCTTGTGAAGGGATTGAAAACGCCTGTCAATGTGGAGATGTCTCTCTCAATTACGTACCTTGTTCTGCTGGTCAATTAGTTAATATTTCTCATTTTGATCCTGTTAATCAGGTTGTTCAAATACAAAATTTCTGTGCTTCAAAGGCTGATATCAATAATCGAATAATTAATACCTGGGGTAATTTTAGCACATCATCAGTCTGGTTATCTTGTCCTATCACTGAACCTTATTTTACTTATACTGAACCTATGTGGATTGCTGTATGGTCATTAATGGGTATTGAAGCTGCTATTTTAATATTATGGTGTATTTATAAAGTGATTCGTGAGGCCAAATTTCATCGTGAAGTGAAAAGTACAACAGCTTATTCTATAGATAATACCAACAATTCGATTAAAGTTAACAGTCAGATTGATGAATCAGATGTAATTAAAGAAAAGTCCGAATTATACAAGAAATCCGAAAACGATAATTCTACCATCGGCAGTGAATCATTTATTGAAGAATCAGAAAAGCTAAGATTTAGAGGCTTTTCTAATGATTATTTTGGTATATTTGCTTTTGGTTCTGTTATTATAACTACCTTATTATTCTTTGTTTTCCTTGGTTGTCTTGTTGGTGATTATTGTAAGTAAAGAAGAGGAGGAGGAGGAAAAAAAAAAATATTCTACTTAATTCATGAATGGTTTTTTTTTTTTTTTTTTTTTTTTTTTTTTTTTTTTTTTTTTTAGACGGAACTTTGGGTGGCGAACAATTAGCAGTCTTTTTAACAGGCGATCTTTCATCCAAGATTTTTGCTGCTGTATGGCATCTAGCAGCTGCTTGGTTTTGTATTATAATGCTTACTAAAAAAGAATTCGTAATTATTTTAGAATTGAGTCTTACCCACATACATGCCCCTTTGTTCAAGTAGAGCGTAAACAAGATGAATTGGTCTTTTTAGCGGATGGTAGTAAATGGATTTCAAAACTTAGGGAAATTGAACAACGTGTCACCAAACAGCTTGGGTAATATACATGTGAAGATGTATGGTATAAAGTTTGACAATCTAACTATTATTTTTTTTTTTTTTGGTATTACTATTCATATTATTAGAATGGACATTATGGTGTCTACTTGTAAGGTCAAGTTTGCAGAAAATAGACTTCGTTACTTTGAATATCAATGTATGAGATATGTATATAATTCTGATAAGAGACGTTTTGAGCCTTACGAGTATGATTTGGGAAACACACATAGAAAACTTCAAGCTTGGTCAAAGGGTGTATCCACAGAGGATGCTAAAGTAAGAGCCGCCATGTTAGGTGCTAATATTATTAAAGTGGATGTTCCATCAATTCCTTTAGCCATCGTCCAAGAGTAAGTTTGACAGTTTTTTTTTTTTTTTTCTTTAAAAAAAAAAAAGAAAGTTAGAGTTATATAAGGTTACACAGTGATATTTAAATGTCTACTCTATTATAGATTCTCTTCCTTTTTATATCTTTATCAAATGATGTGCATGTGGGTATGGTATTACTTTCAATATTATAAAATGGGTCTTGTTCAAACATGTATTATTCTTGTTGCTGCCATTATTCAAGTCTTTTTACGTCTTAAAGCAGAACATCGAATTAAGGAAATGGCCGAACATGTTACCGATGTTACTGTACTACGTGATGGTCAGTGGATTACAACTTCAAGCGCTAGTTTAATTCCAGGTGATGTTTTTGAAGTTGAAGAAAATACAATTGTTCCTTGTGATGCTGTTATTCTATCTGGCACAGTTGTTGTAAATGAGTCTTCTCTTACAGGTGAAGCGATGCCCATTCGAAAATTGGCTATTCCAAATGATGATAATTTGTATGAAATGAATGGATCTGGTAAAGTGAACACTTTGTTTGCTGGTACCATCGTCTCTCAGACTACCACACTCGATCATGAACGTGTGTATGCATTGACGCTTCGTACTGGTATTGCCTCTGAAAAGGGTATGCTTATTCATAAAATCCTTTTCCCTTCCCCTGTCTCCTTCATCTTTAATGAACATCTCAAGGTGGCTATCTCAATCCTTCTTATCTGGGGTCTCATCGCCTTTTGTTTGACTTTATATCTTATGGGTCGTGGAAATATTACGAGCTGGTTTTATGGTGTATTTATCATGTCTGAAATTTTTTCACCTTTACTTCCTGCTGCTTTTACAATTAATCAATCTGTCTGTTCCGCACGTCTTCGTCGAAAGAAAATCCTCTGCATTGATCTTCCTCGTATCAATCTCTCTGGCAAAGTGCGGATTTTCTGTTTCGATAAGACTGGAACGTTAACTCGTGAGGGACTGGAGTTTTATGGTGCTGTAGCTGCACCTTCAGCTGTGATTGGCCCCTTTGGTACACGTGAAGAAGATTCACTTAAGATGGAACCCATCTTATCGATGGGTATTGCTACATGTCATGCTGTTACAGAGGTGAAAGGAGAATATATTGGTAATCCTGTAGATATTGAGTCCTTTAATGCTATGAAATGGGAGCTTTTAAAGCCTGAAAGACCTGAGTATCTAGATACCTTAGCTGCACCCTCCACGACCCCTACAAAGAAGAAAAGACTGGTTCATGTCATTCGTCGCTTTGAATTTGTTCACGCTCGTGCTTCTCAATCCGTTGCTGTTTTCGATCCAGAGACACAGCACGTCCACGTCTATCTGAAGGGTTCATTTGAACGTATTAAGCATTATTCTCAACCGGACTCTATTCCTGTTGACTATGATCAACAGGCAGCTAAATATGCTCAAGAGGGGTGTTACGTTCTTGCCATTGCTCATCGTGATCTTGGTGTTTTAGAGAAGGATATAAGGATGGAGGAAATAAAGTTAATGACACGTGATGAGCTTGAACGAGGCTGTCACTTTTCTGGTTTTGTTCTCTTTCGTAATATGTTGAAACATGATACAAGGGAAGCGATTATGGAATTAAAGGGGGGTGATACACGTGTTGTCATGATCACAGGTGATACAGCATTGACGGGCATCTATATTGCTCGACAATGTGGCATGATCGAACCTCACCAACGTATTCTTCTAGCTGATCTTGTGTCTGGTACTGTAGTTTGGCATGATATTGAATCCGGAGAGCAAATAAATATCGACGAGGTGATTGAGATGGACCCTCGTGAAGAACACGAAAAGCGTATTGAACTTGCTATGACGGGTCGGGCATTTGAGGCCTTAGTGCAGCAAGATAAGATACGTAACTATCTAATGATGACGCGTGTGTTTGCACGTATGACGCCTAATAACAAAGTATCGTGTGTTCAATTACATATGGAAAAGGCTGTGACAGCTATGTGTGGTGATGGTGGCAATGACTGTGGTGCATTACGAGCAGCTCATGTTGGTTTAGCATTATCAGAGGCAGAGGCGTCTATTGTTTCCCCTTTTAGTACTAGTAATCGATCCATTATGCAATGTGTAGAACTTTTAAAGCAAGGTCGATCTGCACTGGCTACTAGCTTTTCAAACTATAAATTTTTAATCTTATATGGTGAATCAATGGCCTTTTGGGAGCTTATCATGTTTTATTTTACTGTCATTGCTTCTCAACCTATCTGGATTACTATTGATGGATTTATTACAACAACCATGACTTTAGCTATCACACAAGCTCAGCCTGCAAAAAAATTAGCTCCTTGTCGACCCACTGCAAAGCCTTTAGGATTGTATACCTTGGCGTCTTTACTTGGTGTTATTTTTATTAACTTTTGGTTTATCGTGTGCAGGTAATGATTTAAAAAAAAAAAAAAAAAAAAAAAAAAAAAAAAAAAAGAGAGAGAGAGAGAGTCCCCTCCTTTAAATTATTATCATTCGAAAATTGAATACATGTAATTTTTCTATAGTGTTGTTTGGCTATTTCAACAAGATTGGTTTATTTGTAAAGAATTCGATAGTTCATCCATTGATTCAGCCCAATGGTGGTTAATTGGTGATAATTATGAAGCAGAAATTATATCACTCGTCATCATGTTTCAATTCTTTAATAGCGGTGCCATTGTTAACTTTGGATCACAATTCCGACAAAGCTGGTGGAGAAATTACATGTTAGTTTTTATCTGGGCATGTTTCTTTGTGAGCACAAGTTACTTGGTATTAGCGGATCCAAACCCCTATAGTTGTATCTTCCGACTAAACTGTGGTACTAGTAGCGTATTAGAAGAACTCGGATATCCTAAGCCCTATTGGGACATTCCAGCCTATAACTCACCTGTAGGACATAATGTTCTGCCTAAAGATTTTAGATGGAAATTATGGGGCTACATATTGGCTAACTGTGCTTGTAACATCATTTGGGAACGTATTTGTATTCTTTGGATTGCTTGTGATTGGGCTGTAAAGCGGAAAAAGACACATCCAAAGGAAAATAGAGCCATATTCAAGCTTTAGAAGAAAAACAAAGCATATAACTTTACATATTATTATTTTGTTATTTTTTTTTATATTTATATACATGCATATAGATATATATTTGTTTATACTGTTTATTCCTTTTATATTATTAATATATGACTTTAATAAAAAAAAAAAAAAAAAAAAAGGCGGGAAGAAGAATGCTTATTGTTAACACACGTTACACACCTTATATGTATAATAAATATTCATATATTCCAAGAAGAAAAAAAAGGGGGGAGGACATTATTATAGCATAATAAGGAAGACCTTTAATATATCAAGAAAAAGAAAGTCAATATAACGACAGCGCCATTATAATCTTTTTGTTGTAAAGGGAGTTGTGACTATAGATAATAATTATGCCTTGTTGTCTCGAAAAAAAAAAAAAAAAAAAAAAAAAAAAAAAAAAAAAAAAAAAAAACTAATTTCTTCTTTCTGAAAATAAAATTATAAGAATTAGTTAACTTTATTCAACTGTACATTTATATGTATTTTTTTTTTTTTTTTCTGTCTTTAACTAATTTACATACAACTCTATATAAAATGCAAAAGCCAAGATCAGACAATTCTACTAGCAATAATCAAATAAATGAAAGTCAAGATGAAGCGGAATTGCTGTAAATATGAATAATGATCAAACCCATTTCATCAATAACAATTTCAATAGATTATATAAAAAACTTTTATCGGAAAAGAATAGAACAATAGAAGAACTTGAACGTACACAACTAAGCTTACAAAAAAATATACCCAAAGCTATTAAAAAGCCAAATATATCACGAGCAGCATTGGTACAATAGATGCATGATATATGTATGTTTTATGTATATATTTATTAACTGCATAAAATTAGGCGTTTTCTTTATTAGAAGACTTGATAGACGAATGTATATATGATGTATTATTTGATGTACATAGAGATATTAAAAAGCAAAATTCAATATGTCAAATTTGTCAAACAAAGTAAGTTTATATTTATGTATGTGTATAATGAAAAAAAAAAAATAACATTCATATATCATGTATAGATGTAAACATTACGGTGAGTTTATCATTGTCAATATAAAATAGTTATGATTACTAATGTATGTCTATATTTATGTATAACAGTTCGAAAGCCTGGATTTGATATATGGGGGAACAGTTATACGCTCAATAATTTGCCTTCTTATGAATGTGTTAACTGTCAAAAAATGATTGCAGCTTCACGATATGCTCCTCATTTAGAAAAATGTTTAGGATTATCAGGAAGTAGACAATCAAGTAGAGTTGCAAATCGAAGATTAGGTAATTCGCCTTCATTTTCATCTGATGATAATAGTCCGGATAGTGACTATAAAAGAGAAAACAGTTATTGTCTGTAAGTGTGCCTAAGTTTTGATTGTTATATTTTTAATATATGTATTAATATAATATTTATATACTAGCCTTCAAGAGTAAAAAAGTTAAAATATGGTACAGATTAACACCTTCCTTTTTAGGGGAACAAAAGAGTTTATTTGTAATTCATTCATACGTCTATTTTATATAAATTTATATTTTAAAATTGTATTTGATGATAATAATAAAAAGCAATAAATATGAAGATTATATGTACTCTACTTTTAATACTTTCAAGTTATATTTTAACTATTCGAGCCTTTTGCATATACAACGATACTAAAGATATAACATTAGCAGTACGTCAAGAACCTTTTAATTCTGGTTCAAATTACTTTTCGTAAGTAACGGTTGAAAGAAGATATGCCAAAAAAAAACGTACTTACTTTATAATCATTATAGTCGTTTTAAGAGAGAAGCATTACAACCAGGTGAAAGTGCTTGCTGTCCTTATACTAATACTGATTGTAGTAAAAATGCAAATAAAGAGGATATTATTTTCCTTGATGTAAGAGTGATTATATAACTTCAAATATGCATACATTCTCACTTATATTATTGTATATAGATAATGGCTATTTTTTATGGCCGTCACCAAGACGCAGAAACGTTTATAACTAATCTCCCTTCTGGTGGCTGGATAGAAATACATGGTCAAGGCCCATATCCTGTAGAAATTCGTGTGTTTAAACATGATGGAACCAGATTTGAGCATGAGTATGATCCAAACACAGGAGGTGTAATATTATAAATTTGTATCCTAATTATAAAAAAAAAAAAAAAAAAAAAAAAAATGCTATGTTTGCAGTTTCAAATAATAAAAATATAAACTATTATTATATAATCATGAAACTATTAAATGTCTGGTTTATATTTAAATGATGTTTTAATTTTCGTTAGTAACTGAAATACTCATACAGAGGCATTATTATATAATAACTAGGATAAATCATTATAGAACTGTATATATAATTGTTATTCCTTCATCCCTTTTTTTTTTCTACATCTATTGATATTCTGAACAAGAAATTTACGTTTGTTTATTAAAAGAGAAGGTATTTATAATAGACATTCCTCATTACACTTGTAATCTAATAATTAGAGTAGAGGGGAGAGAAAGTAAAAGCAATAATATAGAATTTTACTGACTCTACAATAATAAAAGTTGCAATGAAATAAGCCATACAAGCATAAAAGAATATAGGTTACTTTGGATCAACTAGAACATATGTATATACGTATAAGCATGCTAGTTAGTTTCTTACTATAGATTGATTTATATACTTAACTCAAGAAGATGTATATTTTGAATAGCCAGATGTTCTTTAATATAAGCTTATTTATCAAATGATATATAGATTGTTGATTAGAGAAATAGTGAGTTCATTTATTACTATATATCATCGATAAGCATCAAAATAAGATAATCAGAGCTAACTACTCTTTACTAAAAATAATATCAAAATAATGGAGCAGTCTCAACTTGTTTATACACTTGTTAAAGAGATTATGTACTTTATCAACAATACTAAATATTACTCGGTCATAAATAATTACACGTTTTTAGAGTCTATTATCCTGTTTCTTTATATCAAATATATACTTAAATATATATATTTATATTACTTTTATATAATAGAGATACTCATTTATAATAAAAAAAAGCACATTCTTAGCAATGAAGACAAGGACTATAGTTAACTGTTGGCTATTTAATAAAAAAAGATAGTTGAAAATGAATTTCAATTATTTCTTTATATACGTTTCTTGATTCAGAGAAGCATACTGGTATATAGCTAATAGTGATATGCTTTAACATTGTCTGAAGAAAATTACCTGGTAATATTAATGTTGCTTATATTTAAAGAAATAGGTTTAGACATGAGGGTTCTAGATCACGTGGGTTTATATTACTGCCGCTAAAGCTAGTATAATAGTTGAAATACAACAACAACAAAAAATGTCTAACTTTTATCTATAATGATCGATTCTATTTATTTGTCTATAGATGAATTGAGTAATGGACTAGTGCTTGTTACAATTAATAGCTGTACACCTATCTCTGTTTAAAGTTTGAGCTTTATTTGTCCTTATTCTGTTTGAGTAGATATATCAGTAAGGGAAAAATAATACAAATACACTGCAATCATGAAAAAATGGTTTAATACCAAAAAAAAAAAAAAAAAAAAAAAAAAAAAAAAAAGAAGAAATGCTTACGGTTTTCTTATTATTTATTAAAAATTAAAGACATATCGACTTGTTTTTATTTATATGTGGTGACCATAATAAAAATATTGTCTCTCTTTATAAAATGAGAAGAAAATAGCTAGATACTATTACTCTTTTTAAAAAAAATAAATAAATAAATAAATAAATAAATAAATAAATAAATAAATAAATAAAAGGATACCATATACACGAATTATTTAATATTATATAAGTGGCAGTGCAACGAGCAGGTATACAAATGACAATGAACTGGTTCTGTTACTAATTATGCCCAGCCTCTTTTATATTTATATGCCACAAACTTTAATAGCCACACATAGAGTGACTATAAATGGATAATAAACTATTGTATATAACGTGATGCAACAATAACCATCATTTTTGAGTAATTATTGCATATAACCCTATTCAGAATAGCTCAATTTTGATTGAAAAAGAAAGAAAAAGAAAAAAGCACTACGATAAACATTTCTTCAATTTATCTTGGGCCAACAAACTGCAACAGGCTTTCATTCAATAAACTAATTTTATAGTCTTTATCTTAATGATCAAATATGTAAAATAACCTGATATTATTTTATTTGATACATTCATTCAAATCAATAAATAATTCCTCTTTATGGCCAGTGTAATTCTTTTTTTTGTCTGGTATTAATAGTAGAATATCTTTTTTTATTTATTTAATTATTAAAAATACACATTTAAACTATATTAAGTATATATAATACACTTATATATATACATATTATATATATTATATACATATATATAACTTGGTTATAAAGATTTGCTTTAATGTTAGGATGGAGCAATTGGATTATTACTGTTTTCTATTGTATTACTTTCGCGATTTTCTCCATTTTGAATTAATGATCGTAATACCTTATTCTATAATGATATAACAATTAATTAAAAAAAAAAAAAAATTCTATATATTTTACCTCAACTTCTAGATCATGAATTCGGGATTTTAGTAAAGACGCCTCTCTTTGTGCCATTGCTCTCAACTGATCTATATCACGTTTTAATTCTTCATTTTCTCTATGTAATTGTTCAAAGTACTTTCCATGTTGAGAAGAGCTTGAGATAGGTGGTAAAGTTAATTTTCGAGACCAAGGTTGAGGATAAGGATGATATAAAGGCGGGGAATTAGATGTATTTCTATAAATAGGTGAAAGACTTGTAATGGGTAAATTGGGTAAAGTATTTGGAGAAGGTAATAACTGTGATGGTGATGAGTGCGCTGGAGAATGCACTGATGATGATATAGATGATGGTGTAGTAATAGGATGTGAAGCAGGATTTGGAATATGTAATTGAGGAATAACTGGACGAGATGAAGCAGTAGTTCCTTTGATAGTTGTATTATTACTTTTATTTACATTACTCTTTTTATTATTTATCGATTCTTGCTGTTGTTTGACTTGCTGATGCACGGCTGAGCAGGCTGTGCCACCCTCCGCACGTCGATGGCGATTTAATGCATCCAATCTAGCAAATGAACGGTAACAATCCTCACAGACATAAGGTCTTTCTCCTGTGTGTAGTTTTTGATGTCGTTTCAAGTCATGATGTCTTCTGAAATGATGATTACATACATCGCACTATAAAAAAAAATAAAATAAAAAATAAAATAAAATTAGCTTTGTATGACACATAATTTTCTAATAATAATTGTATATGTGTATGTGTATGTATTTGTATAAATGTATATATAGATAGATAGATATTTGCCTGGAATGGTCTTTCTGAAGAATGAGTTGTAAGATGAGATTTCAAATTATGTGGACGACTAAATGTTTGATGACATTCAGGACAAGGATATGGTTTTGCTTCTGTTGGTGAAGAAGTACTATTTCGTAATAATGGAGGTTTAATAACTGAGAAAGAGCCATATCCTTTGGTATCTTTTTTATATTGAGGAAATTCTGAAACAGGTGTAACTGGTGTTGGTAAATATTCGTCTTTATTAAGTATGGTAGATAATTTAGGTGAAGTATTTGACTGTTCAATACTCATTGCAATCATTTACATTAAAAAAAAAAAAAAAAAAAGAAGAAGAAGAAGAAGAAGAAGAAAACAGATGATAGAAAAAGAGCAAAAAAAAAAAAAAAAAAAAAAAAAAAAAAAATTTTTCTGGAGAAATAAAGGGCGGGGACAAAAGAGATTAGAAAGAGTGTCTCTGTGCGTGACACGAGTAGGATTTACTTTTTTAATCAACAATGCCAAGCCATGCGCCACAATAACCTTAATCTGATATAGAGAAAGTACATGATTCAAATTCAGCATAATTTGTTAAAGTAAACATGACTGATTTTTAAGCTTTTATATTATATTCTATCTCTGCTGCATATTATATATTCATTTGAAGAAAAAACTGTTTTGAATTATTAAATACAAATCCAAAAGTTAGTAATAAAAATAGTTCATTATAAAAAGGAGATAATGCAGCTGTCATAGATATTAGCTAAGTTGCTTTCTATAGAGTAATCCAACACACAGTTCGGTATAAAATAGAAAGAAAATTAAACAATATATAAAGAAGAAGTATATTTATTAATACAGTTTTATTGTTTATATCTTCAATACAAACATAGAGTATACATAATACTCCAGTAAATTATTTTATTAAATGGCTCTATTAGTCTACAATATGAACCACTAGAGCTTTTATTTAGAATATCACGCTAGATATATTTTAAGCTATCTTTTGCTTAACTACTTTAAGTTGCTGTTTTGAAGTTATCGTTAATTAACACTTTGCTACTATTCTATTTGTGCTTATTTTCTTTCTACAAGTAATCTAAAATAAATTAATGAGAAAACAGTAAATTTATAACATTTGATTTCTTTTCTTAAGGAAAAAAAAAAAAAAAACATCATACCATCATAATTAATATATGTTACTTCAATATTATTTCGAGTGTTAAGTGTTAAAAACTATCTTACCCTATTACTTCAAAAAAAGTTTTACTTTAGGCTTAAAGAATCGTTTAGTTACTAGAATATAAAAAAAGAATCCTTATTTTATAGCCCAATTGAATATATATAAGCAAGTTATTCATTAAAAATCTATTTAAATTATATCATGCCATAGTATGTGGCGAATATTGAATACTTTCCATTTTCAGCTGAATTTATTCATCAGAATTTAAAAAATAAAAAAATAAAATGAAATGGAATGGAAAAAATTACACAGTGTTACAAATATAGAATAAGAATGTGCTGCTTTTCCTATATAGCATTGTAACACTAAGTATCATTTGATAATATGAATATTTTACAAGATGAAAAAGTCAGCATAACATTTATTTAAGAAGGTCTTTATATATGAATTGGAAATCTATAAGTAATATATATAAAAAAAATACTATAAACATCAAGTGTATCATGCTTCAAACTCCATTCTTCTATCCACATTAGATTGTTGAAGTTAGGTCTATAAACAAATATTTATCTTTTTAGAATTTAACATTGCAAAGATTTATCATTAGTTTCTTTATTATTACTGTATAGATTATAACAAATTTATAGAAAGATTTAATCAAATATACTACAACTTATTTTTTATATGAGGAAGGTCAAGTTAAAGTTCAAAATGAACACAGGCATGTTTATTTTTCATTAAAAAGTAAACTATGAATTTTGAGTAGAGCATTATTATGTTGCGTTTGTGAATATCCTTTGCATCAATTAGTAGTGTTTATAAAACTATAATTCAACTATAAAATCTCTTGTTAACAGAATAATTAATGAACAAATATCGACTTTCTTCTACTTCGTTTGTGAATATATAGGAAATAACTTTTATAAAATGTATACATAATCATTTTCTATTATTAAGTTGAAATTACTCGAAGATACTATAAGAAGGTATTTTTTGATAGCTAACACTAATAATATGGATAGTATTCCATATCCATTTTTATCAAGTGATAAACAATTTTTTCATAGCTCTGCTCTTTTTTATCTGTTTATTTTATACTGAGTCTTTATTAAAGTTAATAATACATCTTCAGATTCAGATAGATTCAACAGTATCAAGTTTAGTTTCATTAGCCCATTGATAACGAACTAAGGTATACATAGACCTTAAAGGGTTTTCACTAAAAAGGTATTTTTTATTACAACATCCGGAATTGTATTATCCAATAGTAAAATCCTACTAATGGCATCTGATTTAGAACAAACGGTCGCGTGATAAAGTAAATAAAGCCAAACAATTTAAGGAATTCTGCTAAGCTTATCATCAAATACTATCCTTGTAGCTTCTTGCCTCCTATATCGTTTATTGTATGTGTAGAAAACTGAGAACTTACGCAAAAAATACAAATTATAGATGCTTGAGGCGTTTAGTAGATTTATAAAGTTAATTGTATAGATACAATACATTTTAATTATATCAAGTCAAAGAAGAGAATAAAGATTACAGTAAACAAAGTACTTGTATTTTATTTTGTCAAAAATTGTATTTGTACAATCTTTTTTTCTTTTTCTTCTTTACATACTTGATCTCAAAGGGATTTTATTTTATTGATAATCCGGCATTCAATATAGTAGTGTGCCTAACTGATATTTTTAAACGTAGTACTTGTTAATATTTAAGTTTGGTTCTTTTAGTGTTATGATGTAATGGTTTATATTTTTACTCTTATATGTGTATATAAATATTTGAGCCGAGAATCTTTTAAAAAAGAGAAAAAAAAAACAAAAGTATAATAATGAAAAATACCTTTTTATTATTATTATTATTTGTCAACTTGTATATAAATGTTGTAAAGTAGTATTAATAATAATATATTTTTTGTATAATGTATATCTAGTATATGCATAGTATGTGTATTTATATGTAGTTTGCCACAAATCAAAAAAAGGGGGATAAAGGAAGTGAGAAGAGGAGGAAGAGTAATGGTGGTGGTGGTGATGGTGATAAAATAAATAAAACTATGATGAATCCTCGGTTTCGATCTTGATTCTTCTTGGTGAACAAGTAGGTGAGATAATCGATGGTCTCTTAACTTTCTTTATAGTTGTCGTTGTTTCCATAGATGAAATTGTCTTTCGTTTTCTATTATTTTGGAATAGGACTGCAGTAGGAGTTTCAGGTGAGAACCATGACTTGGGAGTTGTGGACCCCACACTTTCTTCTGGCTGCTTTTCATCATCAAGCTGTTCACCTTTGATATTAACAGGTGATAATTTGGAATCTGCCTTGCTATTATCTTGGCAGCGCGTTGTACCAGAAGAAGGCTTTATGTCATTTTCATGTTGCAAAGAAGAAGAATAAAGGTAATTAGTAACATTACTACGATTATTGTTTAATTGACGAGAATAAAAATCATAAGGATTATTATTGTTATTCAAAAGATAAAGGTCATCAGAAGCATTATGAATAGATGGGTTTGTTCGTGAGCTGGGAGTTAGAGATAAGTCAGGAAGGCTTGCTCTATGTAGAACTATTATTTGAAAAAAGAAAAGGGTTAATACATGCATATCTGAGTTGTACTACAAAAAAAAAAAAAAAAAAAAAAAAAAAAAAAAAAAAAAAAGCTAACCTTGCTGACTGTGCTGATCATAGTGATGACTCATAAAGGACGATGTCGAATAAGAGGATCTATCCCAAGTACTAGTAGAGAGGCTATTAGATGAAGGAGAACCATATTCACCAGAAGAAGGTCGATAGTTAAGAGTAGATGATACCATGTTACATTTATTGCTGACAGACGCGTTATTAGCTTGTGCTGCATTATTACATAAATAATAAGATGGTTCTTCTACAAATAGGGGAAAGAGATAATCCAAAATTTTGAATTTAGTAGCCAATTCTTTAGCTCTAGTAAAAGGAATCCTATTATATAATCATAATAATTATTAAATGTAATGAATTATAGATCATTTATTTCTTCCTTACCATACACCCTTGAGATGCATTGCTCCAACCTTAACAACAACACGGCCCTTTTCATTCTTGAGGATTCCATCACGTTTACCTCTTGACATACCAACAACATTTAAGAGCTTTGTACCATTGATCATATCATTATCTATAGAATACATGAATAAATAAATAAAATAATAATATTTATTTTACCTTGTCTGCGAGCAACACAAATGCCCTTTGCATCTACTTGATAGCAAAGGGTACCTTCATCTTCCCAAAGATTAGCTATCATTTTTGGTCGAGGAGGCACTGTAGTGGGGATAATCAAGCTATTATTGTTATTATTATGAGTTGAAGGATATAAGCCATAAGTACTAAAGGATGCAGAAGATGGTATTTGAATTGGATGATGGTGATGATGATAATGATGATGTTGATTTGACCAATTATTATTGTAAGAATCTATTGTATCATTATTATTAGTATTCATTTGAGGCAAATGATGGAAGGGTCTATCAAAGGTAGTATGATGTTGCAAGGTATTAGTTTGGCTATGATAATTATTATCTGCACTAGAGTTTTGTTGAGGCAAATAGGCATAAGGTGGGCTTTGATAGAGTCCGTCCATAATAATATCAATTGTAATAAAAAGAAAAGAAATATACAAAAAAAAAAAAAAAAAAAAAAAAAAAAAAAAGAGAAAGAGAATATTTAAATTAAATACTTGATTCAAAATAAAATCGTTTCAAAGCTATTTAGAGTGGCGGTCACGATGATAAGGAGAAAAAAAAAGGAACCCAAAATAAGAAAGAATAGATTTAATATATACTTTATTTGATTGTTTATATGATTAACACAATACTCTTTCTCTTTTATCAATTATTATTATTATTTTACTATTTCATCACAGGATATCATATAAATATGTATATAAATATATATTTATATATATGTGTGTATTTATATATATATTTATATGTAAATATAAAGCCTTCATAACATGGAAAAATCCCTTCTCTTTTCTCCGCTTTTTTCCCCTTTATTTTTAACCGCCCAAAGTATCATTTTAATCGTTCAAAATAAATATACAAATATAATAAAATATGAAAAACAAAGAATAAAAAAATTCTGATTTCCTCTCTTCATATTTAATATATTTGTGTGTAAAAACTTTATTTAGAGTGAAAGAAAAATAAAAGATTTTTTTATTTTGTTTTTTTTTTTTGTTTAACCCCAAATTTCTCTCCCTTTCTTCTTAACTTCCTTATCCCCCCTGAGCCCCTTGTAAATTGCTACGTATATATAAACAAGAAACAAACAAAAATTGAAGCTTATAGTGATACAGAGAGTCATTTTTTCTCCTATTCGAAATGGTCTTGTTTATAACCTTTGTTTATATAGATGATAGTGTCGATCTATATAAATATATATGTATTTTTTTTGTATATCATTTATACAAAAGGAAAAGGGAGCGCTTTTTTTTAACTTTTTTTTTTCATATATTGAAAGATTGAGATGGTGTATGCGTTATAGTTTGATAATATGCTACATATCACAAATGTCAAATTCCCTTTATAATACAAGAGAAAGAAAAATAAGAAATAAAAAGAAATGTGATACACATGAATTATATATTTTGCCACACATGGTTTAAACTAAAATAAAAAATATTTCTTTTAGATCATATAAATAAAAAAGTCATCTGCAACAAATGATACGGAACTTTATTTTAACATAACAAATAACAAATTTTGAATAAAATATATTATTTATGATAAATATGTTTATACATTTCTTAATAATTTTTATGATGAATATGTCATTCTCCTGCCCTGCTATGAAAGTATTTTAAATATTATGCACAGGCTATCACTATAAAACTCATGTGTAACATTTCTATGTAGGGCCTATTGTTCTGACCTAGCATAAAAGAGCTAATATTTATTTAGAAGTAATATTTGAAAATGAAAAGAACACAGCCGGTTTATTTATATACATATTAAAATTTCTTATATCGTATTGGAGAACCATAAAAGATCGATTATGACATAGTGTGTAATACCTATTTAGTTTGTCAAATACTTTGGTTTATAGTAAAGTGCCTCAATAAAGCATTGATGTTCCTTGTAGCATTTTATTCCCTTTAAACAATTGTAAATATGATTAAATATATCTTAATTATTCTCTTTTTGCTTTTCAACGTTATTTTTAATAAAAATTACATTTTTTGGAAAGTATAACATCATAATCATTTTTTACATTATAGTCTCTATTAACCCTTCAATCTAATACATTTATTTCGAATTCTATTTGAACTGTCATCCAATCAAAGTCCTTCTAAAGAACAAACAATGACAGTACTACTTTTACTCTCCCAAGCGAAAGAACTTTTGACAGCTTTCACAGCAAACAAAAAGCAATTCAGCTGTCTTTGCTGCAAGAAAGTAACTTCTCTCTACAGATATGGGTCTACAAAACAGACTTCTCCTCAAATCCAATTCAAAAATTTCTCCTTCACTCTCTGTAATACAATAGACACTGATTTCCCTCCTTCCTGTCCTATTAATGAACTCTATACCCCTCCAACTACTGATAGTAACAATAATCATCTACTTTTTTTCTCCTTCGGCAACAAGTTTTCTATTTGTCTTCTCAATGTGCCAACACCCAGTATGATATCCAAAATTTGAAAAGTTTACTCCAAAAATTAGAATACTCAGCATAACTTGGTTTCTCCAATCCCCATTTTATCTGTCTCTACTCCACTCATCTTAACTAAGAATTCCACAGTTCCCTCTTGGTGTGATCCCATTAAATTCACTTGAACTAAAATCTTTCTCTTTCGTGATAAGCATAAGTGCTGAGTTCGTAAAGTGGAATTGGATATTCGCTTCCTTTAACCCCTCATCACCTAACCAAGGCTTTATGTTTATCTATTTCTCCATTAAAATACACTTTCTTATGTATACAATTTATAATAAAATCATAAAAACTAGGTATCAACAATGCCCGTATATTAAATATACATTATCCCACCACCAACATAGCTTCTTTCCTAATACATTTTTACTATGTACTATTTGAAATTAAAAATCAATTAGCTAAATTTAATATCTTCCAAATTATATATTCCAATCCATACAACGGAGGCTGCCTTTAAGACTTCAAAATTGTCAATTTATCCGAAATGGATAAAGATAATAAAACCATCAGTAGCCGATATGATCACTTGATAAGTATTTTGTTTTTTCCAAACTTCGGACTCCTCATCCTCCAAAACGCAGTCGCAAGACCTTTCTTTAGGAATGGTGAGATATCTCGTACAAAGATTGGGAAGGTTTCCATAAATGTAGTACTTTTTAATTATAGGGGTAATGTTATTTCCTCTCCACCTCTTCCTATGTAGACAGATATTCTCTTTTTTTTTTTTTTTCTTTTTGCTTCCCTGCTCACATTTGAGATTACTCTTTCTTCCTTCTTTTCTACCTCTTGTATCTTAAGAGTGTTTTTTTTAGTTCCTTTTCTCCTTTTTGAACTGATGTAGGCAATGTAATAAAATTTATTACTGTGTGCTCATTTGAGTCGCTTTATTTTATTTTCATGAATAAGAATATAGATTAAAAACTGTTAATGTAACCATGACAATTTTGTAACTCAATTCTGTTCTCCGCTTCTACATAAGCAAACACTTTCCAGGTACAACTTTCCTCGAATACCTTGTCAACCGATCATATGCTAAGCACCAAATGAATCGAATAAATATTTCCATAACAAAAGATTCGTCCCTCAAGCTCAAACAGTTGAGGTTCCTCTACCTTTTTTTTTATATTAACGTTTAACGTTTCTTGTAAAATACTATAATATTGCTTTCAAAAGTATTGTTTAGCCCCATTCCCTTTTTTTTTTCTTATATCTTGTCTCACTATAGGATATTTATCATCTATACAATTGCATCCATCTAACAAATTTTTATTAATCAAGTCATAGATTCTCAAATTTGAGAATTCAACAAAGATAGTATATAATATTTAATCATTTTTAATAACTATCGATCGTACTTTCATCTACATTTGTTGTTCCAATTTTCTACATGTCATAAAAAAAAAAGTGCTACTTAAATGTAACAATTTTGTTCTAGCCAAAATAAATAAAAACGTACAAAGTTTGGGGCAAAGTAAAATAAACCCTGCTGACAAATTTCATTTTTTTTTTTTCTTTTGCAATTAATTTAACATTAAAGACTTAATAATGTCCCAGAGGGGAATAAAACTTAGAGGGACTTACATAGCAAATTTTAAATTAAATTCCTTAATACTTTTCTTTAAAGAGTATAATGAATTGGGTTACTATTATCTTTTTTTTTTTTTGATATGTAGTATGAAATACAAATCTGAATGTAAGCACATACAAAAAGAAGAAAGATAGTAATTACTTTAATGTTGTTTTAAAGACTTTGATGCTCTCCGTCCTTACCATATGCATCTAGAACTTGTCTAATTTCAATATTATACAGTAATATTTTCTTACAATAGTTCTTATACTCTAATGAAGTTCATAGTATTTATTAGATTTATTTACACTGTCCACAGCTAAATTAATAGATAAAATATATATTTCTGAACAAGTACAATCGGTATGTTATAATTACATGGTGCGTTGACTGTAAATCTAGAGTTGTTGTAAGGAAAAGTGTATACAAATTTTCAGCCTTGTTGAATTCTATTGTAAGCTTTAGAATTGTATATATTTGTATAAAAAAAAACGATTGTTGAATAATCTTTGTAGTCCACCTTTAAGAATGAGGTTTTTCTAGACTGATTACTCATAAATATCTTTTATCAACATAGTCATATTATGAATAAGCGATATTGTACTTTGTTTTTCTCTTTAACTAAGTTTCTCATCTTATAGATAAAGGTTATACAAATACCGTCTTTGCTGTGGTAAATAGACGACCATCTTATTTTCATTTACAAAGTAGGCCAAATATAATACTAAAATTTACTTATTTATGATGGTATTATAGGTTTATTAAATATCTCTCTATATTAAATATGATATGCTGGTAATTTCCCTACATATACACATCTATATTTATGTATATATTTATCTTTCTTTTCTTTTTAAAAAATAAATAAATTTAAGGTTTATTAACATATTGTCGCATACGATCTAATTCCTTATGAACATCTTTTCTACTAACTGTAGGTCTCCTTGCCATACCTGATGATATCGTAGTAGGTGATGAGACATCATCATTACCTCCATTGCCTAATATAGAAGTAGGGGAAGAAGAGGCTGAAGCCTTTTTAACCAATAAAGATTGAAAGAAGTTGGCCAGAACTTCATGTGATGGGCCTCCAGGTTGATTAACACTTGTATCAATTGCTGGTAAACTGGAACCTGATGACATATTGCTTATATTTGTTGGTGAGTTTGAAGATAACTAAAAATTTAAATGCGAATTTAAGCATAACATTCTGTTTTATTATTATTATGTATATGTGTATATTATTTACCTTTAGAGAATCATCTAATGAAGAATCCTATATTGATATTAAAAGATTATTATTGACAGTACTTGATTAGTTATATATATATATATATATGCATGTATGTATGTATGTATATATACCTTGTGACGACGGTCATCACTAGATCGCATTAACTCAACAGTTGCAGAGGAAACACCAAGTGGTCCAACAACACTAGGTCTAGTTGAGGGTATTGATCCTGTGCCTTTTCGATTAAGTAATTCAACACCATGTTGCAAAGTTTCGTAATGTCTTTCCAAAAATGATTGTTCATCTTCACAAGTAACAGGAGGAGGGATACTAGTTAGAGGCTAAATAAAACAACAAGTAATTATGTTAACAATCAATATACATACATATACATTATTGTCCCTACTTACCTGTTCTTTAGAATTAGGATTTTGAATAATTTCTTCGTAATTTCCTCTTGCTCCATGAGGCCCGGGTTGTTGTTTATCTATGATAGCATCTATATCGGTATCCCAACCTTGATTTATACCTTCACAATCAAATCCTTCTCTTAGAACTCTAATTTTTCCCCATGAATCCCAACCTGCAGGTACAAGCACAGAATCACGTTCAACAACCTGTGCCTTTAATTTGAATGGATAAGTCTTTGATGGACTTGTTAATAAACGATGGAGAATATATTGACGTAAATTATGAAAGGTATAGGGTTGAAGAGTTGAGGTATAGAATAATGCGGCGCCAACTAATAAAGAAGTAAGTTGCATATATCCATATAGTATAATAGTGTTGAAACTTACATTTCATACAAATACAACGTAAATTCTGCTGAATAAAATCAAATTGCTCGTCTTTATAATCTAATGTTTGTTCAAGTGTGTTCTGAGCATCACTCTATTATTTATATATATAAACGTGTATATTAAATTAATTCTATTCTTCTTCTTTTTTTTTCTTTTAATTTAAAGCAGCATAAATTACCTTGCAGCAAACAACAATAATAGGAATACCTAAATTATTAGTTAAACATCCCTGAGTCAAAGGTAATGTTACTTGATCTGCTGAGGTTGTTGTCGTAACTAAAGGAGTGGACTGGAGTGAACCAGTTGAGGTAGATGCAGTCATATTAAATGCTGTGTTTAAAGAAACAGGCTCGGTATATGTTTGAAGATAATGCTCAACTGCAAAGAATTGTTAGGAAGAAATTATGTTATTTAATAATTCACTTACTCTTTTCTCTAAGGTCATCGACTACTACTTTTCCTCTGCTCCATAATTCACCTGCACTTCCTTCTTTACAAATCTCATCTATACGATGCTGTAATACATCCATCCATCTTTCAAGTGTTTCTAAAAATCTCCATGGACGCGTCCAGTCTAATACGATAATGACGGCTGAATCAGCTAAAGTATCTGTGCTAAGTGCGAATTTCAATAAAGGCAAATATGCGTCAGCTGAAAGACCAAGTTGGTATACACCTAAACGTGCAATGGCTATACAAAATGGCATAAATTTTACAAGTAAGTACAGGTATTATATTTATAAAATACCTTCATTATCTTCATCTTGTACATTAATAAAGTTATAACTCAAAGCGAGTGTATTCGTAGTATTGTCATCTACAGGAATTGGTGTATAATTATTTGTAATACCAAAAGAAGGATTACTAGTTGTAGATGCTTGTTCATTTTCATTTTGGATTATTTGTGGACCAGGATCGTTTTTTAAGTAATGAATAAGTGTTGATTTACCACTTCCGGGATCACCTAAAAGTACAGTTATTTAACTGTAAAATATAATTTAATGTTTAAATACCTAATATAAGAACTTTCTTAGTGGGTACCATTTTAGATGAAGCTACACCTGTCAAGATAGTAGACCAAATCTCATCTTTTTCATTCGCTGTTGTTGTTGCTGCTGTTGTTGTTGTTGTTGCTGTTGTTGCTGTTGTACTCATTTATTGTTAAAAATAAGTTTTAAACAAAATATAAATTAATTTATGAAAGTATAAATATGAAAATAATTTTCACGTTGTTTGTAATTGGATAATTTTTTTAACACGAAATTTTTCAGGGCCATTTGCAGTGTTTTTTTTTTTTTTTTTTTTTTTTTTTACAACTTTAAAGCTTGTCTTCAACAGTTAATAGTAAAGAAATATTGATATGTTGCGCTTAAATATCATTCAATCTGCTTGAAAATAATACTCTTGTCTTTATTTTAATAAGAGTTTGAAACTATAAATGAGTATTTGTTGCCATATTTTATCAGGGAAACTATTCAAATAGACTATATTGATCTATTAAAGATATGTCACAAAATTTCTTTACTTTAGCTAACTAATATATAAATAACTAGTTATTAATAATCGTATAAATTAATTACTTTGTTTGATTGTCTTATGCTTGAATATTCATTTCAATACGTTTACACATACTTTCTACATGTTTATACATAATTCTGACATTAATTTGTTATATGAAGTATCCGATACTCACTTCTGCAGCTTATTCACTGCTGAGTACTGTAATCAGTAGCAAGTTTACATATCAAATAGAACTAAAGATTTTCGATTAAATTAAGCTTTTGTGAATATGCTAGCCGATTTTGAACGTTAACCCTTTTCTTTTTTTTTTTTTTTTTCTCTTTGTTAAATTTTTATATACTTGGAGTTATTATCCTACTATAAAATAGCACTTTTTTTTTCCAAAAGATCAAAAATCTATGGAGCCAGTAACAAGTAGACTGTGACCCCGAAACTTTATTTTCCCAGCCATACATCTTTTTCAAATGGCTTCATTTCCTGCAGAAAGAAGTTGAAAAAAAAAAGTACATACAACTAAAGAAATCCCCGAAACCGTTGCTTCCAAAGCATATGTTCATCGAAAGTTAAAAGAGCTACAGTTTGCGGCGTCATTGAATAGACGAAAATTCGAATCATTGAAAGAAGCAGTTTTGAGTTCGATTAACGGTAACGCGCCTCTTATTTTTGGAAAGAAGCTTCAAAGTATTCAAGAACACAAACCAATGGTGTCAACTTTCGTAAGCACTGTGAAATCAAGGATAAAGGATAAAATATTTTGCCCCACAAAATACACCGATAAACGTGGGTATCGTTTTTTCTCTCTGTTACCATTGTATTCAACGCAAAGAAAATCAATTCAGATTGACGCATAAGCTTTCTCGAGACTGGTCAGAGTTTCAACTATTGATGGTTATACTACAGGAACTAAAAATGAAGAGCAACTGTCTGCATTTTATTACAAACTTTTTGATTTTTCTAAAATTGGATTTAAAACAAAAGATAAACTCTACAATGGGAAGAGGGTCTTTAAGTAAGTTTATATAGTTTTAATTTAGTAATGCCTTAGGGCTTATCAAGTTATATTAGGAATGTTATCTACGCGAATGGATATTCAGTTTCTTGTCTTTTCTCGAGAATTACAGAGAAGGATAATATAGACTCTCCTCCTGTAAGACCATCTGACCTGAAAAAAGACATTGACAATGGGTGCCAAGTGTGGGCGGTAGACCCTGGAATTAGCACGGTTTTTACTATTGTTGATCAAACTGGTAGAGTGAGATCATTTAGTCAAGAGGAGTATTACCACTTGTGTGGGTTTAATGATGCAGCTCACATTCGAAAGATTCATCAACCGAAGCACGCAGAAACACATAAAATGATAACAGAACTGGATTCATTAAAACCGGAGAAATTTCAAAATTCTTGATTGCTTGCAGAAAGCGTATACAATCCTACGATACGATGTATGAATTTTATAACAGAGGCCTTTGGTAAGTGTAGCACACTCTTGTACACATTTTAAAAAAGGTGAGCGAAACATTTAAAATAACTTTTATTGGCCTAGAAAAGAAACTAACATTGCGTCTCAATTTATTTTTTTTCCACTTTGACCCAATTTGATTTGGAAATGACCAAATTTTATTCTATTGACCCAACCTAGTTTTGTCGACTATAACCCAGAGCAAAAATTAAAAAAAGGGGGGTAGGTCTTTCCTTAAGAGAGGCTGATTCATTTTTCGTTGATAGTCTATTATGTTAATTAATAAACTCATATAGAAGTGAGCTTCTAACACATGTGGCAATGACGTATTTCCCCTTTTAATACATAGAGAAGTAGATGTTTAGTATACTAATACTTTACAGTAAAAGTACAATATCGACAAGCAACTGCATGATCTTATTTCATGTAAGGCGCTTTAAAATATACCTTCAAATTCCCAAAACAGAAGGATTTTTTAAATATTAAAGTATTATGCATTTCTTTCTATTTATCATGTCGTTATTATACTCTCATCTTTGTTATTTTCATTTCTAAGTTTTTATGTTAACTCTTTACTCCTAAAGTTTAGTATTTCTATTTAGGTACTTTAGCATATTTGGTGGTGCTTTTTTGGCTATTACACTGTAAAGCATATTACTGAGGAAGTATTTGTAAGAATGCAGTTTGTAAATTACATAGAATGATTATTTAGTTAATAGTAGAAATTTGTTTTGAAAAATGTGTAAAATGAGCTTTCATCGTTGCGCATTCATAAAAAAAAAAAAAAAAAAAAAAAAAAAAAAAATACCGTTGTTTAAAAATTGTATTAAGCATTAAAAAAATAAAGATAAAAATAAAAGCCATTGTGACTTTTTATCATTTCTATATTTTAAAAGTCCTTTAACAAAAAAAAAAAAAAAAAAGTCTTTAATAGCTTCTTTTAATATTGTTAATATGGTGAAGAGAAAATCTAGTGCCGAAACAGAGAAGAATGCCACAGCAGTTAGTATTACTGCACCAACTGAAGAAAATTTTCCTCGTGGAGGTGCTAGTGCATTAACACCCCTTGAACATCGAGAAATTTCAAATAAAGTTGCTAAAGATCTTTTTACGGTAAAACAAAATAAATGATATATTTTATGTAACTTATATTGACTATATTATATAGACTAGTGATGCTTCAGAACCTGCTAAAAAGAAAAGAAAAGCTCAGTCTACTAAAAAATCCAAAAAGGCAACCACATCTGTAAAGGAAAAAAAGAAATCAGATAGTATTTACATTGAACAATTAAATTTCAAGGTAATTTGACTAAAATATAATGGCTATATAAGGTACTAACGTACTATTAAAGAAACTTATGGTTGGCACATGTCTTATGGGTTGTGTATCTCGTATCAATGAACTTGACTTGATTATTTCATTACCTCATCATCTTGTGGGGGTTGTACCTATTACAGAAATTTCAGAATCACTTAGTACGATTGTTGAAAAAGTTGCAGATGAAGATGACGAAGATGAAAATATGGATGAAACTACCGGTTTACCTAACTTGAATGATATGTTCTATATTGGTCAATGGGTTCGTTGCAAGATCATCAATCTTCAAACAGATGATAAAAAAATTATTGAATTAACCTTGAAACCTAATCTTGTTCACGAAGATCTTGCAAAAGTTGATGTTACACCTGGCCTTGTAAGTAGATTTGAAATGAAAAGAAAAGTAAATTAAAGTCTAACGACTCGACTAATAAATATTGATATGTGTTTAATAGACTTTAGGCGCTGCCATCAAAAGCGTTGAAGATCATGGTTATATTTTAGATTTGGGTGTAAAAGAATTAACTGGCTTTTTGCCTCTTAAAGAATCAAAGAGTTTTATTGAAAAATACAACCGCAATCAAGAACTCATTGTTGGACAATATGTTGAATGTGCAGTTGAGAGTGTTAAAGGTCGTACGGCTAATGTTACAATTGATCGCAGCAAGGTAGGCCGTGCTCTTGTCGCCGATCCATTCTCTCGTATTATCTCAATCCTTCCTGGTCAATTAGTTACAGGTGTTATTGATGCTGTTCAAAATAATGGTTTAAGTGTCAAAATGCAAGGCCTTTATCGTACAACAATTGATCAATCACATATTCCCATATCTATTGAAATTGAAAAGAGCTTTAAAATTGGTCAGACGATTACTTTCCGTACCCTATTTACTATGCTTAATATTGATGATAAGAAAATTGGTGGCACACTCTTACAACACGCATTAGAATTGGATGTTCCCACACTCTCCAATAAACAAAAATCTGAAAAATTCGTTGGCGATATTTTCCCTCCTGGCTCTTTCTTAGACAATGTTAAAATTGCTCGTTACAGCAATAAGACTGGTGTTTGGGTTAGTTTGGATGGCGTTGAAGGCGTATCTGGCTTTGTCCATATTTCACGTCTTTCTGATGAACATATTTCTACATTTAATGGCACAGCAGGCAAATTCAAGGTTGGAAGCACACATCGTGCCCGTGTCTTATCCTATAATCCTATTGATGCACTTCTTGTCTTAACCTTACAGCCTAGTGTCTTAGCTGAAAAGTATATGCATATCGCCGATATAGAAGTTGGTTCAACAATTGAATGTGAAGTTGAAAAGATTGTTCCTGCAGGTATTATTGTTAAGGTTTCAAAGTCAATCAGCGGTCTTGTTCCCACAATACATATGGCTGATGTTAAGCTCACCCACCCTGAGCTTAAATTCAAGGCTGGCAAAAAGATTTCATGCCGCGTCCTTCGCCTTGATCTTATGAAACAAAGGGTATATTTAACCCTAAAGAAATCACTAATTAATAGCGAATATCCTATCTTTACTGACCTTCGTAATATTAAAGAAGATGATGTAAGTCATGGTGTAATCGTGTCTATTAAACACAACGGTTGTGTTGTTGCCTATTACAACAATATTAGTGCATTTGTACCTGGAAGTGAGATGACAGAAACACATGTTGAAAACTTTAATGATGTTTTCCATATTGGTCAAACAGTAAAAACAACTGTAATGAGCGTTAATCCAGAAGAAAATCGTTTATTAGTCTCTTTGATTAACTCTAAGAAGAAAGCAGAAAAGAAGGCAGAAAAGAAGGCCCAATTGGAAGCTAAGCACGAGGCTAAAGATGACATGCTTGCTCCTGGAAAGATTGTTACCGCAACTATCAAAGCTGTCAAGAAGTTGCATTTGAACCTTATGCTTCCAAATAATATCGAAGGTCGTCTTCACGTCTCGGAAATATACAATTCATTTGAGGATATTAAGAATCCTAAGGCTCCCTTGAGTCAATTCAGAACCAAACAAGAAATTCAAGTTAAGATTTTGGGTATTCGTAATACAAGAGCTAAGACCTATTTACCTCTCAGCCATGCAGGTAAAACAAAGCAACATATCGATTGCTCTCTTCGTCTCGAAGCTGATGATGAAGGTACTCGTGAGCTTCGCAATTTGAAGGTAGGCAGCCATTTTATTGGTTTCCTTTCCGATATCCATTCAGGTTTTGCACTTGTTCATATTGGTAGTCATACCTCGGGTATACTTCGCAAGCATATGGTGTCTTCTGATCCCAATATCTGCAACAATCTTGATAAACACCTTGTCAGTGGCCAAGCCATTCGTGTTACTGTAGTTGCTGTTGATGAAAATAAGGAAACTATTGAATTTATGAATGCCCAAGATGAAACTGCTCCTATTATAACCTCTTTTGCTGATTTAGAAAAGGGACAAGTGTTGAATGCAACCATCAAGCAGATAAATAAAAATACTGGAGTTACTCTTAATATCACCCACAAGATTACCGCTAAGGCTTATTTAACCGACATTGTTGATGTTTTAACCGAAGACCCAACAGCCTCTCTTAAAGAAGGACAAGTAGTTCGTGTTGTAGTCACTAATGTCAACAGTGAAAAACGACAAGTAGATGTCTCTATGAGACCTTCTCGTATCTATCCTGATATTGATTCTAATGAAATCAAGTGTTTTGAAGATGTAAAGCGTGGTCAAGTTTATGAGGGTTATGTCTTTAATGTTTCTTCAGTTGGCGTCTTTGTTAAGTTGAGTCAATCTGTTACAGTTCGTGTTAAGATTGCTAATTTGTCTGATTCATTTGTTAAAGAATGGAAGGGAATCTATCACGTTGGTCAGCTTGTAAAGTTGAAGATTATTTATATTGACTATGAAAAACAACAATTAGAAGGCTCACTTAAAAAGAGTGTTGTAGAGGGCACATTGACTTCTAGCACTAAAAGTAATGACGCACAGGAGGCATCCGAAACAATAGAATCAGATAGTGATGAAGAAATGCCTGAAGTAGATGAATCAGAAGATGAAGAAATGAAGGATGTTTCTGACGTTAATGAAGATGAAGAAGAATCCGATAATGAAGAAGAAGAATCGACACCTGCACCCGCATTAAATATTGACAGCTTTGATTGGACAGGTATAAATAACAGACCTGATTCTAGCGATGAAGAAGAGGAATCTGGTTCTGAAGATGAGGATGATACTAGCACTAAGAAAAAGAAGAACAAGAAACAAGAAGTTGAAGATTTAACTGCCCAATTAAATGCAAATGCTCCACAAACTGCTAATGATTATGAACGTCTCTTAGTTGGATCACCTAATTCATCTTATCTTTGGATTAACTACATGGCTTATCAACTTCAATTATCAGAAATTGGTAAAGCTCGTGACATTGGTGAACGTGCCTTAAAGACTATTAATTTCCGTGAAGAACAAGAAAAGATGAACGTTTGGGTTGCGTTACTAAACTTGGAAAACAACTTTGGTACAGAAGAAACGCTTCAAGAGCTTTTCAAACGTGCTTTGGTTTATTGCGAGCCCATCAAGGTATACCTTCAATTAGTTAAGATTTATGAACGTAGTGAGAAATTGGATAAAGCTGAGGGACTTTGGCAAGAAATGACAAAGAAGTTTGGCCAATCTCCTGAAGTTTGGACTGGATTTGCTCTTTATTATATTCAACACGATAAAGCTGATGAAGCTCGTGAATTGTTACAAAAGAGCTTAAAGGTCTTACCCAAACATGAACATGTTCAAACTATTGTTAAATTCGCACAATTAGAATTCAAGCATGGTGAAGCTGAACGAGGTCGTACTATTCTAGAAGGTGTAATGAGCAATTATCCTAAACGTTTAGATTTATGGAATGTATATCTTGACATGGAAATTAAGGCTGGCGATAAAGAATTAACTAGGTATATATTTAATAATTTATATAAGAAATAGATATTTATACAAATATATATTATAGACGTCTATTTGAGCGTGTTGCATCAATGAAGTTTTCTTCAAAAAAGATGAAGTTTTTATTCAAGAAATGGCTTCAATTTGAAAAGGTTCACGGTACAGAAGATGATGTTCAAAAAGTTAAAGAAAGAACACTTGCATACGTTGAACGTTTGACAGAATAAAAAGAGTCTACAAGACTCAGAATCCCTCAAAGTTTATATTATGACATATACACATTTTCTCTTTTTTTTTTCACTTGTAATTAGATAAATAAACATTTTTTATTACTTTTTTAATATTTTTTTGGGTCGTTCGTCCATACTTTCATTCACGTTTTTGTTCTTTTTCAATATCTTTTTCTTTACTGTTTTCTTTACTGATTTTTTGGCAAATTCTTCATCACTACTTATTTCATCATTATCTTCCATATTTAAAGTAGGCAAATAAAGGACTTGTTCCTCTTTATCTTCTTCATTATCGTCTGAGTCAATGTAAGCCTGAATTGTATCACATGTTGTTATATCAACTATAATATCTTCATCTTCCTCTTTTTGTTTTGATTTTTCTTTTTCAGGTACCACATCAAATTCATCCTCTTTTTCTTCATATTCCAAATTCTCTTCCAGTTCAATGAAATCAGGCGCAAATGCGCTCCAATTAGCCTCGTGTTTTGTATTCCAGATATAGATGTTACCAAAGCTACTTACTGAAGCTATAATAGGCTTCACAGGATGCCACTATGAATGAATGTCAAATTAATAAAATATTCATATGTAAGAGCATCTTCCTTACAGATATATCATCTAATGGTTCTTTTGGTCCTTCTAAAATCTTTACAAGGTTTCCCATATTTTTATCCCAAATATATATATTATGCTCTGCTTTATGACCTGAACCACCAATAACAAATTCACCGTCTGAACTAAAGCAGCTCTTACTCCATTGAATTCTATTAACCAAGTCCTGAAATTTGTTACGTAATTCTGGAATGCCACTCTCTTCATCCACATGAAAATATCTTATAACACGATCATTGGCATTAATTAACATATCTCTGTTGATATCATAAATAATATTAATATTATAGAATACAATCTCTTTAATTAGTATAGTAAATAATCTACCTTCCATTTCTACTAAACTGGATATCTTTTATTGTTGTATTTGTAATTCTTGTTGTATAAACAATCTAAATATTTATTAGTTATAACATTTGTGCATAGCGGGATTATCTTACTTTATTCTTTTCCACGTCTATGATATTTAAATATCCTTTTGATGTTCCGGTATATATTCGATTGCCAGTTTTATTCCACGTTATTGCAGTTACAAGAAATGATGTTCTACATAGTACGTTAAGTAAGTGTATATGTGTATATATAAATTAACTTTACGACTTTATAGATTCTTCTTTATTTTCTGGTTCTGTAGGTAATACTGTCTTTATAACATCACTTCCGTTTATGTCTACTATTACTGGATTTACTTGAAATAAGGCTGCCACAAATCGATTACTAACAACAATATAGTTTAAAAAAAAACTTTTAACAAATCGCTTTTTTCTTTTTCACTCTTACTTATTTTTTGGATGCATATGCGCCATAATAAGTGAGGTATCAAATCTAATCTTTGTTTTCTTTGTACCCGACACTAAATCCCAATAAATACATGTCCAATCTTTTGATGCAGTTAATAAATACCTTCCATTATGTGACCAACTATTTCATGTTATTATCAAAATATATGAACTTTGTTTTCATCATTACCTTACATTGGATATTGATTTCACATGACCAATTAGATTACGTGAGATGCCTTTTGTATCAAAATCCCATACGACGCATCGTCCATCTAAACAACCAGCTGCTATTAAGGTTCCACGTCGATTAAATTTACAATTAAGTACGTAACCATCTTCTAATATTTCTTCTATTATTTGCGGATACTCCTGTTCCCAAGGATCTACAAATAACATGTATTAATTGTTTGTTTGTGTTTTTTTGGTGTTAGTAGTAATTTGGCATGCCTAATAATTCTAAATTCATTTAGTTGAATGAAAAAACAAAAAAAAAAAAAAATCCAGCAGCATTGTTAAAAATTTATATAAATTTTGGCCAATTAAATAAGTTTTTTTTGTTTTGTTTTGAAAAAAAAAGATGGTCAAAAGGAGGAATAAAAAAAATCGATTACTTGCTACTCCATGAACTGAGACAGATCGATTGAATGATGGGTCAAAGCGTATATTAAATAATATAATAGAATATGATTTTGTTAAGTGAACTGAATAACTGAAGTAAAATTGGAAAGTGCAAGAATGTTTTAGTCGCGTTAATAATCTATTTTATTACAGAGATAACTGTATCAATAATAATAATATAACTTATCATGTTGTAAAGATATCAAAATGATTCAATTTATTTTTTAGTTTTGCAGTTAGACTCTTGACAATACTAAAATTGTTATTTAGAAACACTATACATATTTTTTAATCTATTTGGTCAAACCAGCACTAAATTTTACAAATCTTCCTAATTCTTCTTCTTTACGACAAGTAGACAATAGGCTATAACAATATTGCCAAGTAAAGCAAATTAAAATGATAACAAGCATTTAATAAAAATATGTAAAAATTATAGTCGTTTATTCCTTAGTTGTTGTTGTTTTTACAATGTACTTAATAAACTAATGAATTTATTACTTAGAAAATAGATAAATAATCAAAAAATATTGAGCTTTCTTTATAACAAAGCAATGCTAAAGGAAATACTCAATTCAGGATATTTTGACATTAATAACACATAGAAGGTTGGAAAATCTTTACAAAGGTTTTTTTAAGAGGATGCTTTATAATCGTATACACAAGTCTATTGCTTGTTAAGAAGCTTTTCCAGAGTTCCATTACTATTTGCGTTTAATAAATCGTCACATCCACCTACATGTTGTTGATTAATAAAGATATTAGGAACTGTACGCTGGCCTGTCTTTTCGAAAAGATATTCTTGAATTTGTTTCCCATCAGCTAAAAAAAAATAAAAATAAAAAATAAGTAAATACACAAACTTAGCTATTAGATATTATGTGATCACGTACGATGTAAATCTATTTCTATATCAACAAACTCAATACCGAGGTCTTTTAAGAGAGCTTTTGCTCTTTTACAATATGCTATATTTGTATATATGTCAATGAGTACAGATAATATATGTATATAAAAAAATGATATATATTTACGACAATAGCTTTTTCCAAAAATAACAACTGCATTATTTTTAATAAACTCTTCAACGATTTGCTGAGCAACAGACATTATTATTAAAGTTGTATAGAATATATGTAGGAAATATATGAATGTATACTTTAGTAGTAACAAGCGAAAATATACGTTTATATATTAATTTTTTGCATTAAATCTGATTAATAATACAAAAAAAATCGCCAATTAAATTAACTATCCGAATTTCCTCGAACTGTGAATATTATTAATAATATCGATAACATCAGTTTCTAGTTTGCTCTTACATAATATATGACTTTATATATACATATATATATATATATATACTCCTGAAACCAAAGGGTTAAAGAATAATATAAGAAATCACGATATATTTCTCTTCTGTCATCAAAAGGCTTTAGTAATCAGGTTATAAATGTAGCTAATAACTGTTTTGATAGATATGCTGAAATGTAATAAATTTGTGCATAAGAAAAAAAAATACTTACTTCGCTTGTATAGTGTTTGAAAGTGAGTTACTATTATGCTTTATCAATAAAGTTTATGCCGAAAAACCTTTGAATATATATATCTTTTATTTAAGTAGTTTAAGTTATACTATTTTATTTGAAGTTGACGATATATGTTGTATTTGTACATAATATAAAGATATAACAACATATAAATATTAAATATCTAATTATACAATAGTGTTGTATAAACAATATCATCATGTCAAACATAAATTATGTAATTAAGAAATGTAAAATCTCCAAATGAAACCCTTATTAAATTAGCAATCTGTCAAATATAATACAAGATCATGATTGTTGATAATATCATGAAGAGGTTAATATTTAACACAATACTAATGAAATAGTATCCATAAATATCATCTATAGCCATAAGAAAAATATAAATAGCCAAATAGTTTGTATAAGAAGAATAGACAGTTTTATATATATAATTTTTTCCTAGTAGAATTATTCTCACTTGTGCCTGTGTCTCACGATTTATTTTGTCTTTTTAATATTCTTAAATCATACAACAAAGGATAAATATTATACAACAAGTCTTAAAATGTTTCTTTCTTTTTTTTTTTTTTTTTTTTATATATTAACTTACCTAAACCACAACAAGAAGAATAAGATATATATACATATATACATGTCATTTAATATGATGTTTTATTGCCTTTTTTTTTTCTTACAGGAATAACAATTACATATATACAATAAGAGACTATAATTTATATGCACATAGTTTATTATTATTATTATCTATTTCAATTGAATTATTAGTCACAGCAATAATAATTGTGTCAAATTTGATAGGTTTTGATATTGTCATTATGAAATTCGATTCCATGTATTCTCTTCTAAATATTAATTTAATCAAGGCATCAAGAAAATATAATTAGAGGTGACAACAAGTTCGAATTCAACAACGAAAAAAAAAAAAAAAAAAAAAAAAAAAAAAAAAAAACATAACAAATAAAGTACTAAATGCAATCAAGGTGAAACTTCGGTGTAAGTAGGAGATTTGCAGTGAAAAATTACAAAATCCGACATTTAGAGATATATTATTGGTTACTGAGTTTAAATTAATTGAATTAATGATTATAATATACTCCACAAAAAAATTAAACAAATAGCTTCTATGGCGCAATTGGCTAGCGCGTCTGACTGTTAATCAGGAGGTTGGTGGTTCGAGCCCACCTAGGAGCGTTTATTTTTTATTTTTAATCTTTTGTTAAATCTTGTTTTGTATTTATCTTTTTTTTTTTTTTTTTTTTTTTTTTATGCTTTATGGCTTACAATCTTGGATCTGAGCCTTTTTATATATTGTCATGATATGATAAGACAGCTCGGATATAATATTATAAATGCAAATATAATGTAAAAATAATAATAATAAAAAAATAAGAGCAGCATGCTTCTTCTTTTTCTCTATCATTCATTATAATAAAGAACAAAAAAAAAATAAAATAAAATAAAATAATAATGCATATAACGATTAGCGTCTATTATATTATTATTTATAATAATTAATAGGAAACTACGGTTGTCTTGTTGTAAAGAGCACGACAAAAATATGTATAGTTAAAACCTTTCTTTAAATAATGATGATTATAGACATATATAAATTGTTTTAATTAATGTTAACAGATTTGAATTCATGATCTACAAAGGAACCATGGAAAGTAATAGCAGTAAAATCACCAATTTTGATACGAGCTAATTCCTTCATATCCTTGGCATTAATTACAATAAAGTAACAACACTTGAAGTCACTGACAAAAGTTAACAGGACGCCATCATCTTCTTCTTCTTCTTCAGTTTTACTATAATTTGGTGGTCTTGAAACGAAGATGGGTTCAGAACAGGTCAAACCCTCTTGTTCATCACCGTACAGTGTCGTAGAGAGATCATTCAGGTCAATCTTGATTAAACATATACTTTCATCTCTCTTTTCTGTAAATCTTGACAATTGACAGCCATACATGTATCGATGCTTAGCTGTCATACTAAAATTTTGATTAAAACGCGGGAATTCGATATTTTCAGCTAACGTTTTTGTGGATACTAGTGCCATTTGATTTAAATTCAATTGATATTGCATTAGATCTCCAAAGCTAGTTTGATATTTGGGAGGATAGGCAAAGCCATTTAAATAAGTTTGTTGTTGTTGTTGATCAGGGCCTTTACTATGTGGTACACCAAATGTATGAAGCTGATGTAAGATATCACCATTTGAAAATGATACACAATTTAAGGTAAGCAACTTATCTCCTGTATTTGAACAAGTAGATTCAAATCCGTTCCCTACATGAAATGTATAAAACCCTGGTGCAGGGATCGAGGCTACTAGTCCATTTTGATCCACTGAATTACGATCAATAACATGAAGATAGGTAGGAGCATTTGAGTCCCATTTCATACCAGATATAAAGGATCCATGCATTAATATATCAACACCCCGATTTTTTATGATCATGGGAGATTCAGGGATAATGATATATTCTTTTGTTAGCCAAAAGGAATGAATATAAGAAGGACAAATAGGGGATCCATCATAACGATGTGTGATATTAGCTAAAATAGTAGTTTTCTCACCGTCTTTTGAGATTTTAAATACTATCAGTCTAGGATAAGGAATGATAGCTAATGTAAAATTATAAGTTTCCTTTGTAAAGTGATCCGTTTGATGGTGTGCTGCCGAAAATTGTCCATTTAAATGTTTATCAAAAGCAGAATAATCAAAAACGTGTTGGGGTTCTATTATTATTTTTTTATTTTTTGAAAAAAAAAAAAGTTGATGTTATTATTATTATTTTGATTATTTACTTCTATTTATTTATTCTTACTTAGTGTCTCAGCATGAATCTTTTGTAATAGATTGGCATCTGTTTTAGCTACAAGTATATTTTTGTTATTCCCTTTCACGGAGGACGGAAGAGGCAGATTAGGTGTAGCCGTCACACCGACCATGTGCCCGTCAGCGGGAAGTCCGTCGTTTAGTTCAGAAAGGAAGACAAGCTTATAGAACCGAATACAAAAATGAGAGAGCCATTGAAAGAAGCTCAAGCAAGGTTGATGCCCAAAGAATAGCATGCCTTTATAAGATTTATTTGAAATGTTTGTTTCCACACTTTTGGCCAAAAGACGAGAATTATATTTTAATGTTTGGGTTCTCCCACAAACTTCAAATCGATGCATAAACGGGAGCCCATCAAAGGCATGACGGATAGAGAATAGAGACCCATCATTTTGCTGAATATTGAATTTACCAGGACCTAATAAATAAATAAATAAATGATAAGTATAATATATTTGTAAGAAGAAGATTTACCTATACGATACATGATGCCATTCAACCAAGTAGGTATACTACCATTTTCAATATTTAAAAGAATAGGATCTTGAATTTCAATTGAATCAGGAACATAGTTTGCTTTGATTACTTGAAAAAAGTGATTATAAACTTTATTATAGTAATAATAAAGAGTAAATAGAAGACATCCAGGTAATAAAACAAATGTTATTACAAGAAACATATTATTTTTATCAAAGAAAGAAAGTAAAAAAAAAAAAAAATGAAAGAAAAAAAAAAACCCTTTTTTATATATGCTTTATTTTCTATTCCCTCCTTATTTACTTTATATTCATTGTCTTTTGAATATATGGTATATGAGTGTAACATGGTTAAGAAGTTGAAGCATTAGTGTTATTAAATTAATACAGAAAGAAGGGTGGGGGGGGGAAGAGAGGAGGGGTAGCAAAAATGTCTATAATACATGGCATAATAACTATGAACGAGCTCTAATTCATAGTATTATTATGACTACTTCTATATCCTCCCTTTTTGTTTTTAGTAAAGTGTCAGTTAACATTAACAGATTTAAATTCATGATCTACAAAGGAACCATGGAAAGTAATAGCAGTGAATCCACCAACGTTGATACGAGCTATTTCCTTCATATCCTTGGCATCAATAATCACTAAATAACAATTACCTCGTGATGATGATGAATGATGATTGACAAGACTTAGAAGAACACCATCGTCCTCTTCTTTATCCTGCGTAGGTTTTGGCACAAAGATAGGTTCAGAGCATGACGTATACTGACTTCCCTCATCATACACTTTTATAGACAAAGTGTTTAGATCTACCTTAACTAAGCAGTTTGCCTCAGTCGAGTCTTTCAAACGACATCCGTAAATATATCGATGTTCAGGCTTCATGCTATAACTTTGATTGAATCGAAGAAAATCGATATTCTTTGCTAAGGTCTTGCTAGATACCATCTTCACCTTGTTTATATTTAGTTTATATCGAATGAGATCACCATATTCCAATGGAGAATGAGCAATGCCATCATTGACGTATGTCTCCTTTCCATTTGAGGATGATGTACCAAACCTATACAGTTGATGAATAATATTTCCATTTGAAAAGGAAGCACAGTCCAAAACAAGCAGCGTATCACCTGTCGTCGGACATTGTGTCTCAAAGGCGTTCCCAACATGAAAGCAAAAGAAGGCAGGAATAGGTATAGAAGCTATAAGGCCACCACCACCACCATCACCCTTTTCCGTTGAGTATTCATGATCACGACGAACGATATGACAATAAGTAGTTGAAGCATCATTTTTATCCCAATGCATACTAGAGACGACAGATCCAGTCATCAATAAATTTCGACCTCCATCTTTAAATGCCAACGGTGCCTCAGGGATAATGATATAATTTTTAGTTAACCAGAATGAATGAATATAGGAAGCTCTAACAGATCCTTTATCATTATCATGTCGTTGAGTTATGTCAGCCAAGATGGTCACTTTCCCATCCTCTGATGTCTTGAATACAGTTAAACATGGAAATGGAACAATTCTTACAATAACATTAAAGACCTCTTTAGTAATTGGATCTTGTTGGTGGTGTGCTGATGTGAGTTGACCCCATAAATGTTTATTAAATGTACTATAATCAAAAAGATACTGTGGCTCTATAAAGAACGAGAGAGAGATTTTTTTAAATTGTTACTATATACATATATATATAAAGGATATTATAGTTTTTTTTTTCTTACCTAATGTTTCTGCATGGATCTTTTGTAAGGCATTTGCATCTGTTTTGGTAACAAGAACATGTTCATCTTTCGATCTTTGGATATCTCTTGATGATGGTAAAGGAAAGTTTGGTGTAACCGTAACACCTATAACCTGACCATCGGGCGAATCGCAAGCTCTTCCTAATAGCATGAATCTAATTTGATTTACTACTCGAGCCATAAAATGATATATCCATTGAAAGAAGTTCATGTCAACTATGATATGACCAAAGAATAGGACACCCTTAAAGGAATGATTTTGAATTCTCGACTCAAACAGCTTTGCTATGCAACGTGAATTATATTTAACTGTTCGTTCCTTGCCATTTATTTCGAATCTATGTATAAAGGGGAGACCATCAAATACGTGTCTAATAGAGAAAGTGGATCCATTATTTTGTTGAATATTAAATCTACCTGGTCCTATTCATATATAATAAATACATATTCAATTGTATACATACTATCAATATAAAAGACCAAAAAAAAAAAAGCTTACCTATTTGATACATGACTCCATTTAACCAAGATGGAATTTGATTACTTTGGTGTTTTAATAGGACTGGAACATGAACTTCGGGTAGATTATTAGGTAATTCTTTCAATAAGGCTATCTTTTTAATACATTTGGAATAAAGGTCATTATAAAGATAGTAAAATATGCAAAAAACTAGACACAACGACACTGTTATCAAGAATAAAAAACCCATTTAAAAGAAGAAAATATGGAAAAAAGAAGAAGAAGAAGCATTTACCTTTTTTAGTAGAACTTTTTATAATTTTACTCGCAAAAAAAAAAAAAAAAAAAAAAAAAAAGATAAAAATGACGAAATATATCTTACATGAAAAAAAAAAGGTTTGTTACATGAAAAGATTTTTATTATTATTATTAATATCTATAAGGGGGAGGGAGAAAGAGAAGTGTATTTATATATATATATTGTTTGCTTCTATTCTTTTTTGTTCTTTTATTGATAGGATGTAGTGTAATATATAGGCTGTATATCGCTGTAGTCGTTGTCATATAATATATATATATATATATATAGAATAGAAAGGAAGTGAATATGGCGAGTCAAATTATAAGCATTTAAAGAGGAGTATCATGCTTATTAAGGAATCGTTATGTATGTACACGAAAGAAAAAAAAAGAAATTGGCCCATCAAGTTTTAGTTTTTATTGTAGCGACACCAAAATTCATGACTTGATAATACTAAATATTAAAATACAATCAAGTACATGTGTATAATAAAATGATTACCTAAATCTTGCAACATCAACACCACAGCAGGAACAGAAATTTGCAGCAGAAGAGTTTATAGGTAAATTTCTTTTTTTTGATTTAAAGATTGTATTGAAATGCATATTAAGAAAACTAATAGAAAAACAGAAAAACAGAAAAAAAGAAAAAAAAAAGGAGAAAAGACAAAAAGCTTCTTTATCCGATTTATATTATTATTTTTATAAAGCAAATAACGTCATAAAGATAATTCTTACTTTCAGGATCTGTTACACAACATGTGGGATAAAGAGCTATAATTCAAGGCTTTATGAACATACTTTATTTTGATCTTCTTCAGGAATAGGAGTCAAAGAATATTCATTCCCATTATTTTCTTTCATCACAGGTAGTGAATTATTATTTTGGGTTACATCATTTACGAATATTTGTTTAATAAGCGCTTTATCCTTTTCTTGTCTTTGCTTTTCAATAGCCTCTGCACCACCTGTCTTTTTTAATTTTCTTAATTCAACAAAACCTGTTAATTCTCTTTCAAACGCATCAATTCTTTGTGATAATTCTTTAGCACGTAATTTTTCTGCTTCAGCTAATGCCTTTACACGACGAGAATGATCTACATGAATGGTAGAGACTTGTTTCATTACACCCGCCATACCACCTTCTTCATCTACTGTAGATGGTATCATTCTATATTCACGTCCTAACTGTTTCTTGCGTTCATGAATTTCAGAAATTTTCTCAAGTTGTTCAAGGACTTGAAGTAAGGCATTACGATCATCTTTCAAATCTGTTAAAAGGGCTTCTTGTTCTTTGAGGAATTGCTGTTCCTTTACAATACGTTGTAATTCTACTTCCCATGTCTTTTTCCAAATAGGTTTAAATTCTTTAATACGTTGCTGAAGTTCATTCATTTCGATCTCTAATTTTTTAGATTCTTCTTGACAATAATGAAGCTGATTTTTAGGTGGACGACGACGACGCTGTGTGACATCAATTTTAAGTTGATCAATCATATCTTGTAATTCCTCAAGTCGGTTTGTAATCAACATGGCAGCCTTTTGTGTTACTTCTCTACTTTCATTCATCTCTGCACGAGTCCTTTCATCCAGCATGACGACAAGTGATTTTGTACTCGTCACTTTTGTACTCTTTTCTTTTAGTTCATCAATCACTTTTTCCGTTTCCTTTTTGTACTCTTCATATATTTGACGCACATTTGCAAGTTCATGACGTAATGTATTTAATTCCTTTCTAATCGTCGTCTCATCACTCATTCGTGGTTTTTTATTTGCAATATTTTCTATCACTTGTTGCATTACATCTTTAAATAAAATTTCCAATTTTTTTGTCATGGAAGGATCTAAAGAATGAAAGTCATTGTCCTCATTTTCTACAAGTATAAAACTTGATAAGTAATGAATGTATGAATATATATTTATTTTACCTTTCATGATTAAGATAGAATAAGGCTTGATATCAGATATATCTTCTAATTCATATTCAATATTAGAGATAGGATCCAAGATATAAATAAAGGTCGTATTATTTGAATCAAGGTTAAATGATTTATAGAATAATTGTCGTATTTCATGTAAAGATACATCTTTTTGATGAATAAAGGATTTCTTGACATGAGCCCCCTTTTTTAAATAAATATCCATTATCTCTAAGATAAAACATAGATGAATAAATAAACACACAAAAAATCTATTTACATACATACATACATACATACATACCAGGATTCAATGGAATATGTTCATAAGATGGATAATAAGATGTTCTTCGTACAGAAGAGCGATTAGCTAAATTACCTTGTAATGCAAGTTTAGACATAGCATCTTTTGTAGAAGGATCATCTAGATCTACTTCATCAATAGAAGAGGATGTACTACTACTGTTACGAATAGGTGAAATAGGTGACTGTGGAACAGAATTTCTTTTCCCTTCAAATAAATGTGATAAGGGTTCAGTAGTAGTAGTAGTAGCAGTAGTAGTAGTAGTGGTAGCAGCAGTAGCAGTAGTAGCAGTAGTAAAAGAAGCAGAGGGTGAAGGTAAGGGTATAATAGGTGATACTATATTTTTTTGTACGGTTATATCTAATGGTTGTTGTTGTTGTTGTTGAGTAAGAGATGATATGTTTGAATTTGTAGTAGGTTCAAAACGTTCTCTTAGTAAAGATTGTTTTCTTTTTAATCCTTGTAATAATTTCAAGATAACATCTCGAATAGCAGGTAAATGATGTTCTAATATACTTGGAGAAGGTTCTTTACTCACTGTATCTTTTAAACAACTATATAAATCATCAGGCAAATAAAGCATATCACTATAAAAATAACAAGAATAAATTATTTTATTTCATTTTATTCTTTTTTTTTTTTTTTTTTTTTTTTTTTTTTTTTTGTTTAGAATCATTCGTTACTTACTCCATCGATAATGAGGCACTTTCAAATGCTTTTATTGCACTTGCAAAATAACTTTCTAACGAATTATATTCATTATACACCTGATTATTAGTTACTTCACCAGAAGACCATAAAGTTAAAGTTTCTAATAATTTTTTAGTTGATAAAAGTAATTTAGAAACACTTTGTTCAATCGTAATCATCTAATTGATTGAATTTAGTTTGAATAATTTTTTTTTTTTAAAAAAAGAAGTATGTATATTCTTACAGGAGATGTTAGATTGTCTTGTTGTTGTCCAATATTATTTAAAGAAATTGATGATGTAGTAAACATGTTATATAAAGGAAGAAGAACAAAATAAAATTAAATAAAATTAAAATAAAATTAAAAAAAAAAGAAAAACGGAAAGAAAGAGAAACAAAAAAAAAAAAAAAAAAAAAAAAAATAAAAAAAAAAATTAAAACTCCTTCTTAGATAACAAAACAATAAACAAACAAAGAATGTAATCTACAGTTTATAAATAATGGAGAGAAATTAAACTTATTTTGACAATATAAGCTTATTAAGCAATATATATTAAATCTATCAACCTATTCTTTCTTGGACGTTACTTTAATGACATGCATAATTTTTTTTTAAGTGAAACCATTATTTTTTTTATAAGGGCGCACGGACCAGTAGCAACAAATTTGACAACAGCAACAACACAGCATATTAATGAAATCAAGGCATTCATCTATATTTGAACTAACAGCGTCATTTATTGTTTATTAAAGAGAAAGCAAATTCATACTAATAACCCATCTTTATTCTTGTAGTATTTAATCATTCTCTATATACTCATCTTGACTAATTCCTCTGGGGCCCAACAATTGAAACATAGCTTAATTTTTACTTACTTGATTGAATAAAAGATCCAATTGTCCTTGTAAATTCAAGAAGATTTGAACATGTCACGCTTATTATTATGACATGGAAATATTGATTTTATTTAATAGTTAAGAAGAGAGGGATAGATCATGTTATTGAAATAGATAAACAACAAATATAGGGGGGATACGTCCTGGAAGAGCTAATATTATATGTGTCAATAATGCAGTAAAAAAAAAGTCACATTCATAAAACCAGTTATGAATGTAAATTATTGATAAAAGATCCATTGTATTGTGAGATAGACAAAGATGAATGATGTCGTTTCTTATTGGGGACACATGTTTATAAAAATAGGTCGTTCACTTCTTTTTTATTATTTACTTGCCATTTGCAACATTTCGTGACTTGTTTTTAATTGTCCTCTCACTTACACACACACTTTTTATTTTATTTTATTTTTCCTGCTGCTGCTGCTGCTGTGAATGATCTTATCAGGTGAGTGCATATCGCATATAAATAAATAGTTGTTATTTTATTCGTAGTTTATTTTATTTTATATCATTTAATAGATTAATATGTCGAAATCAAGGTTATTATTTTCTCATTATTCAGATGATGACGATGATGAATTCACTTTGAATCCTATTCATGAACCACTCCATCATTCCTATTTTAATACTAATCATAATGCTAGTTCACAAGCTGAGGATGAAAATAGCGACGATGATGAAGAGAATAGACTAGAGGCACCGCCATCACTGATAATAGAACAGACTCAAACAACGACAAAACCTATTTCAACAAGAGAGCATGTTACTGTATATGATAGAACAATGTGGAGATGGGCTAATGTTGAAAATATGGATGACTTTTTTCAAAGAGTATATGAATACTATCAAGGAAAGGGAATTTATTGTATATTATTAGCTAGATTTTTAAACTTGTTGTAAGCTATATACATGTATATATTTTACAAGCTATTGTATTTATTTTGTATCATTAAAAAGGACCTTGGCTTTTATCATTCTATTTTCAACGTTTCTCATCGGCTGCATAAATTACTCCGATATTACGTCTCATCATACATTAGGGGAAGTAATTGAACCTCAATGCTTATCAAAGTCAGTATCTCTCTCTCTCTCTCTCTCTTTTCTATTTATTTATAGTGTATACTAAAGACTTTATGAAATAGATTATCGTCTACAAAAGTCTTGTTCATTTCAATCTTCATTATTTGGTGGATATGGCAAGCTATTCGATTTATAACAGATTTACCTATGCTTCGAGAAATGCATAATTTTTATATTCATTTACTACTTATTCCAGATGTAAATTAGTATCAATAAGAAATAAGTGAATTTTTTATTTAATCGTATTTTTGTTTTGTTTAGGAGGACATGCAAACAGTTTCATGGCAGACAGTTTTAGAAAGAATTATTCATATACGTGAAAGTAATCCAAATACAAATGATATTCGTTTAACAGAACATGATGTTGCAAGTAGAATTATGCGAAAAGAAAATTATCTCATTGCTTTATTCAACAAGGATATATTAGATATTCAAATCCCTTTACCTTATTTACGTAATCGATCTATATTAACTAAAGATCTTGAATGGAATCTTTCTTTTTGCTTATTAGGATTCATATTTGATAATCGAGGTCAAGTAAGGAAAAGATGTCTAAAGGAACGAAATAAATCTTTCCTAGTAGCTAGCTTAAAGAGAAGGTTCATCTTTATGGGTTTATTAAATCTTGCTTTATCTCCTTTTATCTTTGTTTATCTTCTCTTGCATTTCTTTTTTCGATATTTTGAAGTAAAAAAAAAAAAAGGCTTAAAATAGAAATAATATAAATAGATAACTGACCTGATCTTTGTATATTATGTAGGAATATCATAAAAATCCTAGTGAGATTGGTTCAAGAGCGTATACTCCTTTTGCAAAATGGAAGTTTCGTGAATTCAATGAATTACCTCATTTATTCCGTAATCGTATAAGCCAAAGTTATGAGCATGCCAATCTCTATATCAATCAATTTCCAAAAGAAAAGACACTCTTATTAGCCAGGTAATAGACATATATATATATATATATACATGTATACACATATACACTTGTCACTCATTGTTTTAATCTACTTTAGATTTATATCTTTTTTAGCTGGTTCAATAGCTGGTGTTTTGGCTTTGTTATCTTTAATTGACTCTGAAGCACTGTTGAATTTCGAAATTACACCTAATGGTACTGTTTTGTTTTATTTAGGTTTAACAGGTACTTTATTTGCTATTACACGTAATATGATTCCAGATGAAAACCAAGTATTTGAACCTGAAAATGTGTTAAGAAAAGTAATTGAACATACGCATCATTTACCTCCAGAATGGAAACATAAATTACATACTGACCAAGTAAAAGAAACGTAACAAATAGATACATATAATGTGTATACGGGAGATGTGGAATGAAAGAGAGATATCTAACTAGAATACATCATTTAGGTTCGTGCTGAATTTTGTAAATTATTTGATTATAAAGTGAATTTATTCTTTCAAGAATTGTTAAGTGTCATCTTTGCACCTCTTGTCTTGTGCTTATCATTACCAAAGAGTGCAGATCAAATTGTTGACTTTTTTAGAGAATTTACAGTTCATGTGAACGAATTAGGCTATGTATGTAGTTTTGCTCAATTTGATTTTACACGACATGGTAATGTTAAATATGGTGTTCAAGATGCTATGATAGAAAATGACTATTATTTAAGCAAACAAGGAAAGATGGAAAAGAGTTTTCTTAATTTCAAGGTAATATAAATATATATAAAAGCTTGCTGTATATATAAAATAAAGAATTCAATAGGCAAACAATCCTAAATGGATACCTAACGATCTATCTGGTTCAATGTATCTATCAAGATTAACAGAAATCACAAATCAAAAAGAAACAGACTCGAGTGACGAAAGGAGAGTTCAATTCAGTCAAAAAGGACGCCATCCTGCAGAACCTATTCAATTAAATCAGTATGGTATTCCAAGTAACTTGGGCGAATCTTTTGTCCAAAGTCAACCATGGAAATATCATGTTGAGGATAGAAGAAACGAAGAAGAAGAAGAAGAAAACGAAGGGAGAAGAAATAAAGGCGTAGTTGGTTTATTAAATCAATTTTACGATTTAAATAATAATCCTACAATTTAACATTGGATTTTATATAATAAAAGTATTCAATGCTTGTAAAACGTATGTATAATATAACAAGGGAGGAGGGGGGAGAAAATAAAAATAAATTCTCACGGTTATTGTACAAAAAAAAAAAAAAGAAATACAGAGAAAAATAGACAGTGAGAAAGAGAGAAATAGACAGCGGGAAATAGACAGAAACTTGCTTCTATTCACACTCATAAAATGTTATTATTTCTTATATAATAAATCACATTATTCGTTTGTTTATTTACTTGCAAAAGAGTCTGTGTTTATTTAAAAAATTACTGTTAAAAAAGAAAAAAAAGGAAAATAAACAGACCTAAATCGCATAGTTTCTTTCTTTCTTTAAAGTAGACAAAGTAACTTATTCAAGGGAAAATAAGAAAAGAGTTGACTACAAGCAGTGGCTAGTTCTTATTTATTCAATTGGCGTCGGAAATATTCGGACAAATAATAAAAAAGGTGGGGAAAGAGTAATTCATACTACCTTGGAACATGACGTTTTATTTGGAGCCAATCACTCTTTAACAGTAAAATAATAAAAATAGAATATAAAAAAAGGACTTTACAATGTTATTCTTATTCCCTTTCTTTTTATTATTATTATAAAAATAAACATGTCTATTCCTACTCTTGCTCACTTCAAGTTACCTGAAATCGATAATGAGCCTATGGTAAGATTAACAAATAATAATCAAGCATTCATAATATTTATTATCTCCTTTTTTTTTTTCCTCTTTTCCTTTAGCGTCATTATGCTCCTGGTTCTGATGAAAGACTTAAGCTTGAAGCTGCTCTTCAAGATTTAATTGCTAAAGGTACAGTTGAGGTTCCTGTTATCATTAATGGTGAAAAGATTTATACCGGTAAAACAGCTGAACAATATAACCCTTCAAATCATAAGTCAGTTGTTGCCAAATTTCATCAAGCAGATGCTGTTCTCACTCAAAAGGCTATTGATGGTGCATTAGCTGTAAAAGATCAATGGGAATCCCTTCCTTTTAATGATCGTGTTGCTGTCTTCTTGAAGGCTGCTGATTTGTTATCTTCTAAATACAGGTAAAGAAAGGCATTTTTTATTTTATATGTATATATAACTCATGCTCATATCTAATTATCAATTAGATATCAACTTATGGCTGCTACTATGTTGGGCCAAGGTAAAAATAGCTGGCAAGCTGAAATTGATGCTGCTGCTGAACTTTGTGATTTCTTACGTTTCAATTGCAAGTATGCAGAGGAAATTTATTCTCAGCAACCTCCTAAGAATGCTCCTGGTACCTGGAATAGAACTGAATTCCGTGGTTTAGAAGGTTTCGTCTTGGCTATCTCTCCTTTTAACTTTACCGCTATCGGTGGTAATTTACCTGCTGCTCCGGCTTTAATGGGTAATGTCGTCCTCTGGAAACCTTCTCCAAGTGCTGTTCTTTCTAATTATTTATTCTATGAAATCTTGGTTGAGGCTGGTCTCCCCGCAGGTGTCATTCAATTTATTCCCGGTCCTGCTGAGGAGATCTGTGGTCATGCGATCGAAAGCCGTGATTTTGCCTCTCTTCATTTTACTGGCTCTACTCATGTCTTCCGTCATCTTTGGAAACAAATTGGTGATAACATTCATCGTTATAAAGCCTATCCTCGTATCGTCGGTGAGACGGGCGGTAAGAATTATCATTTATTGCATCCAAGTCTTGATGAGGCGGGTGTTCATCATGCTGCATTACAAACTATTCGTGCTGCATTCGAATATCAAGGTCAAAAATGCTCTGCTTGTTCTCGTGTCTATGTGCCTAGTTCTCTCTTTGCTCAATTTAAAAAGGATTTATTGATCGAACATGCTAAAATCACACAAGGTCCTGTTACTGAATTTCAACATTTCTGTGGTCCTGTCATCAATAGAATGGCATTTGATAAGATCAAGAGTTATATTGAACACGCTGCGGTTGATGACAATTGTGAAATTTTAGCTGGTGGTAAATGGGACGATAGTGTAGGTTATTTTATTGAACCTACTATTATTCTTACAAAGGATAAATTTGCAAAGACAATGAAAGAAGAAATCTTTGGTCCTGTAGTGACGATCTATGTCTATGAAGATGTTGATCTTGAAGCTACTTGCCAACTTATTGGTGAGACCACTGAATATGGTTTAACGGGGGCTTTATTTGCTAAAGATCGTGCTGCTATTGTATCTGGTGCTAATATGCTTCGTAATACTGCGGGTAACTTTTATATTAATGATAAATGTACAGGTGCTGTTGTAGGTCAACAACCCTTTGGTGGTGCTCGTGCTTCAGGTACAAATGACAAGGCAGGTTCTTGGTCTCTTTTAGTTCGCTTCATTTCTACTCGTACTATTAAGGAAAATTTTATTCCTATTGAAAGCTTTACATATCCTTCTAATGCTATTTAAAAGAAAAAGAAAAAAAAAAAAAAAAAGAAAAACTAACCAAAGAAGAAGAAGAAGAGAGGGAAGTTTTCTTAAATTATAAATTAAGCATACATAAATACATACACACACACACACACACACAATCCCTATTATACACATATATATTTCCTTAAAAGAATATAGATTCCATTTGTATGTAAATAGATTCTAAATAAATGATTCTTAAAATAAAGAATTTATTATTATATTGCCCCTCACTTTATTATTTCTTCTTTGATAAAATATGTTGATTAGGTGCTAAACAAGCTTCTTCTACATTGGGGACAATCAATACTTGGATACCTTCTTTTTCCAAAAGTTGAATTCCTTCACAATTCACTAGATTAGGCGGTTCTCGTACACCCAACACGACCCGCTTCAATTTAGCCTCGATAATTCGACTTGTACAGGATCTGTTACCTGATAATCGAATTGAACAGGGCTCCATGGTTGTGTACAGGGTCGCATGGGTTAAATCCATCGAATTAGTGTCCAATTTGGCTAATGCACATTCCTCTGCATGTGTGTTCCCCATGATCTCCCGTGAATAGCCTGTGCTCAATACCTTTCCTTCTCCACTCACAAGTACAGCACCTACACAGTACGCTTGTGGCGCAGGTATGGACTTGTTGGCTTCTTCAATAGCAAGCTGCATGTACTTTAGATCATTTGCATCATTCGTATATGGTGTTCCAAATGCATCTTTCATCTTGAGTTAAAAAAAAAAAAAAAAAAAAGACAAATAATTGCTGAGTTTTAATAATATACATACACATTTATACATTTTTTTTTTTTTTTTTGCAAACTAAAGGCAAACAAGCATACTTTAATAATAATAAAAAAAAAAAAGAATGAGAGAGAACAATTACAATAAAATTTATATATATATAAGAAAAAGGGTGTAACTAGGTGTGTGTTTGTGTGCGTGTGTGTGTGTCTGTTGTAAATATCTAAATTAGAGTTGAAATAAAAAAGAGATGCATAAAAGAGATGAATGAATATAGAACAGTCTTCCTTTTAATTTTTTGCCTTCTTCTTGAGTGCCTTCTTTTTCTTTTCTAATTTGGCCTTTTCTTCTGCCTTCTTTTGAATGCCATATTGCATCTTTGTATAAAGTTTTCTTTGTTTGTTGGTCATCATGACAGTTGCCATTTCCTTTTGTTCCTCTTCTTCGATTTCTGCAGCTGTACGCTTCTTTGGTTTCTTTTCTTCTTCTTCTTCTTCCTCTTCTTCCTTTTCATTTTCCTCTTCCTTTTCACTTTCTACTCCTGTTTCAGGAACATAATCACCTTCTCTCACCTCAACAAATGGAGATAAATGAGGAGGTAATACTTTACCAGGTTCATAAAGACTTGGCTTCAAAATCTTACGAGCATTAATACAATCTGCAATCCATTGAGGCTGAACATAAGTACGAGATAAAACACGGTTTCTGACTGTAGGACGATCTGTGATTTGGTAATGGATAGTTTCATCTGATTCAGGGAAAGGAGGATTCAAACCTACAGAAGGATCCCAACTTACTTGTCCACCACAAGAACGAATCATGAATTCAAGAGCATATCGTGGTGTTTCACGAGACAAATAGAATTTCTGATCCTTAAAGAGATTTTGAAGATCAGAGGTAGCATTAGAAGCAGCTTGAATCTTAGCAAGTGTTACTGTACCATCATCATCGTCATCATCATCGTCATCATTCCCTTTGTTTGATTTAGTCACTGTCTTGAATTCATCGACTGCTGTTGTTGCTGTTGATTCCTCCTCTTCTTCATCATTATTCTTTTGGATTGCATTTGGCATATTTTCATCTAAATGAAAACCACCTGTTTCATCTATCTTGGGTGGATAAGTCATATTGATTTCATTGTATAGCTTGAAATTAACAAATCCAACCAGGGTACGATAAAATTCTAAAAAGGTCAACATAACACGGAAATCGACATCGGTAGGGATCTCTTGAGAGAATTGATAAGGAACGATCCAAGTAATCGTCTGTCCCTTAATTTCAGCTTGATAATAGATACCCTTGATTGAAAAGAAAACCTTACGGAGACTCTTTGTTTTCATCACATAAGCTTGGAATTCAGAGATAAGTTGTTGTGATTCAGCCACGATATCAGCTTTGATTTTATTATCGGCAGGTAACTTGGAGAACAAATAAAGCATGGAAAGGGCATCATCAAGATCACGAAGAGCATCAATAAAACTAGGGTATCTTTCTTTGACGATGTGATCAAGATTATAGATGGGTCTGTTATTTTCTTCCAACGATTTAGCAAGTGCAAATTCACCCTTGTGAAGTACTTTATTGAGCTTCTTTGCAAATGCTTTATATTCACGGAACTTGGCAAGTAAAGGTTCGTGAAGGAGGTATTTAATATCTTTAATGTAGTAAAAAGTGGCGGGTGCTGTACTGCCCTTGTTGGCCTTCTTTTTATTTTTGGGTTCACGAGGATAAATACCCTTTAAAATACAAAGACGTCTTTTATGACATTTTTATTAGCAGCGATGTCATAGATCTAAATAAATAAATAAATAAATAACTTACCTAAAATCTGCAAGTGAGATCTGAAGCTTATTCAAAGCTTGTTGTCTAGTAATGAAATTGGAGGCAGCACCCTTGACTCCCTTTTTGATGATCTTGCCCATTATGCGATTATTGTATTCAAGAAAAAAAAAAAAAAAAAAGAAACTGACAAATTTACCAAAATATAAAAAAAAATTGTGACTCTAAACACTTTCACTCACATAAAAAAAAAAAGGGTGGCTTATAATTTTATTAGAGAGAGAAAAAAAAAAAAGGGACAAAAGTGACCGTCGCTGCTGATGATAAAAAATAAAATTGAACAAGCCAATTTTGGGAGTTCTTTCCTTTCTTTCATCTTTAATCGAATTAAAGGTAAATATATTTTATCCATCCATCCATCCATCCATTTATATTTGATGCAGATAAAAGGGAAACCTATTGTCATGTTACAAAGCCCAAAGGGGAGCTACTGTACATGATACTAGCAACCACTTTTATGAATCGCATTTCTTTTATTGTTTGCGACACTCATTTAAGTATGTATTGCTTTGTTTTACTTATTTTTATTACTTTTTTTTTCTTTTGTTTCTTGGATGGAAACTAGTATACACATATTTTATTTTACTTTATTCTTTAAAAAAAAATGGTCAGAGTTTCCGTCTTGAACGATTGTTTGAACAATATCAACAATGCTGAAAAGCGTGGTAAGAGACAAGTTCTCGTTCGTCCTTCTTCTAAGGTTATTGTCAAGTTCTTGACTGTTATGCAAAAGCATGGTAAGTGTCTTTTTTTATTTATTATATATGCACACACACACACACATACATACATGTACAAATATACTCCGTAGTATAACTGGTTATATATTGCCCTTTTTTTTTCCACAATATTTAATTTTTAAATCTACGGAAGAATGATATCCTATTTATTTGTCTTGTCTTTTTATTTTATACACATTATTATAAAATATTTTTTTTTCACAAATATTGGAAACATGTTTTATTGATAAATCTCTTTATTAACAAAATTAGGTTATATTGGTGAATTTGAACTTATTGATGACCATCGTTCTGGTAAAATCGTGATCCAACTTCTTGGCCGCATCAATAAATGTGGTGTCATTTCTCCTCGTTTCAATATTAAACTTACTGAACTCGAGAAATGGACTGCTAACTTATTACCTGCCCGTCAATTTGGTTACTTGGTCTTGACCACCTCTGCTGGTATTATGGATCACGAAGAAGCTCGTCAAAAGCATGCTGGTGGTAAGATCCTTGGTTTCTTCTACTAAGAGGGAGGATTTTTTTTCATTTATTAGCTAGTCCCATTTTTCTTAATATCATACCAAACTTTTTTTTTTTTTTATAAAAAAATAAAAGAAAAGAAAAAAGACTCTATAATAGATTTGTTTGTACATAGAATAGAATAATAAATAGAATCATTTTTATTAAGTAATAGAGGATGATGATGTCTTCTCTTGCTCTTCTTGAGCGACTTGTTTATTTAGGATAATGAAACCTAGTAAAATAAACAAACTACCTATGATGGTTGACATCGGTACCATCACTCCTGTAACAAAAATATCCGTAACGGCCACAGCGGGTATAGTTAACATGACGCCTACAGCAGCGAAAACAGGATTAACAAGTGCGATAACGGCCATAAAGGTTGCGTTATAGATGACACTCATGGAAGCAATAGCCAAGATAGAACCCATCGTCACTCTATCTGGCCATTCAAATTCCTCTATACCTGATAGATGTAAAAGAGGGAAAGGTAACCAAAGAAATAAGAAAGTGACGATACCGATGATACCCGTGATTGTGTTTGCAAATAAGATGGTTGAATGTGAGGGAGAAGGGGAAGCATATTTCTTATAAAAGACTTCATAGAACCCATATAGAGCAGCACCTATAGAGGCCACAACAATTCCCACACATTCCCTTATCGTGCTACCACTACGATCCTCTTCCTCCGAATCTGTTGTTGACCAAAGAGCCATCGTAAGGACACCAATCAAACAGAGTATAACAGCCCCAACTTTTACAGGGACAATTCGATCATGCAACATGAGAATACTAAATAGGTAAGCAAAGAAACAGCCAGTGTTATAGATGGCTGTTAAATTTGACATGGACGTCAGGTTGACACTAAGGTACCATATATAAGAAGGTAACGTGAGCAATGCAGATAAATAGAGGCTCATTTTAAGAATGAAGAAAAGGGGAGAAGGATTGGTCTCTGGTTGATATAACAACAAATCATGAAGAGAACTCTGAAACGATAACTTGTAGTTCTCAAAGGTCTTTACTAATCGTTGGTTTATTGACAATGGTTCATTACTTGAACAATACCATTGTTGTTGAATGTATTCACCTACGAATTGTATTGGAATCATAAAGATATAACAAGAATGACTTATATACCTGAAACAATGTATCAAAAAAGGAGAAGAAGAAAAAGAAAAAAAGACAGACAGAGAGAGAGAGAGAGTAGAAAATAAATAGATAAATAAATAAACAAATCAACAACAAACTACACATATTTACAATATAAAGTAAGGCTTTGAATAACTTGTTGTCTTTTGAACATATTGAGTTAACTCGGTTTGAAGAACAAAAGTAATTACACATATAGTTAACATTAAAGTGGCCAAGATAGACCGAGATTTTCTCTTTCTTTTTGCCATTATTTGAATTGAAGTTTCTCTTTCAATGGGTAATGTTGATGACAGTTCTTCAATAGGAACGGAATGATAAGTTGTCATTGAAAAACCTTTGTGTTTTTAAATAATTGTGTAAAGAGAAAAGGAGACTTTTTTTTTTTTTCTTGATACAATGTTTTAACCTAAAATGAATGACTAAGGAAAAAAAAAAAAGATAAGGCACTATAAATAATTTGTTTAGACATGTGCCAGAAAATTTGTGTACAATTTGTACTTTCATCGGCGTAACTCATCACTTTCTTGTCTCTTAAGAGGTTTTTTTTTTTTTTTTTTTTTTTTTTTTTTTTTTTTTTTTTAGTTTGTTTTCTTCTGTAAAAATTCATTGCTATTCTGTGCTCATTTTGGGGAGTGAGGGTTGTTTGAATTTTATTTTTATTAATAATAGCATGATGAATAACAGCAATAAGAATGATAATTAAGATTTATAAGGGTAAAATTCTATTGGCTAAATAAAAAACAAATTGATTCTTATTGTTATTCGCTATCCACGAGAGCCACTACCACCTGCAAAATCTAAAGGCTTCCTTCTATTAAAAATATCCTTTGGTAATTCTGGTGGCAAATTGGTTAAAATACTTTTATTACATATTAGTCGTGTATGTCATAAAGCATTTATTTTATTTTTCTCCTTCTTCTTACCGCATCATGTTTAACCTCGTCTTTGCTGGATTCTAATCATAACATGTTAAATTGTATTTTCTTCAATTTATATAGTTAACATGTTATTTTTTTTTACTTGTTCTTCTTTAAGTGACAATAAAGCTAACAATGAATATTGTTGAAGTATATTAGCAGCAGCTTGTCTTTCATTTTTGGTTTCATTGTCTTGTCTTTTTGAATGCGGTACTAATTCATTATCATTTAATGACATTTTGTATAGTTAACAGGAAAAAAAAAAAAGAAAAAAATGTTTTTATTTTTTTTTTTCTTTTCTTTTTTTTTTTTTTTTGTTGTTTTACTTGTCTTTCCATGATTCCTAAAAAAATTATTCAAACAACAACAGATGATAGAAAAATAATATTTGCATATAAAAAACCACCTCCTCATACAAACATTATTCTTTGTTTCATACCAGGATTTAAATCTGATTTCATTACTTCAAAAAAGGCACAAGTTGTCTACAATTTAGCAGAAGAACTCAAGGTTGGATTCTTGTCTTGGAATCATCATCAAGACATGACATCAGTGGTAGACTGGTATCGAGATGGGGTATCATTATTATGTAATGATTACGACTATTATTTGATTGGCGCAAGTATGGGATTATGGATATCACTTTTAATTGCTACTACAACGAAAAGGATAAGAGGTATTGTAGGTATTGGGGGTAGTATTGATTTCACTGAGAGATGGCTATCAGAGGAAGCACCGAGTCATGATGCCAATGTGATATGGAAAAGGCCAAGTGAATATGCAGTAGAAGGATATTATGAAATACCCGTTTCATTTCTATTAAATTCTAGACCTGCATTATTATTACAAGGAGAAGAAGATATGATTGTCATTCCTTGTCCGATCTATTTAATACATGGTGAACAAGACAAGGACGTAAGATTTGAAGAAGCTAAAGAGTTTGCCAATCATTTGTTAAAAGGCAGAAATCATGTTTATTTTTATCAAGTGAAAGACGGTGATCATAGACTTTCTAAATCTTCTGATTTAGATTATATTCGTCACAAATTACTAGAAATAATAAAAAAACAATAAGGTGTATTTTTTCCTTTTTTTTTTCTTCTTCTTCTTCTTCTTCCTATTTTCTATTCTTTTTTTTTCCTTTTCCTTTTCCCTTTTCCCTTTTTACCCTTCTTACCCTTCTTACCCTTTTTACCCTTTTAATAAATTATACAGTAGTAATGGGTGTCAAGTATAGGATCTACTTGGATAATAACAATAATATGAATAGTCGAGCTTATAGAATCTATGCTTGTTCAAATTGTAAAAATCATTTAAGTGCAACTAATCTTTTAATATCAAAAGTAATTTTATATTAGCTCTCCACACAATCCATCTTCGTATTTACCATAAAGTTTATACTACAGGATTTTCATGGCTTACATGGAAGTGCTTATTTATTTGAAAAAGTGTACTTTTTTTTATTTTTATTATTATTATTATTTGCATAAATATAAATTTATCATATCCATTCATCACCTACTACTTGTTATATAGTGTGAATATAAAAGTAGCCCAGGAAACTCAAGAACGGTAATATAATATAATATAAGTTTTCCGATATACCCCACTTATATTTATTATTAGTATGATGACAACGGGGAAACATTGCATTAGTTACATTTCATGTAGTAATTGTGGAGAGAATTTAGGTTGGAAATATGCAAGTATTATTTTATTACATTAGCCCCATTTTAACAATAATAACAATACTTTTTTTTTTTTTTTTAGATTAAAGCATATGATACTACGCAGAAATATAAAGAAGGAAAATATATATTGGAAAGAAGTAATCTTCAAACATTAAATAATAACAATTATAAAGAATATTTAATATAATAAGATATATAAAGCGTTAAATAAAAAAAATCAAAAAAATCAAAAAAAAAAAATCTAATACACAAATATTTTTTTCTTTTCTTTTTTTTTTTTATTATTATTATTAAGAAAAAAAGGCATACAATGTGGCAAGAAGCAAAGGCCAATGACAAAAGAGTACTAATCACAAAAGACATATATATTTGTTTATTTACCTAAATAATAAAGTAAAAAAAAAAAATGAATTATATTTTATCCTGTTAAAAATTACTAGATTCGTGAATTGATGGCAGATCATCGAAAAAGGGCTGAAAGAAGACGCGCCTATTATGAATCAAAAGTAAAAGGAATATATATATATATATATATATATATGTATGTATGTACGTATATAGTTTACTAAATTTGCTATTTATTAGCTTGGTGATCCTCAACAATTAATTCGTGTCATTGGTTCTTCATCCAAATTATATCCTGATGCTGAACAGTTTTATTATCATGAGAATCCTGATAATCTGTAAAGTATACAATTCAATTATAATGTTATACATGTTTATTTATCATCATCAAATAGCATGCCTTGGCAAGGGAATCCAGATATTAAAATTGATCGGTAAAAAAATAAATAAATATTACCTAACAGACAGTCAATAAACTGATTTCCTTCATGTATAGTTTTGATGGTCGATCTTTATTAGATTACATACCCGATTCAACTAAAAATAGCTATCAAGATTTCTCTAAAGATGATAAAGAAATATCAGATGAATTAAACTTTGAAAGATATCATGATCTAATAGAAGCAGAACGATTAAATGGTATGTACAAGCATACTATATATTTTACTATGTCTTTTTTTCTTTCTTTCTTTCTAATCACTTTTCGCTATATAGTAAGTGAGACGGAAAGATTGGCGGAAGTAGAAGAAGAATGGACAAAGTTATTAGATCGACACCAAGCAAAGCTTGCTTTACTTAAAAATCAAGAGTAAGTACGAAATTAGATATGCATTATGTATAGTTAATAAACTTAACATGAATCTATAATAGGAGAACACATAGTAAGAACCATACATTTGGTTATGATTATGGTACAGGAAAAGTAAATAATGAAGATCTTTATCAAGATAATCATGACGAAAAAGCATCTAGATTGCTTAAAGATATCCTTTAAATATACATATATACATATATATATATATATATATATATACTATCTATATCTATACATATGAATATCCTTAACTGCTTCTTTTCTCTCTTTTTTTTAAAATATCTACAAGTCGATATTTTACAGTATGTAGATGATTTAACTGATAAAGATAAACAGATTTTGAATGAAATGTCGGGAAAATATGGTATTCGCAGTTATGCTCGACTCTTACGTCTTGCAAAAAAAGATCGTGATGATGAACTACGATCATTAAAACGGCAACAAGAAGAAGGGAAACCAAAGGATGGACTTAGTAAGAGTGAGAGACGAAAGAGGAGACGAAGAAGAAGAAGAAGACATAGAAGAAGAAGAAGTAGAAGTAGAGAGGATAACGATCATTCTTATAGACGTCGCCATAGTCCAACGTATGAACCTTATTATAATCAGGACGATGAATCAGGCTCATCTTATAGTTCATGGGATGATTCAGATGATGATGATGATGATTCTAATCATAGTGATTCTTCCTCTGATAATGCTATTGAGTTTGGATCAACAAGTACACCTGAAGAACATATCATGGATCGACCACAAAAAGAAGAAGAAGAAATAAAAAAGAATAAATCAGTGGAAGTATTGAAATCAGTTCCTACTATAGAAAGGAAATTAACGCCTATGGAAAAATTAAAATTAAAGATGAGAGAAGGTTTAGAGAAACAAATTGTATCTGATGAAAGAGACAGGAGAAGAAAAGAAAGAGAAAAAGAAATAGAGCAATTACAAGAATTGGCAAAAAGTCAGGGACTTCCCATCGATGCTTATTTACGACCTGAACCACCGACACGAGAAAGGATTGAAAAGGAAGAAGAGAAAGAAGATAGAAAAAGATATTATTCGCCCTCTTCTTCAGATAATGAAGAAGAAGAAAAGAAACTGAATAATGATAAAAAAGGATATGACTCATCATCGTCTAATGAAATGAAGGAGAGTAGAAAAAGATATCATTCACCTTCATCATCATCTGAAAAGGGAACAGAAGAAGATTCCACAAAAAATAAAAGGCGATATAGATCTCCCTCAACAAGCAGGAGTCGAAGTAGAGATAATGATGGGAAGAATAAAAGAGAAAGATATAGATCCCCTTCAACTGATTCTGATGATAATAGAAGAAAGGAACGAAAAAGGGACGTTTCTTATAAACGATATACATCACCTTCAACAAGTAATAGGAAATATACATCGTCAAGGAATAGTAGTAGATCCTATTCATCTAGAAATCATAGTAGTAGAAAAGAAAGTGATTATAGGCGATATAAGCAACGATCAAGATCCCCTTCACCACCAAGAAAAAGTAGACATAGTAGTTATTCACGTTATAGATCACCTTCTTTTTAGTGACGATAAAAGAAAGATATATAAATAAGGATTAGTGTTCAAGATATAATAAGTATTAAACATAGAAGCATTGTATACTATTGTTTTTTTTTTTTTTTTTTTTTTTTTTTTTTTTTTTTTTTAAAAAAAAGTGGGTAATAGTAGTACTATAAGTTTATTATATAAATAAGTTTCATATCATAAATATCTTAATCTTCAGTCAAATAGTTATCATCGTCGTCATCATCATCTTCTTCTTCAATTATTGGTACAGTAACAAATTCATTTGTTGGAAGTAGTACTTTATTCAATTTATACCACAGCTTTTTCCCAAACACATTCCAAGCACCTATTGCAAAAATGGCTTCAAGTAGAGTGAATAGAACAATAAAGATGATAGCAGTTAAGATTCTTCTGTGGTACATATAATATCTAATGACATGATGATGTGTTTAATTCCCATGATATTATTTAAATTTTATAATTTAACCTGTACCTTAAACCATGAAAATCAGCTATAACACTTATTTGAGCATTGTAAACTTGTAATTTTGGAGTTGAAAGTGTAACATGAGCTTGAGTGATTGGAGTTGCCTGAATAGAAAAAAAACTAAAATTAGTTTTCTTTTTCCTATTTTTTTTTTTTTTTAATTGTGCCTTTTACTTTTTTCTCGATATAGCTTTCGATTAAAGGAATGTGAATATGTTGGCTTTCATCTGTCCAACCGATTAATAAGGGAATTGATTTTGCTAATACACGAAGTATTCGTTGAGAATAAGATTGATATCGAAGAATAGCCTTGATTATTAAAAAATATAAATATATGCATGTATATTAAAGAAAAAAAAAAGGGCTTTTCTATTCTTTTAAATGCTTACAGGTCTACTAGATTCAATCAATACGGTACCATCAAGTGTTTGTAATTGTGCATATACCATAAAGTTTCCTAAATTGAAATTGATATCTGAGGTAGGTACATGAAGTTGAATTGAGATATCATAGGCTTGTTCATCTCTTAAAAGCTGAATAAGTATGTAAATACAAATAGAATAGATATTATATATATATATATATATATATGTATATATATACCGTTTCTACTGATTGATGGCGAGAATCTACAAAATGAACATGGCCTTGTGGAGTATGAAAACTAGCATCTGGATATTGAAAGTAAATAGGCTCAATATGAGCTAGTTGGGGTATATAACGTTGATAAAAAGTTAAATAAGCTGTAAAGCTTGTTAAAAGAATCCATGCAATTCCAAAGGCTAATACAAGGCTTTGAACTACAGTTTGCTGTGCATAGGGTGCAAATAAGACCCGAAAAATAGGAAGTAAGATTAAATTATTGATGAGTTTAACTATTGTAGTAATGATAGGATGCCATTTTATAACATGATGATGAGATGGATGTTGCTGTTCCTCTTCTAGTTCTTTCAGTTCATCTACATCGTCTTCATCAGGTAATGGTGGCAAAGACGAAAGATCTTCTTCATAATAATTTTGCTTGTATTGTGGTGATGATGATGGTAGAAATCTAAGGTCAGACTTTAATAGTATTAATAAAAAAAAAAAAAAGGGAGGGGAAAGGAACGAAAATATTTTTATACTCCTTACGTTTAATAATTCTTGATCTGAAAAATCGTCTATATCTGAATATGATTTTGGCATTTTTATATGATGTATTAAAGGAGAGGGAAGGGAAAAAAAAAAAGAAAGAGAAAGAGAAAGAGAGAGAGATAAAGTGTATATAAAAAAAAAAGCATGTGAAATACATAGAATAAAAAAACTATTATGTAATTTTATTGTACTACAACAATGTATAAAGTGAATCGACGTGATAGAATTCGCAACGACTGTTTAACCATTCTTGCTCTTTACCAGAATTGATAAAATAATCAAAATTCCATTCTTTCCAAGATAAGAGGTCAAGGTTACCAACATAAATATAAGCCTCTGTAGGAGTTATTACCAAATCAGCCTCTTCTTCTATTACTTTGACTGGCTTACGTTCATATTCCTACATGTTAAATATTTTGTATACATATTATTTGCCACTGTAAATATATAATTTAATTACATTTCCTTCAAAAATATCTAATGCTTGGAGATCGTTTGCTGTTAGATTTTCACAAAGAATACCTTGAACGACATCATCCTTATTACCAGTATAGATCATTGCTGGATATTCTTCACCTTTCAGTGCAGATCTCCCGTACTCCTTTTTTATACATCTTATTAACAAAAGAAAAAAAAAGGGGGAGGGGAGGAAGGAATTAAAACATAAATTCTACCTTTAACCATGTCGGTTTTAACCGAATTGAATTATATTTTAAAAGTCTTTCATCATCTGAAGCATCAGGACCACATAAAACTAATAAAATATCATAAATAGATCGTAATTCAGTCTTTATAAATATGTTTATGTATATTTGTAAATTATAATTAGTCTCAACCTCTTAAAAGTACATTTTTTGACATAAGAGAGCCATAGAAAAAAATCGAATAACTCATAGAGAAAGATACAAGTAAAATAGAATAAAAAAAAAAAAGGGAATCTAAAACGACTCATATAAAAGATGCAATTTGTGTAGTTTTTTTCTACAATTCACGTGGTGCAAACTTTTAAGCAAAATGCAGGTAAACTTCGGGATTCAATTTGCAACTATAATTATTTTTGAAGTGACATCTAGTTATATGAAAGAAGGAGGAAGGATATTTTTTTTCTTTTCCAGGAATTGATAATAAGTACTATATCTTTCGTCACTATACTAGATTAAAGTATGTATATATAAATGCTTTTCTTCTTTTTTTTTCTTTTTCTTTTTTTTCTCTCTCTTTTTACAAAAAAAAGAAAATGTCAGTTAATATTGAAAGGGCAGAAGAAATTATAAATTATGGATTCTTAAAAACTCATCATAAAAAGAATCATAGTATACAAAAGAAACTTTTAAATCAAGTCATTAAACAAGTAAAAGAGAAGCAAAAAACGATTCAAATCTATTTTCAGACTGTCAAAATACTATCTGACAGATATAAAGAGAAAAGAAAACAATTACAAGATTTATTCCATCAACTTGATGAACGAGAGCATAGCTTGAATCATTCCTTGACGAAGATACAATATCAGCAAAAGGAGCTTGAACATCATAGAAAGGAAGTTGAAGATGAATTACAGAATCTTCGAAGTAGAGCAGAGGTATGTCGTGAGAAACGAGCCAGGTATGAGCATAATTATCATACCGTTGCTTCCGTTCCCTTTTTTGCCTCACAATCAAAGAAGCGCTACATCAAGGCTCGTGATAAAAATTCAGAGATAGAGCAACAGATTTCAGAGAAACGTCAAACATTAGATAAGTGTCGAGAACATCTTAAACTTATCTCTAAGGCAGTAGCAGCACAACAGGCAGAAAGGAGTCAATTATTAACAGAAAGAGAGAGATCCTTAAATGCCCTTCACTCCTCTCAGCAACAATTAAACGAGTTAAAAGAAGGTTGTGAGTTTTGGTCGAACTTTGACAGCTATCAAGCACAAGTCGTATTGGAATCAGCCATCTATTTACGAGATCTTTTAGAAGGTGATAATACTATCAAAGAGAAGAAAAAGAAGAAGAAAGGCAAGAAGGATGCTGCTTCAGAGGATAATGTATTGGATATCAACGAAGTTTGGATAAAAACTTTCAGGTTAGCTTGCTTTGAATATGGCGATCATGAATTATATGGTGATATGCACTGGAGTCTTACAAGTTTACAAATTTATTTTGATTGTGGTTTATGTGAAATTTATCAAGTAGGCTGGCCAAAGATGATGACACTAAATCATATTACAGAACTGGCTTGTGAGTTATGTTATAGTACTATTTTAAATAAACAACAACATCATCATCTCTCTACTGCTATTGTTGACACGGCCACAACGACTACAGCTGTTGCTACAGCTATTGCTACCACACATAATGGGTCTCTTATCTCTAGTAATACTTTATTAAAAACTCAAAAGGTCCTTCAGAGTCATAATGGCCATAGTAAAATGAAGAAAATGATGAGCGTTTTATTTAATTATAATCCTAGTAAAATAAACCCTATTATTATGTAAATGAATGATGTTTTTCAGCCTAATTTATTATTTGTTTCATACAAATCTCGGTAAAGTGGCTGCATTGGATATAATTCAAATAGATTAAACACTATATATGACCATGCATGCACACATTTCCATCTTTTTACTGCTCATAGTAAGTAGCAATAGTAGTCATATGGACATGATTTGCACTATAAACACGTCACTTTATTTATTTTTTTTATTTATTTATTTTTTTTTTCTTTCGGTTTTCTAAAATCGCATTTCGTGAGCTTTTGTTTCCTTCTTTTTTCCTTTTTTACTTCTTAAAAATATTCCCCCCTCCCCTCCCAACCCCCTTTTTCGTTTAATAATATTTAAAATAAATCATAACCTAGGATATGAAGATATTATCATTAACAACCCTTGTTGCAACTTTATTAACAAGCGTTTTTGGTAATTAATTAAAAAAAAAAAAAAAAGAAAATTTAAATGCAATTAATACTAAATCAAAATTATTCTCTTTCTCTCTCTCTCTCTCTCTCTCTCTTTCGCTCTCTTAAATTAATAGCACGTTCTTCTGTTCATGTTATATCTAATGAAGAAAAGTTTTCACCAAACCAACCTGAAGTTTCATTAAATGCTTTTTCCATGTTTTATTCACATGTGATGGACAGTTCTTCTAGTCAACCTGCTTATTTACGTTTACAAGATAAGACTGCACAGATGGAAGAAATTGATACTATTTCAACATTCTTTCCTCAATCGAATAATGTATTTGAAAAAAAGGTGAATGGTAATTTGGTTATTATTATTTCTGGCGTTAAAGCACCTGAAGGTAATATATACACATATATCTACATATATTTTTTGGTACCTTAATTTTTTTTTTTTTTTTTCATTTCATTTCATTTCATACTTATTTATTTGTTTATTTATTTATTTATATAGACTATGAAGCTTCCTTTTATGTTTCTGATGATAAAGCTAAAAATTATGCTTCTTTGATTAAAGAAACTGTTAATCAAGTAATTGAAAATAATCATGATATTGCTGCTACTCTATATAAGAATCAAGAGGTAAGAAAAAGTAAATCATTCGTATATTCTAAAGCAGAAAAAAAAAATAATCTGAAACGCGTTTCTATATTAGGCTGTAGTGAAGTATAGTACAAAACCTAATAAAATGGTTACGTCCCAATTTGATAATGAAGATCTTTCTTATTATTTCAATAAAGACTTTTCTGACTTTTATACTGAAATTTTTGATATCAAAAAAGAGGTAAAGATAAATAGACATAGGTATATCCACTGTAGAAGTAGAATATTCATCTATTTTTTTTTGAAGGCTGATAGAAAGTTTATGACTGAAGTCGAGATGATTAAAGAGTTATCTTCAAATGAATCAAGCAATATGATAAAAGTGTTTGAAGTGGATAGCTTGCAAGTAAAGTATCGGAATATATACTGACGTAAAATAGAATATAGACATTCATACCCTTCTATCTATTTAGGCTCTTGCTCATGAATATGGTATAAATTCGAAACAATATAAAGAAGGAGAAATGATGATGAAGGAACTTGTTGAAAAAATGGTTGTACCCAATTTTCAACACACAATGACTCGCGGTATGACGATCTTGATTTTAACTCCTTATAACAACGACAAACAGGAGAAAAATAGTAAGCGTGACATTAGATTGTCTCTCCTTGCTGTTGAAGAAGGAGCTTCCTGTTACAAGACATTGGAATCATGCAAAAATAGTACTTCTGACTGTAATGGTCATGGTCAGTGCGTCAAAGTTCAGGAGAAGGAAGAGTGTTATGCCTGTCAATGTCAACAAGCATCAGCTACTAAGAAATACATAGGTGATTCATGTCAATTTATTGATGCTGTTGGTGACTTTCAATTATTATTTTGGACAAGTGTTTTATTAATCGTCATTACTGCTAGCGTTGTTGTTTGCGTTTATCAAAGTGGAAATATTATTGATGGTGGTATTATCATGACTCAGTCTATTCCAAAGCAAGATTAGTAACAACGTCTTTATACAAATAAACAAATAAAAAAGTATATGTTATATATTATAATATTTTATTTTTTGAATGTGTCGTTTTATAAATATTAAAATAATACTAAGAAAAAAAAAGAAAAGAAAACAAGTGAAAGGAAAAAAGGGGAAGGAGGGGGGGGGTAAAGATTAAGGATAAATCAAATATTAGGGTAAAGATTCCTCTATTTTTTTTTAACGGAATGAAAGGAGATGATGGAAGAGGGGGTTATCTAGAACCAAAGATAAAAGGCTTTATTTTATTTTATTTTAATTGCTAACAAAGAAAAGAAAGTGATTGATTATTAGTGATTAAAAGCATGAGTTTTTGTTCTGTTTTTAATAAATAAAAAAGAAAAGAAAGATCAAACATAGAATATTTATGGTCTTGCATATGAATAAGGTAAAGGAAGTCTTGTGGGTAGAGGTGCAACTAAGGCTGGTAATTGATGACGGTGAAGATAAGAATTAGGATGACGATGAGACAGATGTAAACTACTTCGACGATGTACATTATCCTCTGATAATCTGATAGAAGAGGAAGGTGGCGAAGAAGGTAACCAAGCAGAAGAATTAGGCGGTGTGATAGGTGGTGATAGCATCATTATATTATTATTATGAGATTTCATATTAGTACCTGGAGGAGGCAAATTCTTAATTGCAGTGATCTGCTTATCAGTACTAGTAGAAGAATTATTTCGAGATTTACGAATTCCCTGAAGGGTACGATATCTGTTGAAGCAAGTGGCACGTTTACGATGTGGTAATTGACTGGAGATTTGACCCCACGTTAGTCCTCTCGCTACTCCTTCACATATAATTGAATCTTCAATATCTGAAAAACGACTACGTGGTTTACCACCATTATTGTTTATACTCGTAGAGGTACTATTGTTACGTTTTGTTTTAATGATTGGCTGGCGGTCGTAATGATCTTCCTTTCGTTGTTGTTGTTGTGGTGAAAGTGGTGGAGAGGTAAGTTGACCAATAGCAGTTGGATTAAGCATATCAGCGACTAGAAACAAATTAAGTTGAAACCAATGAATAAAGTTTAGTTTTTTTTTTTTTTTTTTTTTTTTTTTTTTTTTTTTGTTACAATGAAATAAGCTTACCCTTCATTTTATTTATTTATTTGTTTAATGCTGCTTTCTTTTCTTTGTGTGTGTTTTTTAGTTATACTTTATATTGTTGTTATTTGTTTAAAATAATCGTTGCTTGTTATAAATAATCAAAAGTAAAGTAAGGAAAAAAAAAAGAAATATTTATAGATGTATTGAGATGAGTAAAACGCTTTATTTTATATATTCATATAAATCAAGGGGTTAGAAAGAATAAGTTAAAATAACTTCCGCATTTAGGTAAATGTATATATCTGTGATAAATTTTTATATCTTTATTTGACAGCATGCTTAGAGGATAGGAAAACAGACAAAATGATAAAGCCTAAAATCCTAATAAACAATAATTTACAATTTTTAACCCTTTTAGGAGTCTGTTTGTACATGCACAAGACTCAGACTTAAACGTATGTATATGAATGTAAGGCCTTTTTTTTTATCTTCTTTCTTTTCTTTTTTTTAGGGGAACAAAAAGAAAAGAAAAAAAAAAGGCAGAAAGGGGTTTACTAGAAATATAAAATCAATAAATATTACATTATTTCTTTTTAATTGCATTTATACAAATTCGGTTTCTATTAATATGACAATTAGAGCCTTAATCGTATCTAGAGCTAGTAAGCAGTCTACAGTCTATTATTAAGACTAAAAAGTATCATATATACTCTAGATACATTTTTATTATCTTGTTTATTTGTGTATATTTATATGTGTATACATATAATACAATTTATGTACCATTTGTAAACGAAATTATACTTTTTTATTTACATGTAACGAATATCATGTTTATTGGTTGAAATAACATAATTTGAAATAAGGAATGTAATAATTATATAACGAAAATAGTAAATATATATCTATATATTTGTTCTCTTTATCCCATTTTAGTTTACGCAAAGCCTTTAACGTTTATTAAATATATTTCATTCTTTATAATAATACGATGATATAAGAAGCTTGAATTATAAAATACTTTCCCCTCCCCTCCCCCCCAAAAAAAAGGAAAACTAAAGGCAGTCTGTGATACTTATGCAAATAATAAAATATCCACGTATTTTTTTAAAGTTACAGTTATTTTCTTCCAGCACAAGAGATTAATTAAGGCGGTATTTTTACTTACATATGCTTCATTTTTTTTTTTTTTTTTATTGAAATACCCCTAGCCCTCCCTTCCTTCCCCCCCCTTTTTTTTTTCTTTTTTTCTTTTTTTTTTTTTTTTTTCTTAAGAAAAAAAAGGCAGGAGTTTCTATTAAAAAAGGCCTATAGAATGTAATTTTATGTAAATAAATAGATTTATTCTTTTATATTTACTTCATATATAAATACATACTTGATATATGTGCATATTTTAATATAATCATTTTATTATGTCATTATTATTTATTGCGTTACGATTAAAGTCAATATCTTTTTCGTTGTCATTTATTGTTACATGAATGAATGGGGTATAGGGCTTTTTATTTACTACAAGTAATATATCTATTGATTAACTAACTTACTATAATAATAAGCCCTAAAATATATTATTACTATGAATATTGCATGTTTTATATCTTGTATATCTATTTATATGTAATGATTTTCTTTTTCTTTTTTATTATATAATTATTCTTCCATTGCATCCTCTTCATCTTCAGATTCAATTTCCAATTCTCCTTCAGCTTCTTCTTCAACTTCTTCAATATTTTCAGGTACAACTTGATTAATGATTTGAATAAGCTCTTTTGAATGCTCATACATAGCTTCATCATCAGATCCAACCATATTATACAACTAATAAATACGTATACGTTGTATGTATGTAAATATAGATGTAAATGTTTATAGGTGTATACATGTATATATGTATATACATATTTATATACACATTTATAGATAGATAGATATATATATATAGATTACCTTGACAGCTGTTTCCAAACAATCCCTTGCATCTGCCCATAAAGTGATTCTTTCTTCTTCTGTTCTTTCTTCGTCATCACCCAAGCAGTAATAAGTCCATCCATAGAGATACCATAAATCAACTACTTCATCATTTTCCTTTTGTAAATTTTCCAACACCATAAAGGCCTGCTCAAACATGCTAACTTCAAGTAATAATTTGACTAGAGCCAATCTGGTGTCATAAATGGGTATCATAGGGTCACCAGGCTCTTTATGAATCCATAATTCCATTGACTTCATTAATGCTGAACAGGCTTCTTCGTTACGTTGTTGACTTAATCTTACTGAGGCTAATAACTGATATGTTTCCGGATATTCTGGATCAAATTGTTGTGCCTGACTTAAATATTCTTCACATTTTTGCTCTGCTTCAGGTTCAAAACTAATAAATTATAAAATAAATATCTTTGGGAAAAGAAAAAAAAAAAAAAGGGGGGGGAGGCTTTCTCTTTACCAACAATCAGTCAAATAAATTTCTGTCATGGAACATAAAGCACTTGAAAGTTTAGAATTTAAAAGTCTCATTTCTTCGGAATCAGCAGAAAATTTACTTCTTTCTGTAATCATCAAATTAACACCTTTTTGGAATGCTTCAATAGCCTCCTTTTCTATTGATAATTGTCCCAAATACATATATTTGCTATAACTTGTATTAGGCTCTAATTGGATGGATTCCAATAAATGCTATAATAAATGTTCAATAATAGTATGCTTTTATTTATTTATTTTTTTTTTCTTCAAAATATAATTTTTACCTGTTTGGCTAACTCAAATTGACCAAGTTCTAATTCAACCTGTCCTGTCATCTCTAGCATTTCAGCATTATGAGGCTCAAGTTCTAAAGCCTTTTGACAGAATTTATATGCTGCTTGATACTCAAGTTTATCAATGTTTTCCAAAATTTTTGGTTTTAAATCCTCTACTGTATAATTAACCGACATTGAATGACAAAGAATAATATTTAAACCTTTTTTTTTTTATAAATATATCTCATCAAAAGAAAGAATTATGTAAATTAAATTGGGCGAAAACAAGTCACAATAAAGGTCCAATCATTCTAATGATTGCAAAAGCCACGTAGTGCAAGAAGCCTACAAACATGAGTATGCCTCGGAGGATTCATTATAATAAGAATTACTAGACTTGATAGTCAACACTATTTCAATGAATAAGAAGAAAGATATATATATATATATATATATATATATATGGATTCACCATCTTGTATGTTGTATAAGGCTAACCCTTTTAAAAAAAAAAAAAAAAATAGCATATACGCACATACACATTACCAATAAGATTTTGAATAAAAATAATAATTTAATAGGTACTGTTTTACTGTAGATCAAGTTTCTCTATTATGTTAAGTGTAGCTTCTTCTTTTTTTTTAGATATATATATATATAGTAAATGCATAATATAACAATATATAAGATTTCAAAGTATGATGGCAAGGCAATGTTAGCATACCAAGATAAAAAAAAAAAAGTTATAAAGCATTTAAATATAAATATATTATTGGACTGAAGCACTAGATATAATTTGTATTTACTTTTACTAACTTGAGCATATTCAATGCGTATCATTGATACTACTTAGTTTACTAGTACACAGTAATGTACAGTGTAATATGAGTGTTAATAAATAAATTACAACCTCATAATTATCAGTTACTATCAAAGAATGATAGTTATTTTACTATGAATTATCAATTTTAAAGCTGTATTCTTAAGTAAGTCTTTACAAAGATACTTTATCTTCAATAACTCAGCATATTCTAATCTGTTACAATTAACTTATATATAAAGGACAAAATAAAATACAAAATACATTTATTTATTAGGCTACTAAGAATGGCTCAAGCATTATTTTTTTGTGCGCTCTGTTCCTAAATATAATATAGTTTAGTTTAGTCTTTCTCTTTCTTTCTTTCTTTCTTTTAGTAATATTTGATCTCTCCTGCATCTGTTGTTCTGTGTGCCTTTCACTTTAACAAAATTAGTTTATTGCTGCACTCTAAGTCTGTTTGAAAATATGCTAGTTAATAGAGACATTGCTCTTCTTCTCTCTTCCATTAAGCAATTTGCAACAGCAAAATATGTTATTGTCACAAAGCAGAATATGACATTTAAAGTAAAAGTTAATAATCTCGCATGTGAAAAAGGCCAAATCTTATCCTTAACTAACTTTTGTATAAACTGTATCTTTTTGTTAGCCATTATTATTTACTAATGAAAATAAAATAAAATAAAATAAAATAAAATAAAATAAAATAAAATAAAATAAAATAAAATAAAATAAAATAAAATAAAATAAAATAAAGGAGGAAAAAGGTAATAAGCATGTGTTTGATTCTCTGTAGAGTGTTTTAAACAGATGCAGCACTAATTTGGAATTGAGGAGAAAAGGATTCTCCACTATAAAAAAAAAAATGTCAAACTCATCTATGATATTTAAACAATAAATAATGGACTACTTTACCTAACACCTCCAATATTATAGACATATTGGAATGCATAAGTTCCTTCAGTAAAACTTTCAGGTACCTTTAATAAATAGAATACTCTTAGAAAACTGCATTATTATTTAAATATTATTATTATTATTTACAGTCCATGAATAGTCTCCTGCTTTACCATTAGCAGTTAACTCAACACCAGTATTTTGCATCAATTCTGGATTTGATCCTTGAAGGACATAGATTTTGAAAGGACCATCAAGACCATTACGCCACTCTAAAAAAAAAGAAGAGTAAGAATGAACACTTAATACTGATTATGTATGATAATAGTTACTAATGCATTACTTACTTGTAATGGCGCTATTAGATAAACACATTAATAAATCTATTTATACTCTTGTTAAATAAATATATCATATTACTTACGATGTTCCTGTTCTATAGACAGTACCATTAAGAGGAGCAGTAATATAAAAAGGAAGAGTAGAGGGATCAGCAAGGGGTAAAGCAGAAGAAACGCTAATAAGGGCAGCACAAACAATACCAAAAAGTTTCATTCTTATTATAAGTTAAATAAATAAAAGAGTACAATAATAAAAGAAAGAAAAAAAAAACCTAAAAACAAAGGTAACTTCTTCTTTAATTTATACTTTTTTTTTTATTGAAATAAAAATGAATCAAATCAAAAATATCTCCTAATATGTGTACATCTTTTCTCCTTATCATATTCTATTTTGTAAAGGAAAGCTCCTTTTCTATGTTTAGTATTACTATTTTCAAATCTCCATAGGATGTGGTTTCCATTCCCTTTTTTGAATTTTATTTTCTTTTAATACAACATTATTTATCTGTGATTCTTCTACAGTGGAACCTAAATCAACTTCCTTGGGTATTGTAATAACCTCACAAATTTGTTTATCATTCTTCCAGGCATCAGCAGCTATAGCTAGCGATGATTTTTGCCAATGAATGTGAGTAAAGGTACTATCCATAGGAAAAGCAAAAAAAAAAAAAAAAAAAAAAAAAAAAAAAAAAAAAAAAAAAAAAAAAAGCGAGAGAGAGAAAAGTTGTCTCCTTTATTTTTTTTTTTTTGGTTTCTTGAATAATATAATGCAAGCTGTCGGACTATCACGTGATTATCCGAACTTCTTTCTTTTTTTGCTCAAAGGTGTTTTTTTTATCCCCGACCTCTTTCCTAAAAAAAAAAGCAATATAGTGGTAAAGTAAATGAATGATTAGAACACCCTCTTTTTCATTATAGCCAAAGGTAAAATAACCAACAGAAGAATCGAAATGATCATCTCAAAGGAATGGATGGATAAATGCATATATATGTATAACTATTTTGTATGAATTAAGTAATGGATTATCCAGAAGTCAATTTTTTTTTTTTTGAGAAATGTCAAACAGGGCAATTACGATTATAATTTGATTTATTTATTTTTTTTATCATCGAATCATATAAACAAGTCAAATGCAGCCGAGTTATATATATAATTCAGAACAAAAAAAAAGTAGTTCATAGTTGAAAAAAAAACTAGTTCAAGATGACAGTATTTGTATAATTCAATGTGAAGAGTAACAATTTAATAATCATCGGTATTAATCAGTTAGTATATGGTGTCGCTGATTGACAACAAGCTTATTTTTATTTTATTTTATTTTTTACTATATGCAGTAAGCAGTATGCAACAAGCAGTATGCAGTAATTTTTGGAAGCAAACAGTGATGATTTATTTATATACATATACATATATATAGATATACATATATATATATGCATTTATACACCTTTCTTATATTCGATGATCATTTTGAATGTGTTTTCAGGATAGAGTAAAGAACTGATAGAAAATTATTTCAATTTCTCTCCTTTTATATACATATATTTATAGCTACAAATGTCACACGCACCTAGAAATAGCTTCCTCGCTCCTGGCGTTTCTCGCTTCTCCCGTTCTGTTGTCTACTCCAAGAAGGCTCAGTACAAGCGTAAGCAAACTGCTGTTGCTGCTCCTGCCAAGACTGCTGCTGCTGATAAGACTGTTGAAGTTAAGGGCGCCAAGAACGGTAACAACCGTGTCATTCCTGCTCAAAAGGCTGCTCGCTTCTACCCCGCTGAGGATGTTCCTCAACCCAAGGTCACTCGTAAGACCGCTAAGAAGACCGCTTTGCGTTCTTCTATCACTCCTGGTACCGTTGTCATCCTCTTGGCTGGTCGCTACCGTGGTAAGCGTGTTGTTGTCTTGAAGCAACTCGACTCTGGTCTCCTCCTTGTTACTGGTCCTTTCAAGGTCAACGGTGTCCCCTTGAGACGTGTCAACCAAGCCTACGTTATTGCCACCTCCACCAAGATTGATATGTCTGGTGTTAAGGTAAATAATATATATATAAATATATATTGTAAGTATGATATTTATGGGTTACTTTTAATAGGTTGATGAAAAGTTCAATGACGCTTACTTCAAGAAGTCCGCTGCTAAGGCTGAAAAGGCCTTCCTTGAAGGTGAACAGGTAAGAAATGATTGCTAGTTTTTTTTTTTCTTAAAAATGAAATGAATAGTGTAGTAACAATAAATATTATTTTATAGAAGAAGGCCGCTTTCCCTGAATCCAAGGCTGCCGATCAAAAGGCTGTTGATAAGGCTATCCTCGAAGCTGTTGCTAAGACTCCTTTCCTTCGTCAATATTTGGCTTCTACTTTCGGTTTGACTAAGGGTCAATTCCCCCATGATATGAAATTCTAAATTCATTAAAATTTAAATAATTATTTTTTTTTTCATAAATGATTTATTTGTTTTATTATTTCATGACTTTGGAAAGTAATACATATGATTTAACTTTCTTTATTATTATTTCACTTTCACTTTCTTTTTTTTCACATAAAAATATTGAATGATATGGTCATTATGTGCAGGGAGAAAAGAGGAGAAAATCACGGCTTTTAGAATCTTGAGATAATAATGATGATCATTTGCACTGTGACGAGAGGGAGGAAGAAAGTATAAAAGGAAGAGTGAGAGAATCCAGGAATAAGAATAGGAATAGAAAAAGAAAAAAGAAAAAAGAAAAAAAAATGAATAAAATAGGTCTATCTGCAATGTTGATTCTATTATGTTGCGGTCTATTATTGATTATATTAACACAGACTTCTTTTGCTTTAAAGAGTTCATTCGATTATGAGGATATTAACACAATGATTTCCTTTGGTGATTCTTATACAACAAGATATTTGAATATGGAATCGTTAACTTATGCTTGTAGAAATTGTACTTCAGCTGGAGGCCCTAATTGGGTTATTTATTTAACAGATACTACAAAATGGATCAGTTGGGATTTTGCCTATAACTCAGCACCTGTCAATAATCGTTATGTAAACCAGGTCATATAAAAAAAAAAAGCACCTACGTTTGTTGTTGATAATAATGATTATTTTTAGGTTCCATCGTAAAGTGGGAGGGGTGTGTGTGTGTGTGTGTGTGTGTGATAATGTCATCACAAGTCAATGGGTCATCTTACATAGTGGGTTTTTTTTTATTCTAAACTGTATATGATAATAGGGTCATTGATGTTAGTTTACAAATTCGTGATTTATACAAGAAAACATTTGTGACACCCAACAAAGCCATTTCTGACATGATTCGTTCATTTTATAATAAAGGCATAAAGCGTACGTCCAAGTCAACTTTAACGACAATTTGGGTTGGTATTAATGATATTGATTTAACATATAACTGGAATCAAACAAATGCTCTTGATTTACACATTATGCAAGAATATGAAAGCCTTGTAGTAAAGTATACCGAGTTTATGTGTGTATGTTATTCTTATTAAATAAATTAAAAAAAAAAAAAAAAAAAAAAAAAAAAAAAAAAAGAACGAGCTAATTATAATAGGAAAAGAGAGGCAGTTTGTACTCATGAATATACCACCGCTTGATCGTGCACCAATGTGGTATCACACAGTAAATGAACAATTGATCAAGTCTCGTGTAAAAAGTGAGTTAGTCATATCAAAAGAGGCTCCTTCTATTTCCTAGTTCTCATGTCTTTATATAAATATAATAGACTATAATAAACAGTTAACAAAGATGATACAATCGTTAAGAAGAGAACATTTAAACAAACATCTCACATTTATGGAATATGATGCTTGGACCTTTTTTAGCCAATTATTAGATAATGCAAGTCAATTTGGAATCACTGACATTGATACATATTGTTCTGATTGGTGAGTTTATTTTATGATATAATGGTCTTCTTCATTACATAATCCATTATTGATACATTATGTTGTAAAGGTCTCATCCTATTGAAAATAACTGTAAGCCAATTGCCGAGTAAGTTAAAGAAAATGTATATAAAAGAAGATATTTAATAAACAAAAAAGGTATTTCTGGTTGAATGATCTTCATCCTACGTTTCGAGTCCATGAGCTTTTGGCCAAAGATATTCAAAAATACCTTGTTCATGCTTAATAATACAACAACATGGTTTTTATTACTGCTGTCTTCAGCATCATTGCTGAAACTAAAATAATAAACAAAAATATCCTGTAATAAAATTGTTTCAAATTTTTTTTTTTTTTTTTTTTAAATCGTCGTTGTCGTCGTCGTCGCGTCGGTTGTTTCTCTTATAAAGATTTTTTAACTTACAACATAAATAAATTTATATTTTTTTTTCTTTTATTTTTATTTTTATTTATTTATTTTTTTTTTTATAATAAATATAAAAATAAATAATCAAAAACTACTGTCTCAATAAACAAATAAAGAAAATTACTTAATCTATGGGCGACACTTTCTTTGGGTAAAGATGCAATGAATTAAATTCGAGATTACAAGATTAATTGTTATTTTTTCTTTTCTCTTCCTTTCTTTTTTTTTTTTTTTCATTATTTGTTTTAGTTTCAATACCAATTTACCGCCTTTAACGAATGAAGAATTTCGTGCATTGGCTGAACAAGGCATAGACAAAAATAAGGATTCAAAACAGACCGAGACTTATGATAATGTAGATGCTGACGTGTATGATTTTGCTGCTTTACGTCAAGAATTCGGTGTTGATGAAGACCAAGAAGAAAATGATGGTCTCGGTGATCAACTTATCGAAGAAGGTGATGATTACAATGATTTAACTTTTGGTGATGATCCTGTTGGTAGGTAGATTATATATATCATATATATAGATATATGTATGTGTGTGTGTGTGTGTGTGAACAGATTAAAGAGGAGGGGTGGAAGGGAAATTTGAAGAGACTTGTTTTATTTATTTTCATGTTTAGGACAAGACTTTGATTTTTCTGGCAATACACAACGTTTTACTGCCGGAATTACAGATGAAGAAGCCTTTTTCGTTAAACGTAAGCCGCAGAATGATCAACAAGGTAATAAAATTATTAAAACAATGGACGAGGACAAGGTGTTAAACTCTTTTCTTTTTTTTTTTTTTTTTGTAGCTAAACAAAGCTCTTTTCATAATTTTTGGTCAGCTACCCCAGTTCGTCATGCTGGTATAGGAAGAGGCTTTGGAGAAGTAAATATATATTTATACATATAGATTTGTCTGGAGTGAAGGGTATATATTAACTATAATTGTTTAGGCATCTCCTATTTCATCTTCTAAATCAATTTGGGGCAATTTTACCAGTGGCCTTTCTCCTGGTAAGATTATTTATTTTCTTCTCTTTATATAAATATATATATTAACTTTTTGAATTGTAAAATAGCTGATAATACAGGATTTTCATCTTTGTCTAGCAGTCAAAGTAATTTATCGCCATTTTTGGTTGCTAACAGACAAGCCATTCGTCCTCAACAGCAACCACAGCAATCATTTATGGACGGTATGTCACCTACTATTTCTGCTGGTTTTCCTCAACAGCAGCACACACCTCAGCAACAACAACAACAACCATCTCATCAACTCCGTCCTGTTACTCTAGAAGATATCGAAGCTGATATTCAACGTCAACAGGCTGCTAATCGTTACCGTATGAATAGCGAATCCCCCTTGATGAATGGTAAGCCATTAAGTTTAGCTGATCTGGAAGCTGCCCTTACAGCTGGTAATCCTCGTTCTCAACAGCAAATGCAACAACAAACATCTGAACATGGTATGTCTCCCTTTGGTTTCGGTCAACCAGATCCCATACAGATTTTAGCCATGAAGCAACAACAGGAATTGAAGGAACAACTTTCTATTGCTAGAGAATTGAAGCGTAGGGAATTGCAACGCAAGGTAATAATGAAAGTTAAAGGAAAATAATAATAATAATAATAATGTGTACTTATATATTTATATACATGTATATATAGTCTCAATATGATGGCCTCATGACACAGCATGATAAGGATCTCGTCAATCGAATTCAACTCTCTCAATTGGCATCTGGTGATCCTTATGCGGATGATTTCTATTATCAAGTTTACACTTCACTCCGTCAAAGTGCTGGCTTACCTTTGCAACCTACGATGATGACGCATAATAGTAATACAAATGAAAATGGTCGTAGTAATGGTCGTGGTCGTCGTGATGAGAATATGATGCAACGTATGCAACAACAGTTACAACGTATTGTGAATGAAGCTAAGCGTCGTCCTAAGCAAACTCAAGTTTCCTTGGAAGGCGCTTTGGGTAAGATTACTTCATTAACAGTACGTAATCCACGTCAGGTATTGCAAGTACCTCAAACTTCCGGTGGCAGCAACCATATCTCTTCTTCTGAACCAAACACACCTAAATCTGACCATGTAACTAACTCTCTTAGTGCTTCTTCAGCTTCTCCCGGTATCATAGATAGACGTCATGTTCTTAAGATTATTGAAGATATGTACATCATTGTTCTTGAATTAGAACAAATGCGCCGTTGTGGTCCACAATTCTCTTCCTCTACTGAAGAAGAAGGAGAGGAGAAAGATGATTATAAGGATCCTGTTGATGCCTTTAATGAAAAATATGCAGCTCGTGTTGAAAAGCTTTGGAAAGCATTACGTTTAACCGAAACTGCTGAGGTCCCCTTTGTGATCTCTATGCTTGGCATTGCGAAGGGTAAAAAATTAATGCCACGTATCATACGTCAATTAAATCATGATCAAGACTTGACTCTCTTGACTACGGTGATCGGGCATTTTACTAAATTACAAGTTTGCCGTTATGTTATCTATCCTGGTACAACTGTTGCTAATGTAGATGAAGCAAAGAAACAATTATTTGTTACATTTGAAGATGTAGAACTCTTTATGAATACAGCTGCACCCCCTCTTTTGGCATTTATTGCAGAGGCACCCTTACGTATTATAGATGGATTACTTCAATTCATGTTGGATAAGAATGATATTCTGATGATTGCTCAAACAAAGCCAGGCTTAGCCTTCTTGACTATGCTCTTATCCCGTGCAGAAATTTTAAAACAAGGTGGAGGATCATTACAAGGCTTACCACCTCCTACACCAGAAGAAATTAGCCGTTGGCAGGAACTCTATGGCAATCTCTTCAATTCTCTTAAAGGTCGTTATCTTGCTATATTCCCTTCATTATATTACTTGGTTCCACTTAATCCTAATACACCTATGATGCAATTATCTCTTGCTGTGGATGATATGTATGTATGGCAATTCTTGGCTGCAATGGCTGTAGGTGCTTCAATGGATCAACAACATATTTTAGTTACAGAAGTCAGGTAAAATGCATTAGAAATAAATGAATATATTAAATTATAATGCTTATACATGTATATAGGGATCGAGTCATGGATAATATTGTACTTGCAAAGAGAAATCGACTTCCTCTTGAACAAGCTAGCCATCGTATTTCTAATGTTAATTTGTTTTTGCATGCTTTGGGTCTTGATGCATCTCAAGTTTCCATTCCTTTGTAAATCTTTCTTTTTTCCTTTTATACACTACATTTTTTTTTTTTTTTTTTGTATTTCTCTCTCTCTCTCTATCTCTCTCTATCTTTTTTTTTTTTTCTTGTTTTTTTTTTATGTATATATATATTTAACAGGTTATATACATACATTTATATAAAATGAAAATAATTTATAGCAACACATAATATACAACAATTTTTATTGATATAGGGTCTATGTACTATATATAAATATCTTCCATAAATTTAAGATGTTTTCTTTTGTTCTCTATTATAGTATACCAATAATAAATGAGAAAATAAGGGTATTTTATACAAATATATAATAGAAATTTACTTCCCAATTGTCTTTCTATTCTTTTCATAAAAAAAGAATTGTATAAAAATCTAACAAAACAAAATTAATAATGAATTCCAAGCTTATACATCAATCACTTACAGTGAAGTCAAATAGTAAAGTACCACAACTTCCTATAATCCAAGATAGATTCATTAAAACATAAGTATAACTTGTTGACTTTAATAATATTGACTATAAATATTAAAAAAAATACACATTAGTCTTTAACATACATACAAATGTCATTTCATTTTTACCAGAGTAAATAAACAATTGCCCATGACAGCACAAAGAAACATCCCTAAACTTAATCCTTCTGTACTCTTGTTTTTCCAATTTTTTATTATTTGTGGCACACGACTCCCAACGTAAAGTATAGCACTTGCCCACCCCATCAACTGAGGAAACCATTCTAGTCCATTAGGATGATTAACAGTAGTATAATGAATTATATAATAGGCATAACAAGATATCACGGTCACCAAGACAATAGAAAATCCTGAAATTAAATTAAAGATTTGAATTCTTCTTCTATTTACTTGGTTACTATAAAGCGAGTTGGAAGATGTTGTTGAATAAGATGTCGTAGGATCTTCTGTCGTAATCAATAATGCTCTTTCAGTTGTAAAGACTTCTTCTTCTTCTTCTTCCTCTCCATCAATGACTGATCTTAGTCTATTGTCTTGTTGTCTGTAATAAATAACTTGCCAAATTAAACCCATATCTGCTATTGTGTAATATAAAGCGAGTACAAACTGTACAAATATGTAATGACACATATCCATATATAAACATATTTAATTATGACAGTTTTTATATATATGTATATACAATAACAATTTCAATTTACCATTGTCACTAATAGATCTTGCATAATGACACCTATTAAATTAAAAACATCACCAGCTAGCCAAATAACAAGAAACGTCATTGAAAGACCATCTCCACTCTTACGTCTGTAGTTTTCCCATAGTTGTCTACAAAATGGGCAAGTTTTAGAAAATACATGGAATGTAATAATTATAACATGTCATTTACGGTGTGAAGACTATTAGCCAGCATAAGATAGATAAATAACCAGCAATGGATGAAGCTAATGAATGATCCATTAAATAGAAAATAAATATTAAAAAAAAAAAAAAAAAAAAAAAAAAAAAAAAAAAAATTAAATGAATGAATAATAATAAATATGCTACATGTTTCAGAATATTAATTTTATATTGTTATCATAGACAATTACTTTTTCATCTTCTTCTTTTGCACCAGTCACTTGAAATAATTATTATTCGTCCTTGAATATAATTGGATAATATTATAGTTCTATTTTTCTTCTTTAAAACACTTTGTATACTAGAGAGAAAATAGGATAAAGGTTCATTGTAAATCAAATACTCTTTTCTACATTATTCCATGACTAAATTTGAACCAGTGATTTTATGATGATAATAAATCAAGCATGTCAAGTTTTTAGACAATTAAAAAAAAAAAAAAAAAAGTACTTAAATAGGGCAAATAGTAAAGTTAAACTTATTTTAAACTATCAAAATATTGCATAATAATAATTAGGTTATATGATAATAGTCTACAGTCAATTTTAATAAAACATAGCATAGTTTTTCTATTCATAATGCAGACTCTTATTTTATTTTATTTTATTTTAATTTCTCGCTTATGTGTATCATTATGCTACCCAATAATAATAATAATTAGTGTGCTCGATAATACTTTCTGTATCAACTATTAGAGTGAACAATTTATTACATATTCAGTGAGGATACTGTATAACACATGTAGGAAGTATATTGAATAAAATTTGATCCTGTAGATGGAAGCCTGGTAAAAATATACAAACTGTCGAGGCTTGCAACTTGTTAGCTTTGCAAATGAAACATGTTTAAATTCATAAGGTCTCCCTTTCTGAAGCCTATTTAGTTCTGAGACGCTCAACCAATGTGGTAGTATAAATGAGAGCTGATCTTTACAACGTAATGTTATGGAGACATAAATAATATTTATTTCTTCGCATTTGATGGAGCTTATGGGAGAAGGTAAGATATATAAATATATATATATATTCATTCACCTACGATTTATTGGCAAGTTCTGCACATCAATTGTATGCTATAAAATGGTCAGCATCATGTATCTAACTTGTTTAGCAGAAAAAGATCTACTAAATATTCTAGTAATACGTCTCTTGATGTGCTGAATAAAGATATTAATCCTATATCATTCGATACATGTTTAAAAATAGCTGTGATAGAGTTTTTTCCTTTTTTTTTTGGCAGAGATGGAAATTATATTAGGTCCATAATTGCTTACTAAACACCTGTATATCTGTCTTCATGGGATATTTTAAAGCGCTCTGCCTATTTATCTTCTGCAGATTAATTGATCATATCTAATTGTGAACACTATTCTTTTAGAATTAATTGGTAAGCTTATGCATAATGTAAATATTTAATGAAATGGTTTGTTTATATGGGTTCAACTGAGAGAAAGCTTGAAAAGCCTATTAATAAAAAGATGATTAAGAAGTAATTGATACAAGTTATTATTTTTTTTATTTATTTGTTTCAGAATTCAGCCATAAACTGCTTACACATTTTAAATAGATGTATGTTTATATGTGTATACATATGATCTCATACAATAGCGAGGTAAAAAGTTTAACGTTTTTATAAATATGAAAAAAGAAAAGAAAAAAAAAAATTAAAAACCATTTAGAAGTAAGAAATATCGCCGAACTTCTCCTTATAACCGGGAACTGAGAATTGTCCCTTCTTAAGGTTCTCTTCAATGTCCTTAACAATTTGAGGATTGGCAGTAGTGACATCATCAACCTATTCAAATGTAAATTTAATTTGAACTCATTTAAATCAAAACAAATAATATACGTACTGTAAGTTGTTCAATGGGACGAGAGCCTTCAATGTTACTAAGTGTGGCTTGAAGATCTTTAAGTTCAGTTTCAATTTGTTGAACAGTATTTTTAGCTTTGGAAACCTATTCAAATTAACAAACATCGTTATCATCCGTATTCTTCTAACAATAAGGTACGACAAATTCAACTTACAGCTTTAGCTTCAAATTGGCTAATGGCATTTAATTGGGCATCCAAATTATAAGCAACAGGCTTAAAACCGCTGATAGCCTTTTCGGCTTGATCGACAATGGCTTGATTCTTAAGAACTTTACGATAATGGGCGAAATCGACAGTGGTGGGTTGTTGCTTTAATTCAGCGAGAACACGTTTAACTTCATCGTTACGCTTACGGAAAGCTTGAAGAGAAGCAACGGTCTCTTGAGGAAGACTGACACTCAACTTGGACCAGTTAATAGCGGCAGCACGGACAGAAGAAGCCATGTTGAAATTCTATATATAAAAAAAAAAAAAAAATAACAATAAGGAGAAGGGAGGGAATTAAAAAATAAAAAATAAAAATCTAAAGCGAGGCCCCCCACTGGTGACCATATTACAGCCTCCCCCGCAACACTAAACTAAAGGGATTTTAACTTTCGGAGATTTATTGTTTACTACGTCAGCGCTGAACACATTTGCAAGAATTGTACTTTTATGTGCATTATTAGCAAATCAAGAATTCAATGCAAAATAGCAACTATTTATTTCCCCAAGTCATAAGAAAATCTATACTATTTCTATAAATCTTCGTGAAACCATGAGGGGGGGGGAAAGTTAAATATCATACACCAGAATATAATATTCCCCTTATAAGCCGACATTCTTTGAATGATTCATAAGGTCTTTTGTACCTTGTCTGAGCAAAATAATCCTATGTCTGATTTTAGAAGCTTATTTTTAATGACCGTTATTTTATTTTATTTTACATCTCTGAATAATATTTTTTTTTATGTTAATAAAATAAACTAATATGTGTATAAAAAAAAAAACTGGCTTATTAGTAAAAACTGGGTTTCTGTTAAAATAGTATTGAAAAAATCAGTTACGTTTATTATGAAAAGTGGCCTTTTTTATATTAGATTATTATTTTTGTCGATCTTTAGAATTCCAAGGTTTGCTATTAAATACTTCCATGACAGCTTTTTTTTTTTTCAAGAAAGCCTATATTAGTCGTTAAGCCTTATAATCACCTTTTAGGATAGAAGTAAAAAGAGTTTCTAAAATGTTATCATATTTCTTTCATCAACAGAACTCTTCCTATTCTTCCATTGTTTATATCATATTTTTATGCTATTAGTTTGACTTTTTTTTCCTCATGTACTTTGCTAAAAATATCTGTAATATTAACATAAATAGTTTTGTTTTGTTTTTTTTTTTCAGAAATCTGCCATTCAAAGAGTTTTCTATCAAGTTTTTATAGGTAGGCGTTTTTTTTTTCTTCTTCTTCTTATTATTATTAATAAATGCCGATATAGCACCATAAGCGTTATAAAAAAAAAGTAATGTTATAAATCATGAATTATTGTAGAAGTATACTACTGTTTTGAATTCCGCTCACTGCAAAAGCCACACCTTTTGCTGCTGTATTATTTTTTCAAAAAATTGCGATAAATATTGATCCTATTTTTACCACCTATTTGAAAAGAAGTGAAGTATTTTTTTAAAAAAAAAAATAAAAATAAAAATAAAGAAACAAATATTTGATATGGCGCAACTCAAAGATCAAGAAAATGATAATAATCAAGGATCAATGGAATCTTCAATGCACGTTTCATTAGTTTCCTTTGAGCCCAATGAACAAACAGATGAAATAAAAATAAAAGTATTAGAAAGTCCTGTAATGGAGCCATCTACAGCACATGCAACAAAAGAAAAGGCTAATACTCCTATTATAAATGAAAATATAACTATTTCCGCTAAACCTGAACAACAGACTTTGAACGAAGAAGAAATTCGAGAACGTTTGAAAATATTTACTCAAAGTTTACAAGAGAATAATGTCGACGTTGAGGAAAATAGCAGTACTACTGGCAGCAGTAGCAGTAGTAATAACGATAACTCAAGGCAAAATACCACTACTATCAGTAGCAATACTCGTCCTTCAACTTCGCGAAATATGCATTATAAAAAGTATACTGATGAACAAATCACAGGATATATCAATTTAATTATTGAAGGTATGTCTGTCAAGAGTGCTGCTGCAAAATCAGGCATCACTGCCAATTCTGCTTATCGTTTTAGAAAAATGTGGAATAAAGCTGGTGTGACCCCAGTAAGACATAAAAGGGGACCCGCAGAAGGTGCTATGTCAAAATTAAAAGAAGAGCATACAAAATTTATTATTAATTATGTTGATCACGAAGTTGCGAATGGTTCACTAGCACAAATCAAAGACGCCTTACAAAAGGAGTTTCATGATTTAAGCGTCAGTAGTTCTGCGTTACATAGACATATGAAAGCAAAATGTGCTTTTAGTCTTAAACGTATGTATAAATCACTTGAAGCCCGAAATGATGCAGACTTTATGGCTCTTATTGAACAGTGGATTGCAAGCAAAGATATGGATTTTGAAAACAATTGTATATTCATTAGTGAAGCAAAATTTTTACGTGTTGATCGTAATAATGGCTGGGCAAATAAAACTAAAAAGTCATCCTCTACTATTCCTACAGAGGAAGCAACAATAACGACATCAACAGAATTAGAATCATCACAACAACCACAAAAAAAATCGTCTTCTGGTGTTATATTTACTGTCTTGGGTGCTATTTCTTCTAAAGGTATTATGGATATATCCTTACGTAGAGCTACACAAACAGATACAATGGCAACTACAACAACCTTATTAGGCAAAAGACGTTTAGAAGATGCACCAGTAAATTCAAATCAAGAAGATTACAATCAGTTTTTAAATTATTTGACAGAATTGATGAACATTTTAGATAAGCATGGATTACAGGGTAATTACCTTGTATTAGATGATACAAATATTCGTGAGCCCATGTTAGTAAGGAAGAGAGTTGAAGAGAGAGGTTACAAATGCGCCTATTTACCAGCCGTTATGCCTGTTCCGAATCCAATGGAAAAACTTTGGGCTAAAATGCAAAAGGGGATTGATAGGAAGCCACTTAATGGTGACCTTAGTCAAAGAATTATGAAATCCTGTTCTGAAATCACACCAGATGATTGTCGTGAATGGATTCGACTCGCCATTCCATGCTCTCCACTTCGTATAACCTCAGGAAGAGGTTTATATACTTAATATATATGTATATGTAATGCTTATATATGTTTATCAGTTTATTTTTTTTTTTACCCAACATATTGCAACTTATATATGTATATATACATATATAAAGCTTAAAATATCAATTACATAATAATAGTGATTTCTTTTAAATACAAATTTCTATAATAAAAAGGGATCACACACAAGTAAATAATCTTCTTTTATGTATATATAGCATATTTTTTTATTTATTTATTTATTTATTTATTTATTTATTTATTATGAATTGAATATACAGTTGTAAGCAAAAGAAAAAAAAAAGGGAACCTATTCGATATTAATTATTTTGGGATTATTTTCAATAGTTTTTGGAACAATAACTTTGAGTATGCCATTTTCATATGAAGCTTTTATATTATCAGCTTTGATTGGCGAAGGAAAAGAAAAAGATCTTGTAAATGAGCCGGATATACGCTCTTTAACCCACCATTGTCGTCCTTCTTCATTGAAGATGTTAACTTGATTATCTCTTGTTTGTGTGGTTGCTAACTGCTTCTTTTCTTTATCAGATTGATTTTCAATATCAGTGTCTGTATCAGGTTCAACAGACTTACTTTCAAGTTGTTTTTTAATAGATCCACTCAAAACTAATGTATGGTTGTCGGCCAATTCTATCTTGATATTACTCTTATCATAACCAGGTAATTCAGCATGTAATTCATAATGTTCAGGAGTTTCAATCATATCTGTAGCAGGATAAGAAGAAGTTAATATTTGATTTCCAAATTCAGAACCATTATTATCATGGAAGAATGTGCCTCCTAATAAGGAATGACGAGGTGTAGCACTAAAGAATGGCTGTTCAAAGACTGTCATAGCACGTTGCATATCACGTAAAGCGTCAGTAAATAAGCGTTGAGAAATCGACATGATGTTTATTTTATATTAATAGAATAGTATAATAATGAATTGAGAGAAAAAAAAAAGAACTAAAGAAAACTCAAGTTGGGTAAATTTGGCCTTATATTTATATATCTGTACATTTTTTTTTAGAATTTCAAAGCTTGAAACATCTAGAATAAATACTTCCTTTTCAGGATAATTTTATACCTTTATTTCGCCTCTGATTGGACGTTTTTTGCATAAATTTGATTAACCTTATTTTTTCAACTAAAAAAAAAAATGGCAATTTCGAGTAAATTCTCGAAAGTAACAGAAGAATCCTAATAAAAAAAAAGGAGTTATGAGTAATAGAAGAAAACTTGATCATAGAGAAAGAAGAAAAGTTGTTTGCTGTATTAATAATTATGTCAAAATAAAAATTAAAAAATTATAACTTGAACCTTTTTTTTTTTTAAGAAAAGTGCCTTTGAAATTTTAAATATTTATATACTACTACTATTATTATCATCCTCTAAGATGTTATTACATAACAATATTCGATATTGTAGATGAATGTATAATATGTATGGCTTATATAAATAATTATGTGGTTACATATAACAGTCATAATCCTGTTGAACTCCTATTATTACATACATAATACAGTGTATATAATTATTTTTAAATGCTCGAATATTCTAATAATGACTATTATTAAAACTGAATGTAGAATGAATATGATGCTGTGAAATACAATACACTACTTTTATTTGAATAACCTCTTTATTATTTAATAAATGATAGCTTATTTCTTTTAACTTGGTTGTAAAGACGAATGCAATCACAACAGGTATAAAAAAGGAAGCATATAAAAGGGGTGGAAATATAATACCAGAATAAGCCGAGCTGTCACGTGACTGTCCGACAAAATTTTACGTGATACAAATTTAGTATTTTTGTACAACCTTACAAATGTCCAGTCTATTAGCAACGAAGTGGATAAGCAGCCAATAGAAGTGGAATATAACCTGCCGTTCAGAATAAACAGACAGAATAAAAGAAGGTTTAAACCATCAATAAAGGATTCCGACGTGAGAAAGAAGAAATCGAAGTTATGCATAATTTGTGAAGATAGAAACGTCGGCATAATTAGTTGACAACATGAGAAAATCAGGAAGACAACACTTATGCATCTTTACTACAATCACGATTTTCCCTGTTGTCATATAAACCTTATTTTATAACAAAATTAATATAAATATCGAAAAATAATTGATTTTAAAGAAAGACAATCAATAAATATTATAAAAACTTAATTATATTCTTTGTTATTTTTTGTTTAATACCGTCCACTGGAGATAAAGAACTGCTATCACCATAGTGAAATGTTGGTGAATGTACCACTTTCAACATGGTTTCACCATGGTAAAACTAGTACGTTTACCAAGATTTCACCATGGTAGCATTTACCACATTCATTATAGTTTCACCATGGTGAATGTGGTAAATGCAACCATGGTGAAATGTTGGTGGTTAGTTCCACAATCACTATGGTGAAATATTAGTGAATGTGGTAAATGCTACCATGGTGAAATGTTGGTGGATACTACCACTATCACTATGGTGAAATATTAGTGAATGTGGTAAATGCTACCATGGTAAAACAACCACTTTTACTATATTTCCTTTCATAAAATACGCTTTTCATTGGTTTATATCTTTACATTTTACTATATTTGATCATGGTTTATATCGTTTTATTGGTCTTTACATTCAAAATAAACGTCTTTTTATTCGTTATAATTTTGTATTTTGTACACTTCTTTAAAATACAGATAATAATGGAGCTTATATATTATTGCTAAAAACGATTATAGAATATTTACTTTTATTGTTTCCTTTTCGGGATAAAGAAGTATATAAATAATTATAAAAAGAATATATATAATATATATGAAATACATATAAAATGTATTAGCATACAGAAATGTACACATAGAATAGCAAAAATAGCAAAAATAACACGTAATAGATATAGCTCGGCACCATAGATAGCCTCTTCCGAAATAATGTGAATACTAAATATAATAAAAAAAAAGGATAATTAGTAAATGAAAAAAAAATACATGTAATTGTTATTTATTTGCTTACCATTATGAAGTAGCCATCCTTTTTCTTTACGTGTTAAAAGCCAGAGTAGAATATATTCACTTACCTAATATACATATTGTTAGTATTAGAATTAGAATTATCAAAATAAAATATATACATTTATAATTTACCTTTTATTTTCATTTTCAACAAGTAGTTAGCGTGTAAAAAATATGACATATTTACACCTAAAGTAAATTAAACATAAACAGCATTAGTCAATTAATGAACGAGATTCATTAAATAATTAGTAATTACTTTCGTTTCTTTATTTATACCAGCTTGGAAAGTATATAA